AACTAGACAATAAACACGACGAATATGGATATTGGATGGCGATATTAATTTGAAGGAGCTTCTGCTCTCTTATTATCTCAACCTCACCCGTATTACCCGATTCGGAAGGCAACCTAGATGAAACGAATACGTCAATTGGCTGATCTTAAGCTTAACTTGCTGTGCCTGGCTGATCCCTCAGGGGAGGAGAAATTCATCGCTGAATTTTCCACCAGTCAAAGACTCCGTTGCCATCTCCCTGTCGAAACAAAACAGTTCCCAACTTCCGCTCGTCCTCCGAAGTTGAAGCGGAGCATCCTTGCTGGTGCAGGAACCTAAGCTTCTTCGCTTCCAAAACTCAGGTCTAGCAGGCCCATGGTTCGCCGTCCATTTAGATAGATTGGGAAGGTCTCCTCATGTAGGTGCTAAAAGAAGCATCCGTCGAACGTGCTTCACGCTTTCTGGGAAACTTTCACCGGGCGTCTCGACATACCCACAGTATTACAGGCAGCATTTGGATTAAAGAAGAACTTGGAGTCCTTAAGACTAAGTTTACACTGACATCAACGGCGGCACTTGTTCGTGCCCGTATGTTCCTTGACGTGGTTCTTCACACACATCTACTCTTATTCTCAGATCCACAGCATTAGGGCATCGCTTACCATTTTGCCTTGTTGGTTTTCTTGGCACCCTCAGAACGCAGGCTGCTCGTCGCTGATAATATGTCTCTCGGCAACTTGATCTAGCCAAGGCAAACAAACATCTCTGTTTCCGTCATTGCTCCGGTACATGTAGGCGATGGTTGCCCTGCAAGCTGGATTTCAAAAAAGGTGGCCGATGGTCGCTCTTCCCGCCTCGCAAATCGAAGTGCCGCCCACGTTTAATGAAATTCCCCGATGCGCCAAGAACCTGGTTCATCTATTTCCTCCACCCCTACTCGTGGAGTTACCCTCCGTAGTATACAATCCTTATAACCCGGTTCATATTACTTTATAGGGGCACAATAAGACAACAAAAGTGCTTCGGCACTACGCTCAGTAGCTGGCTACATTGGCCTCCTGATCACTACCTCCTTATACGCCTCTAGATTTCCAGCTGCTATTCCATATTGCCACTTGGGAAAGGTGGACGATTTGGCCGAATCGACCCGCCCCTTGATATGAAGTTATAGTTAGTTTGCCCCCACTCCCTACCTATGCACCCCGCAAATCAAGGATCCGCACCTTAATGAATTCAGCGGTGGTTAGGCCCAGTTGGCCTCGGGGGGTTTGCGGGACGAGACGCGGGTCTTGAAGTTTGTGGGTCTGTCCACTTAGCTTGATCTGGGGAAAGATCAGGTTCTACCGAGATATTGACCCCTACCGAATCTACTGCCGACAGGAACTATACGTTTGGTTGATTGTAGTGTCTGGACAATAATATCGTGGTGATCGATATAATAGCACGGCGGTCATCCATTGACGACGTTGTGCCTATAAAGTCTCCGGGATCCCCGCTCCATCTAATCCAAGTGCCCGAAGTCCAGTCCACCACACTCTCAGTCCCTCTGATGTTTGTTGTTGCCCAGCATGAAGCCCCTCCAAGCTCTTCTCCTCGCCGCCCTGGGCTCCGTCGTCGATGCCCACTACATCTTCAACATCCTAGTAGTCAACGACCAGGTCGTCGGTGGTGAGTACGACTACTTCCGCCGCAACAGCAACTCCTACAACCCCGCCTTCCCGGATATCATCAATACCAACGATCTCCGATGCAACGTCGGCGCTAAGCCCGGCAACGTCAAGACCTACGAGGTCAACGCCGGTGACAAGATCGGTTTCAAGATCTTCAACCGCGAGACCATCGAGCACCCCGGCCCTGGATTCGTCTACATGTCCAAGGCTCCCGCGGACGTCGCCACATACGACGGCTCTGGCGACTGGTTCAAGGTCATGGAGACTGGTCTCTGCCGTGGATCCGCCAACAATGACGGCTCTTGGTGCTCGTGGCAAAAGGACCGCCTCGAGTTCGTCATCCCCGAGAAGACTCCCCCCGGCGAGTACCTCGTCCGCGTCGAGCACATCGGCCTCCACGAGGGTTTCAAGGATCGTGCTCAGTTCTACATTGAGTGCGCTCAACTCAAGATTAACGGGCCCGGCGGCGGTAACCCCAGCCCTCTCGTCAAGATTCCCGGCATCTACAAGGCCGATGACCCCGGTATCCGATACGACAAGTGGACCTCCAACCCCGCTCCCTACGTTATGCCCGGCCCTGCGGTCTGGGATGGCAACTAAATGGAACAATGGAATATCTGGCCCTAATCTAGGGATATCATCTGGAGTGGTGTATAGCGATTATGATACATTTCTTGCCTAGGCCTCAAGGCTTGGCATTATTCATGTAGCCAATGGCTAATTTTCAATATATCTATTTGGGAAGACGACCAATCCATGACGTGATACGTCATCTCATATTTGATCCACGACATCAAAGACCATAGAGCTTACACGATACGTTGAAAATGAGAAGTAGAATTTAAAGCGCTCCTGCTCCTGCTCCTTTGTATTCATTTCCTTAAGATAAGACTAATGCTCATGTCCACAACTTTCTCTATCACTTGGCTCTTTATGCGACACGGAGCGTTTACCTTCGGTTGATACCCAGCCCCAACCGCCGCAAAATGTTCCAGAAAAGAAAATCACTCAAACTATGCAGAGAACTCCGCATTTCGAAAGTACTGCCAATTACCAGTTTCGGTAATCTCCTGATGGAGTTGTAGTTTGAGTAGCTATAAATGTCACCGTTCGCCGGAGTCCTCGAATCTAAAATTCCAGATCTTTGAAGACCTGATGCCACAGTTACACAGATTGACGGAGAAATGCTGTAGAGTTGCCACACCTTCAAAATAGACTTGTTCCACGTTCCAAGAAAATCCCCTTAATTCACGAAGTTGGGATTAAATGCTTCTGAAGTTGGTAGATATGTGGCAACCATTAGTGGTAACCCCTGCTCCAGGAAAAAGCTGTGCCCGGTGAGCCATGATCCATGGCGGCTCACAGGATCGTGACATCCGGATTCTACTCTGAACCCATTCAACTCAACAATCCAGCATATCCGGCGTCCGGATTCCACTCCGAATCCAGTTGACTCAACAACCAGCGTGCCGGGTGTCCGAGTCCACTTCGATTCCGTTGATTTAACAATCCAGCGTATCAGGTGTCCGGATTCCTCTCCGAATCCATTTAACTCAACAATCCAACATATCGGGTGTCCGGATTCCTCTCCACAGCGTGATAGCCGGCGATATGTGTGAATCGGACAGCGCATTTACATTGTATTCTTTCATCCCTCGGAACCTGACACCCATTGAGTAACCCCCTGAAGGAGGTTTGTAAAGTCCGGGCCGGACAACTTGAGCAGAGGCTGCCTATTTCCATTGGGGCTAATCTAGTATAAATTGAGGCAAGCCCTCTACTACTTCCTCTAGAGCTATATCAACTCCAAAAACTAATTGTTCGACAAAGAAACAAAATTAAACTTTGCCCTACGAAAATAACTTCTCTTGCATCCCCCTGCAACAATGCACATTCTAAGGAGCCTCACTCTCTCCCTCCTGGCTGTTGATTCGGTCACTGCAGCACCTGCCATTAGAAGCTCGAACCACGGCGTCCAAGGGTACGCTGAGCATATAATTGACAGTGGCGACAAGGGCAACGGAGGACATCACTACAAGCGCGACAACAACAATGGCAACAACTCCAACAACCCTCCCCAGACAGCCACTGGTGGCAAGAACAACAAGAACAATGGCAACAACTCCAACAACCCTCCGCATACTACTTAACGAAACTCTGGAAGGCATTGTGTTACAACCCTTGACCATATAGGCAGCCAGGCGGTCGCAACTGGTAGAAAGGCTGAATCATGGAGAAATTGAGTAAGACCAATGCTAGGAAGTAACCAATACGGAGAGGACCAACAAGAAAGGCGGCCCTGGGAAGAGCTTGGAAAGAAACGTCTATATACGCTACAGTCTCTACCGTTGATCTAGTTTGTCTTTCAAGATCCTTCAGTAGTCAATTCAAGCACTATCTTACCCCTTACACATGAATATGTACCTCTATTATACCATGGTTCACTGCTTAACTGCCTTGGTTATTTCATAACAGGGACTTCTACAACCCCAACCCTAAGTAACTTGAATAATCCAGTGTTAGGATCGTACACTGTGGTTTATCCTTCTCTGCTGGCTGCGACCTCCTGGCCACCTATATAGTTATACAAGGCTGTGACAAGTATAAGGTTTGATAGTACTGAGGTACAGGATAGAGAAAGGAAAGTGGAAAGGGAGGGGTGTTTAATAGAGAATATGCTTGTATTGGTAATGCCGTTTTCTGAAATAAGGCAGCGTTAAATCAAAATAGGAAATGGTAACGGAATTAAGTTAACGGCGATGATTTGTGAAGTGTCGGCTCCGGACGATATCAATTTTGGAATCCCTCCGGAAGATGGCAATTCTGGGTCGCTCTGGAAGACATCAATTTTTTCAGTAGCCACCTATCATTTGGCTTCGAATTGGTTCCGCAAAACAAAGAAGCTTCCATCATGATGCAACAATACCAGTGATACTTGCCTGACTAAGCTGGCTCTTACCCCTCAAAAGCCAGGTGCATCGAAGCTCTTGCAATTCGACGACTCGACGTCATTTTCTTGGAAACGAACAGTGATAGAGGGCCTCCCGTTCCAGCACTCCAGGACGCTAGCCGCCGTGGATTCTAGACTCACCATTATGAACGAGCTCCCAACCGATATCCTATACCACGTCTTAGTTGCAGTCAAGCGCTCGTCAGCGAGGACTACAGATCTAAGAGCCTGTTTACTAGTATCTAGAACTTGGCATGAGACCGGCACACCTCTTCTCTACAGAAATGTAGCTCTTTCCAGTCGGAATCTGGCCCTATTTCTCGAGCGTTTCCCATGGCATATCTATGGCCCTCTTGTCCGATCGTTAACCTTGATAATAACTCGAGGGGTGATCCACCAGGATGGGACCTTCAGGCCAAACGACATCCACCAGAGAGACTTGGATGTAACCCGTCTCGCGACAAAGATAAGAGAGTTGGTTAATCTCTCCTCATTTTCCTTATATTCCCCATTCAGGCAGGCGGCTTCGATAAGCCGCGGCGCTATAATCTCCCTCCTGGAAGCTCTCCCTTCCAGTTGTGCGAGTCTCGAACTCGACACCGCTGGCTACGATGGGCGACATTCTGATCGCAACGATGACGAAGCCCACATCTGCGACTCCCTTAGGGCCGTTTTACCTCGCATGCGCTATGCACGTATCCGGATAAGCACCATGTGCAGTGCCATGTTTGGCTTTGGGCCCGACCCCCACATAAATAATAACTTTCCTGATGCGTCCGAGGACGAGGATGAAGATGCACGGTTTCAGCCCATTTCTCTCAAAAGTATGCGGTCATTGCTCGTTAACTGCGTCTCGGAAAACTGGTATGCTCTGCAGCGCTGCTCCGCCTCAGATTGGAACCATACCCATCTCAACCCCGGATCCCCTAGGTCGTCCTGGCTATCTATCACAGCGGCACTCGAGCGTCTCGTTGAAACCGAAGGAGCCATCTGCCAGGACGCTAACATCATGGTTATGGGACACACAGTGCACCATGACAGCACTGATATGGCCATTTGGCAGGCGTATATCCGCGCCAACATCGTGGCCAAGGAATCACATCTCCTCCCACATCGCCTAGTCTGCAAAAAGGACATCGCAGACCCGTGGCTCGTGCGCATCCCTGGACCCAAGGACCTCCTTACGTCAGCGATTAACATCGAGCCGCTCGCTGAGGACTATAACTGGGTGCCTTTGTACGGAGGCTCGAGGCTGCCTCGGGCTATTGCTGAGGATGAAATGAGAGGGAGACGATCTATCGCGACCGGGTGCGTTTCCATGCCTGCGTACCTGAAGCCGTCTCATAAATGGCTCCAGGAAAACCCGGGGCAGTTTGTAACTCATTGGCTGAACGAGAATATGTGTGGAAGAAAGCTGTTTCAGGCTGAGGTGAGGGTGGGTGACGAGGAGTATCTTTCTCTCGAGCCAATCCGTGAGATTACTCCAGGAGGATGGGTTCGGGGGCCCCACAACAGATTTTTAATGCGGATGGGGACGTATCGTTGAGATTCGTGTATGCAGGTGAAGAATAAGAGAAGTCTTTTCAGCTCCTATCTGAGTATCCGAAACCCTAAGATGACTCGTGCTTAGTTTAAGTTATGCAAGAGATCGAGGCGAAGATCACTAATAATTAACGGCCGGGAAAAGCAAGACAAACATTACTATTATAGGCCAAAAAGAAAAATAAAAAAGAAAGAATACAGCCATTATCGTCTTGGCAAGGTAAAGTCTCACCTCTAGAACTGCCAGTCGCTCATCCTCTTAAGGGATGTCGCCGAGGGTTGAGACAAAGGCGGTGACGACTCGACCCCAGACGTGTGGAAACTGTCTCACTGATTGATGGGTTTTGTTGTCCTGATGAGCCAATACAGAGTGTTATCACCAAGACGAGACTGTGAATAATAGCCGGGAGAAATTCCGCCTAGGAATCCCAGCAATGAGCGATCATATCTCTACGTACGTACACTCGCTTCGCACCATCAATAAGTCGCTAAAAATAGATTCCCCTGCAAGACTTCGGTCCTGGAACCCGTCCGAGGTTCGTATTTGCCAGGACAGACAGAAGCTTTCCACACGTCCTTTCTAAATGACCAAGATATCGAATATATAACCAGACAACCCTCCTACTCTCCCGTCCCACGATGAAAACCATCCAGGAACAAACACCGTCTCCGTCTACCTCCCAAGCGCCGGACCTGACAGAATTGCTAAACAGCTAACAATGTTCCGCTCGGTCCTCACTCCACTCGTGGCCTTCCTCGCCCTGCCCCTTCTCATCGCCGCAACGCCCGAACCATCCAACCTCCACCTCCACAACAAGCGTTGCTCCCCCTGGTACGATGAAGAATTCTACCAAGGTTATCTTCCTCCCGTGGCCTGCTGGCAAGATCAGGACACCGGCTGCTGTCCATACATTATGGAAGGCACCGAGATGCTCCTCGACGGCGACCATGGACTGGCCGTGATTTACGGAATTTCGACCTACTGTGCCGATATCATCGCGGAAGAACTCGCCAGGACTGCGGATGGAAGGAGGGCGTACGGGTGGGTGGAGAAGCACGGAAATTTGACTGTTATAGGGGATATCTTGGTCATCTCCAATATGAGCCAGGAAGCGGTGGAGAAGTACGAGGGGTTGGTGTACTATGAGGATGCGGAAGGGCCTATTCTGTGTTGAGTTGCTTGCTTCACTAGTTCCCCAAGCTGGAGAAGGTCCGTCTCAGTGTTTTACTTCAAGTTTCTCCAAAACTATTAAATAATTCTGGGATTATTACCGGATTTTATGCGGTTTATTATAATTTGTTAAAAGAAAATTGAAAGCTTGGTTGCTTGCTACTTTTGAACTTGGCTTCCAGTGTCCTGTCGCTGGGAGACAGCCAATATGAACATCGTCCATATCAAAAGTGGTGATGCAATCAACGGGGCAGGTGGAATCTGCCGAAGATCGGAGAGAACCGAACGTGCAGGACAGAGTGTCCCAGAACAATGAACAGGGCAAGGACCCCACATTGATCCCACCTTGACCCCTGCAATAGCGACCACAACAATTTGAACCCCCGCCATGAAGAAATCAGAAATCCCAGTCAAAAAAAAAGTTAATAAATTTGATGCATGACGAATTGTCCACTCAAAACGTGTGACTCAACAACACCATCTTCTCACACTTTGCCAGGGAGTCACGATCCCCAACCCTCCAATTCGACCTGATAATTGTTCAACACAAAAATTATCATCGCCGAAAACACCATGGCTGTCGATTACATTCTCACGCTGTCCTGCCCGGACAAGCCCGGCATCGTCCACGCCATCACCGGCGTGCTCTCCTCGCGAGGGCTCAACATCCTGGATCTTCGCCAGTTCAGTGACCCTACCTCGAACCGATTCTTCATGCGCGTGCACTTCGGTCCCACCGATCTACCAGTGGAGGAACTTCGCGCGCCATTTGACGCCCTGGTCGACGATCTCCAAATGACGTACGACATTCGCACGGCGGCGCAAAAGACACGTGTGCTCATCATGGTGTCCAAGATCGGGCACTGCCTCAACGATCTCCTCTTCCGTGCTAAGGCTGGCCAGCTCCCCATTGATATCTGCCTCATCGTGTCCAACCACCCCGAATTCGAGCCGCTGGCTAAGAGCTACGGCATCCCCTTCCAGCACTTGCCTGTCACCAAGGACACCAAGGCGCAGCAGGAGGGCCGCGTTCTGGAGCTTATCAAGGAGTACGGCATCGAACTCGTGATCCTCGCCCGGTACATGCAGGTCCTCTCACCGACGCTTTGCCAGGCCATGTCCGGACGCATAATCAACATCCACCACAGCTTCCTTCCGTCTTTCAAGGGAGCCAAGCCCTATCACCAGGCCTACGAGCGCGGTGTCAAGATTATCGGCGCCACTGCGCACTTCGTCACCGCTGATCTCGACGAGGGCCCGATCATTGAGCAGAGGGTCGTTAGGGTCGACCACAGTATGGGACCGGTTGAATTGACCAGGGAGGGTTCGAATATCGAGAGCCAGGTTCTCGCTGCAGCGGTTGGGTGGTATGCCCAGAGGCGCGTATTCCTAAACGAGACAAAGACGGTTGTATTTAATTAGAAAACACAGCCCAAAGGTAAAATAAACAATAGAAATAAAGTAGAAAATTGCAAGAAATGTCACAATCTTGGACACGTGGCAGATTAGAGCGTAAAATATTATATGCGAGCATGAGGTGTACATCATTGAGCCCTTCTCCCTTTGTGGAGGCACCGGTCCTTGAGTAGCATACCCATTAGCCACCCGCGATCAACACTCGTTTTCTAGGTTCATTCATCAATGACCCGAACGAAGTCCCCACCGAGACCCATTGTCCCAGATAGTGCGGCATTCAGTTGAGCTGTCGATGTGTCTCACCGAGATATGGACGGCAGTAGGAATACGCCACCAGACCCCCTCCTAATCGCATGCCATTGGTCTTATGGTTCCCTTGTCTTATTCGCAGGTTAAGACTTGGTAGGACTCACGCGTGCACGAGTCGTGGGATTTCGCCGAAACACATGTACGTCAAGTCGTCTCATAGGAAGTATCAAATCGTTGGGATTAAATCACTTATGGCTGAGATAGAGATCATGGAGAGCACTACATTTTGACGTTGGATCGACAGTGAAGACCTCTCACCCTACGGCGAAAATTCCTCCCCAGTCATCAAGTAGTTTGGCCTCGGATATCTACAATTCTCACAGCCTACTTACTGGCGCCTGATCAAGGCTCGCACATCACTAGGAATTGAACGATAAAACGGACTGAATAGCGCAGAATAGATGGCTTACAAATAGGCTCGTAAAAGTAGTCGCGCTGCGATCCCACCATCTTATATTTTGGCGCTGCAGTTGGGGGGATGCTCTGGGGGAAAGGTACAAACAATCTACAAGACTTTATGTATTTGATGAATAATAATGAGACTGAGTGCCCCGATTTGCCCCAGAAGAATCATCCATATCTTTGCACCCATGTCAACAACAGAATTCCGCCTCTCGCCCACTGTAAACTCGCGCCGGGATACGTTTGCTTGCCCGAGCGGTGGATCAAGATTGGCGTATGGATTGACCAGCTTCTTCGGCTTCTCTCAGGTTCAAAACTTCCTTTTCCCGGACACCACGATGAAGAGGCCTCGCCAAGGGTCGCCCAAACAGGCCCTCTCTCTGTAGCTGCACGTGCCGTCATTTGACAAGCCAAGCTCATTGATGCACGGGAATCGCAAGCCGAAACCCCTCTCCGCAGCCTGGCCCATCAACCCGCCTCGTTGGTACCCAAAATCGAGCCTATGCCTGGTTTGACACTCTTTCTGTCTTTCAAGAATTCGAAAAATCAAGGAACTAGCTACCTTTGCCAGCGGCTATGGCGCCTATCAAAACCTACATCTTGGCCCCAAACTTCACGTACCATCCCAACACGTCAATTTGCATGGGCGACATCATCCAGGACCCCAGTGATCCGACTAAACCTCTAAGCAGCTCTTTCCCGCTCACAGAGGCCCATTTTGATTACGATGTCGAATTCTGCGATGAGAAAAGCCATTCGCTCCAAGGTAGCGTCTGGGCCAAATTTCTCGCGATGGGCAGGGAGAAGATTGGCGGCGAAGTTGGTGATGGCTTGCTAGACAAGTATGTCATTGATCGCCTTGAGACCATCTACTTCAAAAAGCAGCCAACCGACGAAGAAGCGGCTGAACGGGTCAAGAATGAAAAAGTCCAGGCCGCCATGAATTCGGGCATATTTGGAAAGAAGCCCGTCTACATGATTACAGGACTGAAAGTGGCCAGAGGATTCCGACTTGAGAGCGGGAACATGTCGAGATCGTCCACAAACACTACTTTTGGGTTGCCAGCCTCCTGGGCCCTCAGCTTTGGCTCTGATATATCCACCAGCAGTACGAGCAATACCCGACAATCCTATCGCTCAGATCGGGACATTGTTTTCGCCTATCAGCTCCACGTCATCACCTGCAAAGGATGGCGGGGCATCGACGTCGATATCGGCGTGTATAAAACCAAGGCCGCTTTCTTGAATGAACAGGATGGTGCCGGTGGGGCTGGGGATGAGCGGGTGAGTGTCCATATTGCGACAGAGGCGGATCTTCGTTCCTTCGATGACGAGATGCCTATTGAAGTGTCTCGTGCGCTGGATGGAAGTGGCTTATGTGCCTGCGTCGCGTTCAGGGAGGAGTAGAGGGTATTTTGGAAGACCTGGGCGAAGGGAAGGAGGGCTACACATAGAGCAAGGTCTCATTACACGGACATATATACTTCTATAACTTTCAATGCTGCGGGTAAATTTCTAACCCATCATCGGTATCCTAACTACCTCCGCGAAATAGCTTGTGCAATCATACTCAACCTCATCTGGTGAGTCTGCCTTATAAATTCCTCCCCTGACAAGTAGTACCACCTGTCAGTATGTAGCATTTCCGTCGACATCGTCCTTAGCATTGTACGCATTGCCGTGACCGTGCAAAGTTCAGAGCTCACGCCCCCAAATTCTTGACCGAGAAGTTCACTCAGTTCCCTTTGGTAGATACGAGCATAGCCAAGCGTCATCGCGGCTATTCCCGCAGCTATTGGTGTGCTTACCGAAGTTCCGGACCTGGCAACTTCCGCCCCGCCGTCCTTGCTTAATCCAGCTCCAGGGACGTCCCGGCCAAGAGTCATAATACAATCAAAGCTCGTGTAGCCTCTCGGAGGATTGAAGCGCTGAAGCCATCCCTTATCATCGGTCCCTCGTACTGAAATAACTTGTGGATGGTTGGCTGGAAACATCTCTGGTTGGTTACCTCCTTGGTTTGCCGCGGCCGCGAAGAGCAGGAGATGCTGGTTTCGAGTTTTCAATGCCTCGGAGATAGCGTTGCTAATCACCCGATTGCCTCCAATACAGCATTCTCTTTCAAATCCAAATGACATAGATATTATATCGACTTCATGTTCTTTCGTAGCCCAAGTGATTGCCTAATGAACCAGTTAGTGAACAGAAGAGAAACACCTATCTTCAAAGGCTATACAGGGCTGTTATCCACCTCAGCGACGTTTGCGGTGGAATCGGGAAGATCCCTCGTGCCGCGTGCTATCCTAGCAACATAAAAGTCCGCTGTGGGGGCCACTTTCATCAGGAGGGACAAGACATGCGTCCCGTGCCCATCCTCGTCCTGACGTATTAGGTCGTGGGATGAAAAGTCATTCCATTCCTTGATACGACGCCTTCGGTCCTTATTTCTGAAGAAAGTCACATCTGGGTCGTATCCCGTATCCAGGACTGCAATCCGAATTCTTTTAAGAGGCGGATCCTGTAAGAATCGATCGACAAGGCATTTGGTGACTTCTGACCTCTGGAGCCGAAGTAACCACCTCTCCGCTTCGAGCCTGTATTGGCCAGTCAATGCAAGTCAGTCTGACGATTTGGAGCTCGAAGTAGCTGGAAAGACGAACCGTGATTGCGACAAGCAGGAATCTTTTTCAGCGTTGAGACAGACGGCTGGCCTTGGGGAGTCTTTGGAGATAGCGCTCTTGTTATCAATATCCAATTTGTCGTCTTCGTCGTAATCCTTGCTCTGTATATTACCAGACTTGTCAAGCCATCCTAGCTTCTGTAGTAGCTCTTTCAAGGGATAAACGATGGCCTTGTAGAGGATAGCACGCCTTTCCTCGACAGTAAGCACGCTGTTATTCTGTGATGAAGATTCCTTTAAGTTCGCTTCGAAAAGCTTCGAGTCCGAACAATTACGGACAATGAATCTGTATGCTTGTCGCACCTCCTCTTGCAAATCAAAACAGGGCCAGGCCTTCTTATGCAATGTCTTCGTTATGTCGTGAACGAAGTTGTTGATCTTCGCCTCGAAAGTCATTCCCTGAGTACTAATGTATTCGGCCGCTTTCCCATGTCCTTTACCCTGCCCAATTTCGAGCAGCATAATGCCCAACGAAAGAACCCGAGGATAGCGGTGGATTACCTCTTCTGTTGGAAGATATTCTGCCGCGAGCAGTGAATGGCTTTTCTGCAGAGTCAAGGTAAAGTACGGGCTCCTTTTGAGCAAACAGTAGCTACTATCGTGCTTCGCATGGCTTTCGTCGGGGCACCGCCAGAAAAATTGGACAGCCTCAGTGGTCCACTGGCTACTCATCCATTCCGAGTCGTAAAACTGCCAAAAGGACCTTGCAAGAATGTAGGCGAGTAGGAGCTTCTCTTTGGCTGCTAGGAAGCGGCGTTCAAGTACGTCTGCGAGCGAAACGCTCTGCTCGTGAGCAATATCGTCATCCACTGCTTTGAGATCACGCATTTGTTCCAACTTAGAGTCTCGGACCTTAAGGCATATTTTGACGGGGCCGATCCGTTTTTGGAGGATTTGGCAGAACTGGGTAGCGGACTTGATCGTTGCCACGCACGGGATATTTAAGGAAAGGTTCATTGATTGATGAGACTGCGCTTCGGGGAGAGCAAATCCCACATTTCCTAAACGCTGCTGTTTTCTTTGAGAACCGCCTGTGTCAGCAATTAAACCAAACAGAAACTTGCATGGACGGAGAGGATACCTAGAAATGTGGAATTGCAGATGCTGCCATTCAACATCATTCCCCTGTCCAATGTCCGAAGTTCTAGAGAAGACCGTATCGAAAATGACATCCTCATCGTTACTCTCGAACTTTTCCATCAGCCTCAACCTGCTATCATGTCGGTTCGATGAGACCTGCGACTGTACAGGGTCAGTGCAACCGCACTGCGAGTAGCGCTTCAACACTTTCCAGAACGTTTCACGGACGTGGAATGGATAGTCGTCTGGGGTGTCAAGGTCTTTTGCGGATCGACTGGCGAGATACGCCTCGGTTGCTTGTTCATGGTCCCATGGCTGGCCTTCGGAAGATGCAAAGGTTTCCAGAAACGAGAAGTAGCGACGTTTGTGCCTACGGTTGCCTGTAAATATAAATAATTTTAGGCTGCTTTCCAGCCTATCTCGAAGGCCGCCATCTGATAGTTGTTCAAGAGTTTTTGACCCAATCGCGTAGACCATGGGGAACCGGATTGATATGTTCCCGCTCTGGAGACACGGTTTGCCTTCTGGCCACTATAATCAGATCAGTCCCGCGCCTCAAGCCATGGGTTCGCTATGGGAAAGTGTGTGAACTTACTGTGCACACCAACTCTAACCCTTCTAGGAACTTCGTGGTGTTTGCAGCAGCATGGTCCTGGATCTGAGACCCTAAGGCAAAGGAAGCGCGTAAAAGATGACCGGCAAGTGTCACGAGGTCCTTGGCCAATTCCATTTTCGGGGAATTTGGCGACAACAACCTTGCTTCCTTTATTCCTAGTTGAGCTGCGACGGCAGCGACCTGCGTAGCCGAGTTATGGGCGAGCTCCGACAACTCCGCGCAATCTATGCTGGAAGCCATCGTTGATAAAGTTGGTGGACGGCAAGTGATCCTCAACAGCCCAATAAAAATCTCTTCGATAACATTCTGTCGATGTAACTCAGCCCTGGCCTAGACCCAAGCGCAGTAGCATAGTCAAAGGCCGGGGCCCTTCCTTCAATCGTTGGAGGACTATATGCCTGACCTCGTTCGTGCTGTCATTTGAACACTGAGGGAAGCCACACAAAACGAGGAAGCCCCGCATCTTGCAAGATTGGGCTCGATGGATTGGGCATTCGCGACCTGTTTTGATTCGCTCTCGTGAGGGATTCGCAGCCTGGTCAGATATTGGACTTCATCTGCCTCCACGGACTAACTTTGAAGGCGGAATTCTGCGAGTGATACTGTTAGTGATCTCCAGCCAGTGAAGTAGCTCAGGCTCTCACATCGACTCACGCAGTCTCTTGGCGTCTGCATCTGCCTCACGTGAGCATCGCGGGGCCATCTCGGGCTGCCAGTATGCTCATCATGGATTGCGCGGATCCATTCGATGGAGGATCACCTTCCTAGGCGACAGACATGCAACATGGCAGCCAACCGTGCGGACTCGATAGCTCGCGACATTTATCATGCGACCAAAGCATGCCGCCGAAGCCTGGAAGAGTGCCAATCCGTCACTCCTTTGATGGAAGGCGGATGGGCCGAAAACCGGCTTGGCGACTTCAAGCTCTGGGCTGCGGGCGTTGGAGCGTCCGCAAGAACACGGGCGTCTTTGGACTGGAGGCTGCACTTCCAACCCCAAACACGAATAGTTGTAGCAGGCCTTCTAGTCACTCTCAGACAGTTGGTTGAGTTATGCAAAGACCTAGGTGAGTTATCGACAGTATTCCGCTGGCTGTTTCCCGAGGGCTTGAGGCTTGGTCGGTCTCTTGACTATCTTGAGTGGGGAACCTGGGGTCCAAGAATTGCATCGGCCATAGCTATAGCATTCTTTACTTACGTATTTCATAGGCCTCAGAAGTGAGCGTGGCGAGCATGTTGTAGATCTAAAGGGAGAAAAAGTTGCAAGCTCGTGGTCGAACCAGGATAGTCGTCCACCATCAGAAACTACAACCGCCTGGTTTGACGCATTAGATGGCGAATCGACGGATGAAGAGTCCTCGGTGTCGGAACATAATGAAGAAACAGACGATAACGTGTCTTCGCTTCTTGGCAAGGCCATAAAATTCACAGAAGAGATACTGGATGAGTTGATCTGGTTAGGTCATCGCATTCGGAAAGCCGGAACGGTGTCAAGGCTCCAGAGGGCTGACACTTCATTTAACCAAAGTAGCTACGAAGATCTCCAGCGATACCTCTCTTTGGTTTTGCTCCTCGTCTCTAGCAAGCAACAAGGTCAAACGTGTCTGGATGTTCATATGAGAGATCTAGACGTTAATTCGAGCTACACCCAACTGAGCTCTGAGCAAAAACACCTTGTCATAGCCAACCTTCGGCGTCGCCATCGATTCGTGTACGCAGAACTCCATCAAAAGAAGCTGGAAGAGGCTCTAGATATCGGGATTTCACAAGAGACTGAATGGGCTGCTGGTCACGGCCGTTCTCAGGTACCAGTGGGACAGAATCAGAATCATCCACCTACAAGCGAAGAGAAACCGGCCGTCATCAAAAGTGCTGGTTGCCCTCACAAGGCGGCGACCACCGCGGCTTCCGCAATTGAGGAAGACACTCTAGCAACAGCACCGACACCTTCGCAGGCAGCAAGCCAGGCTTCTGTAACTACGGCGAAGTTGAGCTATCCATTGCCACCCCCGGTTCCAGTGGATGCCAGAGGTTTCAAGTGCCCTTGCTGCTGTCAGACATTGCCAAAGATGTTCACAGAGAAGGCTCGATGGAGGTACGTCCGACCCATTCCCCGGGATCTTTAGTACGTCACGCTAACAGTTACAGAAAACACATCTCTGAGGATCTATGCCCATATACATGCCCATTCAGTGATTGTGCAGAAGGAAGCATGCTATACCCTACGAGGCAGGGTTGGAAAAGCCACATCAATGATAAGCACGGTGGAACACAATATTGGGAGTGCTTGTCCTGTGTAGGGACGGAAAATGGTGGCGCATTTCCGAGTGCCGAAGGCCTCGCCGTCCATATTAGGACACACCATCCGAAGACGATTACCCAAGAGCAGATTCCCGCTCTTCAGGAGTTGGGTTGCAGAATTGCACCCCCGCTAATGCCATCATGCCCACTCGGTTGTCCGTTTCAGACAGAATGGCGCCTCTTGGATGCAGGAAGCCGGCTTGAACATATTGGAGACTGCATCCACGACTTTTCTCTTAGAGCGTTACCTTGGGCAGAATTAGGTGACACTGTAGAGTCTGGGAGACATCCGAAGCTTCACCAGAGTGTCTTTAAATGGCTCAACGGTATGGACGGGCCAGTGGCAGACGAGAGCCACAAGCTAAGGTTTCTACACATCGAGACAAACCCCCCGCTGCTTGCCCGCCCTTTTGTGAGGAGCGAATATTTCGCCGAAGAGTCGGACGACTCTTGTCACGTTGAGAAAGGATCTCCCTCAACCATCGATACCGATGAGCTTTGCCAGCCTCAATCACCGGGAGATGGAGTAACCCTAGATGGCAAAACCGATACGAGGACTCTACCAACTGGAGCATCTCAGCCGTCAGCGGATTCCGTCTCCCACCCGATCGCATCTCCAGGTCAGGACCAGATCGAAGATGATAAGCCGAACGTCTTCTCTCCGCCCCTTCCTAACTATCTATCTGGCTTCGACAATATTGCTGATAGTATCACCTTCGCACCTTTAGGTGTTAAGGATGGTTCCACTAACTCAGAGTTCCATCCTGCTCCACGGAGGCCCCAAGCAGAAGCAGGACGAAAAAGGTCTAGAGAAGCAGGACGAAAAAGGTCTAGACGAGCGGCAGCTTCATCCTCTCGGAGTTTACAGTGCGGCACCTGCACCGAAAAATTTAGAACCAACAGCGACCTCCAAGACCATATCCAAAGAATCCACTCCAGGCCACTGAGATGTGTCTTTGACTACGCTGGCTGCACGGCCACCTTCAACAGCAAGAATGAATGGAAGCGCCATGTCCTTTCACAACATGTTATTCTTAATTATTGGATTTGCACGGACCCTGTATGCTTTCGGGCTAATCCGGATTCTGGAGGAGCCATATTCAACCGCAAGGATCTCTACACCCAACATGTTAGGCGAATGCATACTCCGGACGAGTATAAGCATACTCCTTATAATCAGAGCCCGGAGTGGGGTGCAGCTCTCCGGGAGATGCAGATAAGCGCAGAGCGCAGGAGGTGTGCCATGCCTCAATATATGCGGTGCCCTGCGGAAGGTTGCAAAAGTGAGTTTAGCGGCCCTAATGCGTGGGATGACCGCATGGAGCATGTGGCGAGGCATCTCGAGACGCCCGGTGAGCCACGCGTTATCTTCGGTGGAGACAATGATGAGACCCTGACTGCGTGGGCCTCGAGCCCTGCCGTTAACATCGTTCGTCAGGTCGGCGCCGATGAATGGGAACTTGTTGTCCATATTGAGAACCACCGCCAGTGAGCTGGTGGCTACGAGAAAGGCCGTCGTGGACACTACCGAAGAAAGAGCATCAAGCAACACGCAGCGGGAATGAAACGGAAAAGAAAGGATATATACCGTCCTGGCCACCGCCAGTGGTCCCCTGGCCAGCTCTACTGAATCCATCCGCGGTCTCTGAGGATTGGTGCCCGGGGGATAGGAGGCCGAGCCTCGTGTCTATAAGCGAGAAGGAATGAACATAAAGTATTTTAATTATCCTTTAAGGTAGGTATTTTTGCAATAGATGGCGGCTTACTGCGGAGGAGATCTACGCTAGACTACCCATCTGGAAAATGATCGCGCTACAATCTTGAATGTACTCTTCTGCTCGATCTAGGCTCTGAACCTGAAGACTGAGCTCGTTTTTATTAGGTCGACTCTTTGTAAAACAGATTTTTGGTGGTCAAAACTTAAAAGGGTACCTTGCCCTGGAGATACCCCCGGCAGAGCCTATCACTGTATTCCTCATTAAGAAAATCGGAATTCTCTTCGCAGCGCAGCTGCAAGTTGTACCTCAGTCCCACGCATTTAGCTGTGTTGGAAGAAGACCAGGTATGATTTGGCTATGGCAGAAAAGACAAGGGGATTTCATGCAGTAAGCGCACTCCTGTTGGCATTGCATTGATGTGCTTTCTTCAGTTGCCGCCTTGATGGAAGACGGTAAGCGCCTGCCACCAACCACAGTTTTATGTTAGCCGCACGATGAAACACTCCAAAGGCAGGCTTTAGCTTCATTTCCATCAGCATTAGTAAAGAGAATATATATCACTGTTGGTGATATCGTTGCTTAATTGGGAAGAAGAAGGTTTCTTCCTGGGAACAGTGTTCCCAAACTATCTAACGTCTCGGCAGAGGTTCGGTAGAACTCAATGGGGCCAACCAGCCAATCAGGGCTTGGTTCCCACAATCACTTTTAGAGGCAAGTATTGGCTCTTATCCTAGTTCCAACGATGGCAAAAACTACGCCGCACAATCGGAGAGTTCTTTACATCAGTCATTTCCCTCCATATTCACACCAGTAACTCAGGTCCCAGACAGCGGCCCGGTCCATGAAGACAAATGGGACAGCCCGGCCCAGCGCCCAACGGCCCCTATACCTTAGACACAACCCCAAACGTGACTCTGAGAGACTTCAACCTCCCAGCAAGCTGTTTGCACCTGGCTAGGGCAGTCACAAAATACAAATCCGATCCAAGCGGAGATGCCTGGATATGGGATATCGCATCACTTCTCAATGAGACCTTTCCCGGTGTTCTATTGAACGCGAAGCTTAGCGATATTAGGTCATGGTACAACCACTCTGCAATTTTAAATTGGGGTTTATGAGACATTCAATATGATGTTCGCAACGCATGTCTACCGCAAGTTTTTCAAGCGGCAGGCATCCAAGAGAACTCAGACTTGGTCGGGATTGGGGTATAATATAGACGCTCCTCTCTCACCTCTTCGTCGTTGATATAACTCTAACCATAATTAAAAAGGTTTTCATATCAGAGGAAGTGGTTCTGGCCGCGTTTTACGTGCTTGCCTTCCTCTTGTTCGCTGTCGTCCGAAAGCGCTATGCTGGGCCCTTGACGAAGAGCTTCACTGAGACACCACTCTGGGCGGCCATACAATCCAGCCTCGGCGTGTTTTTCGACACTTCCTTTTTTTTCGCGCTCGGAGTCCTTATTGCTGCAGTCACCATATCCTTCCTCAAAAACGACGGGAGGAGCCTCTACAACATCCCATTCTCAGCCACGAGTGCCAACATAGTAGTGACTGTCCCTATGCTTCTCTGGCCGTTCTTCGAACCGACATGCCAGCACCCGACATATCGTCGTACCCTGATATACATATTCGTGGCGCTCAATATCTCTTTCTGCGTAAACCTCCTGGTTTCCTTCGTTGTTCGACTGGAAACTACGGAGGTGTTGGGGGTCGATGACTGGTGCTACGACGCCTTGGGGGCCCAGCCGGTAAAGATGTCGGCGGTAATAGGAACAGTTGTCAACTCCATCTGGTCGGTTACGGCCGCACTCATTGAAGGCTTTGGCGGACCTTTTATCGAAATCCCCCGGCGCAGAAACAGCCTTGAGGACAACGTCTAGTTTCACTCTTCCGGTGCAAGCGAGGGAGGCTTGGTGCGGTACTCTCCTGGGCGTGGCCTTTGTGATGATGTGGTGGGCATTCTCCTCGTTCCTCATACTCAGGCGATACTACTCCCAGGCCATTGGAGATTTGCTAGAGCAAGATGAATGGGGATTTGGTCAAATCGTAGCCGTCATCGCTTGGACGCCTGTGGCTATCGACTTTATTCTTGTCTGGTGGAGTAAGTAGACCTGTACATCATGAATTCGGTGGCACTAAGAATGTTTACTGACCTCCCCTAGGGAAGTTGCGTGGTTTGCAATGGCGATTGCCGATCGGGCTGATGCTCTACTCTGAAGAGTCGGAGGTGGGAGAAGGGACCTCCCATCCTTTGCAGCTTGTCAAGGAGGCGGGAAGGGTTGAAATTCAAGGTCTCCAACTTTCTCGGCCTCGAACATTTTAGCACTTCTTAACTACAAGAAGTGGCGGGACTAGGATGCAAGCCAAGTGTTAGGTTTCATATTCGAGAGTTATTATTATTATTATTTGATAGATGTCGAGGAGTTGTTCTCACCCAACCTCCGTCATGGAACGAATATCTTTCCCATTGGCGTGATAACTTTGCCATGATCCGGTATTGAGCTGTATGGGTAAGAAGTATGCCCAAAAAAGGGTTTCTCGGATGACAGGAAGTCGCCTTCAGAAAAAGAGCATGGGTCTAGGCAAAGGATAGCCTTTCCGCCGCGTTGCCACATGAGATAGGAACCCAAGAAGCCGTTGTCGGGGACATGCCGTAGCCAGTTGTTTTTAGTTTCTCCCGCGCTCCATCCGCCGTGTAGTCGATACCGTCCAAAGATGGTGAGGTGATGGTGATTCGTTCTATTAGTGGAGGAAGGAGCAGTGAGGAGCCGAAGCCTCTTCCGCCCACACATCCACACACCATTTAGTTCTTTTTCGAGCAAACAGATTCCCCGTTTGATAGATCATTTGATCGTTGATTCCAATTTCCCACAGGTTATGACCCCTGTATGGACAAGAATATACGGGATAAATTTTGCCCAAAGCTGGTCCGTTTCTAGATTCAAAGATTCAGGAATGGACCAAGCCTTTTTTCCTCGTTCTCTTTGAAATGCCGTCTTCTTTCTTTGAACGAATCGACCCCGTCATCCCCTCACATCGGAGGCCAGCGCAAACGACCTACTGGCCAAGATAGATGCCATCCTCAAGTGCATGGAAAGCCATGGAGACGAGATACGAGAAAAGGTGGCAGCCATGCAAACCCCGCCCGCTGCAGCACCACCCGAAGACGATAATAGCGGTTCGCATGTCACGAGGCCCAAGAAATGGCCATGCCTGGAAAGAAGCAGAAACCAAGTGTCCCAGAGAAAAAGCACAGAGCTTAGCCACCCGGAGATTAACATTCGTTTCCGAGGTTCTTCTGGCTGGAAATAATCTGGATAGAGTCGTACTTGTCCCAGATATCACGGCATTAAGCTTACTTCGTCTGCCGATGTGTCTCACCGACGTATGAACAGCACTGCAGAGAGTCAGCAACAGTACGACACCGCCAGAATCCCACGCAGAAATACACGTCAATGGTCGCACGGTTGTCTTATTTGCCGGGCTAAGAATAGGGCTTACTGGTGTATGAGTCGTGGGATTTGGCCGAAACACGGCTGTGTCAAGCCCCATCAAAGGGAGGAAGTATTAGGTGCTTAAAGCTTATCCTGGCCCGAAGTGCGCATTGCAGTACTCGCACTAGTCATGGAAAACGTTTTGAGCAAGGTACCAGGGATCCAGGTAGGAAGAGTTTATTTCTTTCCAGTAGAGTGACGTAGATAGTTCCGTGCCAGAGACAACCAGAGGGTGCTGGCGGCGATGGCATCAGTTCCACATTGCCTTGTCTACTTGAAAGAGTTGAGAAATAACAAGGAAGGAGCCTCGATAAAGCAGTCGCCAGTCGCGCCTTCCCGTCTTCCCAGTTCAGTCTTCTAACCCCAGAACAAGTCTTATACCAAATCAAGGCCAAGAATTCCAACAAATAGGAACCTGCGGAGGTCTGTAGTCGTCATCGCTTGAACTTCTGGGATCTCCAAGGGGACCATCCGGGTTCGATCCGCATCGCGATCAAGAACCTCTTTTTTTTTCTTTTTTTTTTTCTTTCTTTCTTTCTTTCCTGACCACCCCCCAAGACGCATTTTGTTTCTTCTTTTTATTCTTTGCTGCCATTTGATTTCTCTTCGCTGCGTAAGCTTTCCTAGCCACCGCCTTAGAAGATTCCTTTGGAAAAGGTCCTGGACGCAAGCTCCAAGCTGCTCCAGGCTATGAAAAAGGTCAGAGAGGCGGGAACTACCGATGAAACCTCCTTTTCAGAGACAGACTACGAAGTATTTCCACCGGCAGCCGTGTGTTGGCACATGCGTGACACCAAGAGAGGTGGCACATCCGGGGAATTGAGCTAGCTCCTTTGCCCACACTTACTTCTTCTAGCCCTGTTATTAGTCTCTCTCTAGTAGAAAGGTAGACTAGTCCCATGATATGTCACATTTCAAGAATTGCAGAGCGAGTAACGTTGCTGAGGTTTGCGTTGCTACTTCGTACATCTCTTCTTGTTGGGCTGCCGCCACCCGTCCAGAGACTTGTCGCCTCTTCCAGAATAGAGACAGCATGGTGCAGAAGAGGATCGACACTCCCGGGGCGTTTTTGAGTATTTCTAACCGGAATAGGGAGAGCGCTCCACACGTTGAGACTCTGCTCCATGCATGCACGCCTTTTATTGTGGATAGGATGCTTTCCGGATAGGAAGCTCATTTGGCAAATCCGACCTGCTCACCCTCCGGTGTTACTCTCTGGGCTAAGCTACCTGATGATACAATACCTGAGTAAAAGGGCCGGATTTTAGAATAGCACCAGCACGACATAGAGTAAGCAATTGCTATTCTGAGAACGGCTGACGATCATTGTGGAAAAAACTAAGTTTATCTTTCAGAACTCTTTTCCCGTCACACTTTGAATCTCGTCAGCTTTCCTGCATAGATGTAGTAGTTCCGGAATAAAGTATTGAACTACCGGCGATGTCTTGTTTTCTCGGTGCATTTGGAGACGGAATGACGCTTCTGTGATCGTCGCAGTCCGGATCCTGACAGATAAGATGTCTTTGTCCTACTGCAAGCCATGGTTACCCGTGAATATAATCGAGACGGCAGACGATCCGTTAGACACAACCAGTGTGCGTTCTCGAACATCACCCTTCTCCCTCAAATATCGTAGTGCAGGTCTCCTGGTCTTACAAAGGTCGATCCGCGCCTTGGATACTCAAAGACGATATTCGGAATTATGACCATGACTTCTACATCGGACGATAAGATTAACGAGGTTTCCGCTCCAGACAACGAGCGAGACGGTTCGATCAGAGACGGGGAGCTTGCATTAACTACGGAAGATATAGAGACTGGTGGGTTCGACCTACAGGCTACTAAACGCCTCCTTTGGAAGATTGATCGAAATCTGCTCCCTCTTATCACGCTACTATACCTGTATGGCAGTTCATATCCATAACATGCCCTCCGCAGCCTAATCTTGGTGAACTTATTCCAATTACTCCAACTGCAGTTTGAATTTCCTTGACCGCACCAACATCGGCAATGCCCGCCTAGCAGATCTTGAAGAAGACCTTGGGATGAAAGGTCTGGACTACAATGTAATATGAATATCTCGATCTTCCCCCCCCCCCCCCCCCCCCCCCAGGCGCCTTATTCCCCCGCTTATATGCTGATTTGTCTACTCTAGATCGCTTTAGCCGTTTTCTACCCCTTGTATATCCTCGCCGAAATCCCATCGAACCTGGCCCTGAAGCGATGGCGACCATCAATCTGGATTCCCTCCCTCATGATCGCCTGGGGCGTCGTCTGCACGCTCATGGGTATTGTTAAGGACTTTCCTGGCCTGCTCATTGCCCGCTGCGCCTTGGGCATCGCCGAGGCAGGGGTCTTTCCTGGGATCAATTACTAGTATGAGCGCCAGGCTTGAGCGTCGCGTCTCTTTTTCCCTTCACATGGCTGTGAAGCTAAGCTGACATTACGTGTAGTATCACTCTGTGGTATCGTAGGAAAGAGTGCGGCCTGCGTATGGCTCTCTTCTTCTCCGCGGCGACTGCCGCCGGCGCGTTCGGCGGGTTATTGGCACGAGCCTTGGTCGAAATGGATGGAGTCGGTGGGTTGTCCGGATGGTCGTGGATCTTCATCCTCGAGGGAATCGCGACTGTCGTGATCGGTATGGGCCATAAATCCCTCTCAATCTTACCGTCTCCATTCTTTACCGCAGACTCACATATTGCCTAGCCGTTTTCGCATTCTTCTTACTGCACGATTATCCTTCAACCGCGCGATTCCTCACACCAAAAGAAAGAAGCGAAGTTGTCCGCCGCCTAAAACACGACCGTTCCATCCTTCCAGACGAGTTCGACCTCAAATACGTCCAGCACGCCCTAAAGGACTGGAAGATCTGGGTCCACATGTTCATCACCTTTGGAATTTACACAGCCGTCTACTCATACGCCTTATTCACGCCCACCATCGTCAAGAATCTCGGGTACACGAACGAACGCGCCCAACTAATGTCGGCGCCACCCTACGTGGTGGCCTGCTTCTTCTGCATCATCTGCGGGTACTTCGCGGATCGGCATGGCCAGCGAGGGATCTACATTATATGCAGCTGTGCTCTTGCGTAAGTTCCTCTTGTCTCTCTTCGGGAATATCTCGCCCGTTTGCTTTTTTTGATCCAACGTTGACGTGGCGACCCCCGAAAAAAGCATCATCGGCTACGCAATCCTGATGATTTCACAGAACAACCACGTCAAATACTTCGCCTGCTTCGTCGTCGCTGCCGGCATCTACCCCAACGTGCCTCAAGGTGTGGCCTGGAACGGCAACAATATCGGCGGTTCCATCAAGCGCGGTGTCGGGATCGCCATGCACGTAGGCTTTGGTAACCTCGGGGGTATCCTTGCTAGTTTCGTCTATCGTGACGATGGTCCGAGGTTCCTCTCGGGGCATGGACTTCTACTGGGCTTAGTGACGATGAGTATGGTACTTTGTATTTTTATGAGGAGTTATTTGATAAGGGAGAATGCCAGGAGGGATCGAGAGTATAAGAAGCCTGATGAGTATACGGTGGCGGAGATGGTTCGGGATAGGGAGATGGGAGATGATGCGCCGTATTTTCGGTATGTTGTTTGAGCGATGGGTTGGATTTTTATTGTCGATGGCGGTTTTGAGGCTGTGAGTGAAGAACCTGTTTCATCTTTTTGAAACGTTGGTGTGAAGGGGGAAAAAAAAAAAGGATCGAGTGAGAGGAAGAATTAGCGATTCGGCGACGGGGGACGATAATTGAAATAAATCGTGAACGGAGTCAATACTCGGAACTCGCATCAAATCAAACTTGGGACGGGCGCTTGACCTCTCAGACTGCCGATCTATGAGAGATCTGGGAGGATGGTTTTATTACAGTCCCAAACTTCTTCCCGTGCGCCAAGTAGATCTTGCTCAAATGAAGGGTTATGCGATACAACACTCGGAAGCATCGACAAGCATCAATTGATGGCGCGTCGTTGGGGGTCTTGGCCGAGCTGTGACGAGTGGGATTGGGGATGATCGGCACCAAAGAATCGAGTCTCGGGACTGGAAGCGAAATGAGAGATCCAAGAACGGGTTTTCATGTACAGTATTATCGTATTATGGACATTGTCATCCTAAGTAGCGTACACCACATCTCCCTCCAACACATCTCGCGTCTACCCAGTCATTGAAATCCCCCACGGCCTAGACCTACTAGTTATTCCTCCTGGCCTTCTTCTTGGGTTTGCAGCTGCCGCCGCCGGGGGATGCGGCCTTCTTGAGCACGTCGACGATGGAGTCGTAGGCGGGGTGCTTCTCGAAGTCCTCGAACCAGAGGAGGGCGGCGCCTTCGCCCTCGAAGACGAAGGGGACCCAGCTGAAGGGATCGTAAAAGTCCCAGAGGGTTAGGCCGACACAGGCCTCGGACTGGACGCAGGCAGCGACGGACTATTTTGACGCAAGTTTAGCTTCGATTGAGTTCTTCCGAAAAAAAAGAGGGGGAAATGGAATGTAAATAGGGAAAGTGGGGAGGAAAAGCTTACATCGCTGTAGACCTTGGCCTGCCACTCGAGGTTAGTCTCGTTGGCGGGAGTCTGCAACCGAACGTCGAGCTCCGTGTAAGCGACCTCCACACCAGTAGCGGCATAAGAGTCGATGACGGCAAGTTGGGCCTTGAGATCCGGGGCCTGGTGGGCAATAAGGTGAGCCTGCATGCCAACACCATCAATCTTAATCCCCTCATCCTGGAGCATCTTCACAATCCGGACAGCGGCCTCAGACTTGGGACCGACGGACTCGAGGTTGTAATCATTGTAATAGAGCTTCGCGTCTGGATCGACCTCGGAAGCGACCTGGAAAGCGAGCTTAATATAATCCTCGCCGAGAGTATTGTAGAAGATGGACTCGCGGTAGGTTCCGTCCTCGTTGAGGGCCTCATTGACGACATCCCAGGCATAGCATTGGCCCTTGTAATGGCCGGCAACCTCGGTGATGTGGTTCACAATGATCTCGCGGAGTTCCTCGGCGGTCCACTCGGTCTCCTCGACCCACGGGGCGAGCTGGCTGTGCCAGACGAGAGTGTGGCAGCGGAGGAGCTGGCCGTTTTCCTTGGCGATGTTGGCGGTGATGTCGCCTTCGGTGAAGTTGAAGACGCCCTGTTCGGGTTCGACGAAGAGCCACTACGCGGGTTGTCAGTCATGATGAAGAAAGGGCAAGCAGGGTAGCGGAGCCTATTGATGAAGGAGAAAAGGCACACCTTCTGGCCATTGGTAGGAGTGGTCTGGCCGAACTCGTCAATGTCGTCGAGGATGGCATCATACTGGTCGTAGGCAGCCTCGAAGCCGGCGCGCTCACGCTGGCCGGGGCTGTCGGTGGCGGCACCGAAGTACTTGAGGCCGGCCTTTTTGGCGAGCTTGTTGAGTTGGGCGTTGGCGCCGGGCAGCGAAGCCGCCAACAGGGGAAGGGCCAAAGTAGAGAGATGCATGACGAGTATTAGAAGAACTTGAGGATAAGACAAGAAAACGAATGTAACTGAACCTGAAGAGATTCAAGGAAGGAAGGGTCCCAAGGGAATTCTCTTTAAAAGATGTAGATTGGAGGGCGGAGGAGAGACCGAACAACAGAGAGGTAGGAACGTTGGGAATAGTCATTTATAGATCAATGACAATCCAAGCTTGGACTGACGGGAAGAGCTCTCCCCTCTCCCAGTGTTACCTTTCATTATCCGGTCCCATTGTTCGCAAGAGGCTCCCGTATCGACAGATGGGGCCGGCTTGGCTGTCAGGGTAGTACTACACATGTCCACTTTGAGGAGAACCTGGTCTAGTAGCGGGGCCGCCGCCCGTGTTTCCATTTGAGGATTCCTTGGGCTAAACCTGAGCGGCGGCTAATAAACTCGATTTGATCTGGGAAACCAGTACGCAGTACAGGTAGACGGGGTACTGAGGGTTGGAAATTGGGCAGCCGGGTCCGGTCAGTGGAGGATGATCCGAGTCCCCTTGCTAGCCTTTCCCTGCGTCTCATACCCGGGGCATCCCAGGACGGATTAACCGGAGGGTCGTTCCGGAAGAACTCAGCAGAGCCAATTCTATTTTCTTCGGGAACGGGATGAGCGACATGAACAAGCTCAATTACCTCCACTCCAGTGGCCAATTGATTGATGGGCGATCTTCCCGTCGATAAACAATGACAATGCATCAAATGATGCTGCCATTTGCTGGTCCGGTTTGGTTGTACACCGAGCGAGTGGTTAAAGAAGAGAAGCCCGCCCCTACTTCGTCAACTTCGAGTGCAATCTTGGATATGGAGGTCCGGGGAGGAGGCCCAATAAGATTTCATCGGATAAAATCAGAAATGGGGACGACAGATGATCCATTGGGATCTTCAGCTGTCCGAGCATCGAAAAGGGCAGTATTTTGATCGGAGGGTGGCATCGCAGCGTCTCCTTGTCATGCAGGCACATGGGAGAAGGACATTTTGCCGGCTTGGCTGCGTCCTGTCGTTTATTTCCGGGCATCAATCAATCTCTCGCCCGCATTCCGCATTCCCCGCAGGTACCAGCAATCCCCCGTCCAAGCAGAACAGAGGGAAGAGGGAGCACAGGTGATTGACGGCAGGACGCGTGGGAAAAATGCATGCTCCTGAGGAACGCCTGCAAGGTCCAAACCCAATTGAAGAATCTAATGGTTTGATAAGAATGCCGCGGATTGGGCAATGGCAGGTTCCAGCACAGATTCCACTGTCTCGATCGGCGAAGTATGTCCCTGATCTGAGGACAATTGAATTGAGATCTCGATTCGGTGGTCGGGTCTGTGGGACAGAGTTGGAAGTGGATGCGGAGAAGCCAGTTGGAGCGGGGGGACGCTAGAAACAGTCTGGAAGGGGTTTCTGGTCCTGGGAAATGAGCGCGACGGATGAGGCGGGCCTTGATCGGTCGTCATCAGGGGGATGCCAGATTGAGACTGGCTTCACCGAAGAGCGTCTGCGGGCGTCGAATTCCAATTACCCAGAACCTTGGCTTAGCTTCGAGATTCTACCCAGCTTTTACCCAACATTGAAGTCAAGAACTGCCCACCTGTCGCGTCGGATGGACCTCAAAGGTTTGTGGTTGCAGAAATAGTCAGGATTGATCGATCGATTGGTGCTTCTGGTCCATCACTAACGTCGATTGTCTCGGGGCGGGCAACATGCTCCACAGATTGCGGGCGCGCAGCTGCGCGACTTGTCCCCTTCGCTTAATGTCTTCGTTTCTACATTTCTTTGGGTGGATCCAAGTGTACGCGATGATGGAAGACAAGAAGATGCGGCCTCTGACAATAAGCTACCATCCCATAAGTACGCACAATTAATCATTATTATCATGGATCCCCCACCGAGTATCGAAAGGCCTAAGTCCCCGAACCAGGAACAGAAGATCTGGGTAGGTTCCAGCGGCTTGGAACAACCAAACACCTGTCCGTCTGCCGACTCATATGATCTGCGCCCATCAGACGCCTTCGCCGGCCCACAAGGACATCCGGAGGGGCATAGAAATACCATTTAATCCATTGTAGGCTCGGCTCTAGAATGCTTATACACACCATTTCTCTATGATTTTTTGTTTTTCGATGCGCTGATACACAAATGAGTCTGCACACTTTCCATCAAAATACACCAAGCCAAAAAAACACCACATCTATCTCGCAGACCCCATTCGAAATTGCCTTATTTCTCCTCGGTCTCGCGTGGCTCTCCTAGGTCCTCCTCCCCAGTAGCGCTGAACATTGTCTCTTGAGCTGTAAAGGTCACAAGTCAGCGGCTGATGACATTGCCGGGTCGGTGGGAAAGGGTTAAACGCTTTATACTTACCACTCCAGAGCTCCGAGTACAATCCACCACTATCAATAAGCTGCTGATGAGTCCCCATCTCCGCAACACTTCCCTCCCTCAACACAATAATAAGATCGGCATCGAAAATAGTCCTCAGCCGATGCGCCACAAACACGCTCGTCCGGCCCTTCTCGCGAAGAATACTATTAATATTCGCCATAAGCGCCTGTTCCGTATGCGTATCCAGCGCGCTCGTCGCCTCATCGAAGAAGAGCAGCGGCGGGTCCTTGAGTATCAGCCTGCTGACGGCGAGGCGCTGCTTCTCGCCGCCCGAGATCATCATGCCGCGCTCACCGACCTTGGTGTTGTACCCGTCGGGGAACTTTTGGATGATTTCGTGAATGTGTGCACGCTGGGCTACCGACACGATCTGTTCGTGCGTGGCGTTGATGCTGCCGTATCGGATGTTGTGCTCGATCGTGTCGTTGAAGAGAGGCGTGTCCTGCGGCACGACGCCGATGGACTTGCGCAGAGATTCCATCGTCACGTCGCGGATGTCCTGGTCGTCGATGAGGATGCGACCCGAGGGTACGTCGTAAAACCGGAAGAGCAGCTTCAGAAGGGTAGATTTTCCGCATCCGCTGGGGCCGACGATGGCCACCTTCTTGCCGGCGGGAATGGTGAGGTTGAGGTTGCGTAGGATCGGCCTATCCGGGTGGTATCCGAAGGAAACATTCTCGAATTTGATCTCGCCGCCCTTCGGCAACGCCAAAGGCTTCGCATCTGGCGCATCCGTGACGGTGACGTTGACCTTTTGGAGGTTGAACAGAGTCTCCATGTCTAGAAGAGACTGGCGAAGTTCCCGGTAGACCGAGCCGAGGAAGTTTAGGGGGACGGAGAGTTGGAACACCAGCTGGTTGACCATGACGAGGTCGCCCACCGTAAGGGAGCCCTGCGCGACGCCGTTGCAGGCGAGGTACATCATGGTCGTGAGCGCTGTCGAGAAAATGACGTTTTGGCCACCGTTGAGGAAAGCCAGGGACGTGGCCACCTTGATCGAGCTCTTTTCGTATTCTTTCAGAGCCTTGTCGTAGCGGGCAACCTCAAAGGGTTCGTTGTTAAAGTATTTCACAGCCTCGTAGTTGATCAAGGAATCGACGGCCACGGTAGACGCCCTATTGTCCGCCGCATTCGCCTGTCGCCGGAACTTCGTCCGCCACGCCGTAGTCCATATCGTGAAAGCCGTGTAGCCCACCATGGTGAGCACGGTAATAGCGGCAAACTTCGCTCCGTATTGCCACGTGAGGATACCACAGACCATGCTGATCTCGAGCGCCGTAGGCAAGATGTGGAAAACCATACTGGTCAACAGGAAGCTAATACCCTTCGTTCCTCGGTCAATCGCACGAGTCAGGCCGCCGGTCTGCTTGGAGAGATGAAAGCTAAGGTCGAGTCGGAGAAGGTGATCAAAGACGTTGCGCGCAACGCGTCGAATAGCCTTCTGCGCAACCGAGGCGAAAACGGCATTCCGGAGTTCCTGGAAAAGCGAAGCGCCTATCCTCGTCGCGCCGTACGCCAAGATCATGCTTCCCGCTACGACGACGGCGTTACCACCCATAGCGCCGACATCTACGTTCATGGCGTCCACGATGGACTTGAAGTAGAACGGCACCTGCACGTTGAGGACCTTGGCTCCAATCAGCAGGGATACAGCCAGAGCGACCCGGAACTTGGTATCTAGATTTCCCTTTGGCCACAGGTAGTGCGACATCTCCTTCATAATGGCCCAGTCTGCCTTTCGCTGCTCCTGCGCGGACTTGTCGATGGCTGCCAGCGGATCGCTTGCGGGCTTCGCAACCTTTGGTTTCGCGGGGACGACGGGCGGTGACTTGGCGCCATCATTGCCGGTGGTCGCGGGTCGGATTGGGGAGGTTTCGGAGGGAAGAAGAGGTTTTTTGGGAGTGGTTCGGAAGCTTCGAGAGATGTGGAAGGCTCGAGTCGAGTAGGATGTAAAGACCCATTGAGACGGAGAAATAGAGCGTACCGGGCTGACAGAGGTCGCCGGGAAGGCGCTCAGCCGTAATAGGGAGGTTCGTAACATAGTATATGACAGCGAAGGTTATTGAAGCATTATCGGGGTGAGACGTCGTTGGATTCGAGATTCGGTTGAGGTTTTGATGGCGGGGTCGTCGGAGCTTGCATTCAGCTCGACCTGGCTGCAGCTAAAGCTCAGATTATGGGCATCTGGAGGTTCGCCGTCTCACGTTTCCAGCTACTTGTAGAGTCTTGCTGGCCGGGGAAGCATTGGCAGGCACCTTGATGGGGTACCGGTATGAACGGAAGTGAAGGTTTGCCGCGGCGAAAAGCACCTCTTTGTCTTTGAACGCAAATTGACTCAAATCAGTGGAGAATGACGGTGTTGCAATTCGTGCCCAAAATTAGGATATGTGACGTCGAACCCCCTGTACCTGCCTTCGTCAGAGCTTGGGCCCACAACATCACGTGAAATTATGCCGCCGAAGAAGCAGGTACTTTGGGGGGCACGTGAGCTCGTGATGGTCCTTCTTCTCCAAATGACGACAAGTAATCCGCAACCGCGACGGAGATCCTTGAGCCCTTCCCAGCAACGTTACGCGTTGGCAGCACGAGAATGACATCACATACGGAGTGCGGAGTACAAGAAGCCAGAATCAGTACCTCATATGGGAAAGACATTCCTTAACCAATTTCAGCTTTCCTTCGATTCTATTTCGTTTACTCAGTATCGCTCTTCTCAGAGGCGTGATCCTCTGGGGCAAGGGAAGGAACCACCTGGCCCACGCCACCTTCTACCGAGCAAAGAGTAAAACCATATAGCAGTGATTAATCGCAGGTGGCATTAAGGGATCTACCAGCTAAGCTAAACAGTTAAGCCTTCATCCTCTAGGCAGCTGGTGAAAGCGCTAGAGGTGTTCCTGGTTCGACCCCAGGTTGGATCAGGATGTAATAGGGTTTCCCCAGTAAGCTGGCAACGGCGGATCCCGATATTTTTTTTCTCTCTCTTTATCTTATTTATCTTATTTATCTTCTTTTAGATATTTTATCTCTTTTATTTTAGCGGCGTATGTTCCCAAGGTTGTTACTTGTGTCTACACTTTCAATATAAACGGGGACTTGAGAGGGTCTTGACGTTTGACGCAGCCTTGTATGGGGTCTCCTGAGTTTCCTGACCTCTGCAAGGCATTTACACCAGCCGTCTTGAATTCCGTATTATGATGCCGGTAAATACGACACAAGGCTGAATGAACAGTTTACAAATCCTCCACAGGAGTTCGAGGGAGATCAACTCCAACCGTATCCGGTCCGTGCAGCATTGAGGCAAGGCCAATCTATGGGTGATAGTTACAATGAAGGCATTTGGCGGTTGACCAGAAAATGGGGCAAAGATGTCTAAGCGCAGAGGAGGTCAAAGGTCTTCTCGTTCGGGGTTATAATTCCCATAGCCTTCACATCACAATGCAGGACGGGGCTGAGGCTTCGTAGCCTCCGACTATCGTTTTCATCGTCGTGTCTATCTACCTTAAATTAAGAAGAGCCATGGGGTACTGATGTGCGAAATCTGCTCCCACCCAGGACATTCGCTGTCTGAAAAAGAGAACAGGGTCGTGGTTTCAACAACGTTCAGTCTTTAATATTGTCTAACATGAACTAAGAAGGAGCTGGGTTTCTATCAATACCAAGGGTAAGGCTCCATGGAATCCGGGAAGATGGCCCCGGAACTAACAGATCAGCTAGCAGATTCCACACTACGAGTGTACTTGCAAGGGGTCATGGAGTTGAGGAATGCTCTCCTGCCGGTAATACTCGTAGTTCCATTTGGTTTGAGCCTTCATCCAAGTCCTCTTCCTTAATCAAAGATGGCAATCCCGCTCAAACCCCCGTCCTAAAAACATATCGAGTGACTGGCTTCCTCGACTTGACTCTCGCATTCCGCCGAACGCATTGATTCAATTCATGTGCCATGTATTAACCCTCAGAGGTTACTGCGTAGACCTGGCATTTAGCTACGAGCACCAAGATGATCAATTTTCCAATCGCCCTTCCTGAGGATCATCAAGTCTTGTGCCCTCCACGTGTCGCCAAGTTAATGGTTCGGCACCATAGCTTGAAAAGAATGCTGCAAAACACGCAAAAGCAGGTCTTATTCCACCTTCTCAAGCCGGCGCCCCTTGCGCACTTGTCCCGCCTACCGTCTCATGACGAAGCGCGAGGATTATATTAGCTTGACGAGTGGATAACTTATATCGAGGGGCTTTGACACAGCAATGAGCACGGAGATCTAGCTCCAGAAACCTATTGACGGCGCTAGTGTTGGTATCAGCGAGTAAACAGCTAGCTTCTTCGTAGGTTCCAGACCGCTTCCCCGGACTGTCAATGGAGGTCTGTGAGCCAGTCTCAACACAAAGGCCCGGGGACTCTGAGGCGCGGGACACGGCGTGCTTGGCTGAACCAGCTTACTTCGTACTATTGATTTGTCCTTGTTTTCAATGGTTTGGTCTTGGCTTGTCCCTCCCCTAGTAGTGCGGTGTTGGTCAACGAGCGATTGATATTTATGCGGTGCATGAATCGTCTTGGGTTTACCCCGCAGAGATGTCTCTTTTTCTGTATGTCTACGCAGGTATGACTCGTGCTGGGTAAGAATTGAAGAGCCATGTAGCTTCTAAGATCAACAAGTGAAAGGAGGGGTCTCGAGAGCACGCTACGACTATATAGAGGGGTCGCTGCAAAACATCCTCGGACAAAACTCAAGCGGTAAGCACGAATGGTTCAGGGGTAGAATACTTGCTTCCCAAGCAAGTGATCCGAGTTCGAGTCTCGGTTCGTGCATTAACCTTTTTTTCCACTTTTTTTTTTTCTTCTTTCCTTTTATATATTTCCTTCATGTTATTAGACTGTGCAGCCATAATCGAGCTTGAGGGATAGACGCGGCGGTAGAGCCACTGGGCTTCGAGGCGGCGTTAAATAATAAAGCCACATACGCACACGTACTTTCAGAGGAGAACCGAGGAGTGTAGTGGGTCCTATCCCCATCCTCGCCTCGTATTAAGACCGCTCCTAGCTTATTGTCTCCTCTCATTCGGAAATCCGACCATCTCATCATCGCCAGCGCGATAAAAGAGCAATTAGGGGTCACCATCGTAAGAATGTTGATTCTTTCTCTCTACTCATATCCGTAGGAATTACTGCTCTTCAGCACGGCTCGTTCGTAGTTGCAACGGGGATGAGTTCTAGCTACAGTACTACATAGTGCGGTCTGTTGTGGCTGTCGTGAGTTGTAGCTTTTGTCAAAAAATGGTGGCCCAGGAATTCACTCCCCCCGCTCAGCTCTCTGGCCTCATCGGCGTAACGGATGCACTAACCTCAATGGAAGGTTATTGGAAGCGGAGATGATGTGGGGTTTGATGGCGTGGGGGAGCTCTATTGATAGTGACCGTGGTGTGTGTTAGGTAGGGAGTGGAGAGGTGGGTACGGAGGCTTAAAAGTACCACTAGGCTCAAACCCCTGATCTGCCAGCCCGTTGAGTGCCGGGGCGGGCTTCTTGGCAGAGGCGAATAAGGGGTGGATGGAGGAGAGTGATGTGATTGGAGACTGGCAGTGGTAAAACTCGTCTTACGATTCCTTAGGGAGGGGAGATATTAAAGACTTGCAAGAGAGCGGCGGGGCTCCTTTGTGCGAGTGAAGAAGAAATAAGGCCTGGATCCTCATCGAAGTTGTCACCAGACAAGATTACCTCGGAGTAGCCGTTTACAATGAAATGCATTATATTACCCATAACTATATCTAATAGCCGATCTATGAAACCAGGATCGATGGCGAAATAGTAATCTAGATGTAAGTCATCTACACTTTACTGCCTAGTGTGGTGCACTACCATTTAGAGCCTCGGCTAACAGCCCAACAGGGCGGGAACCCAACGAGAGGCAGAGATGGAAGAGACGCTTGGTCCATGCCACATGGCTCCATCTTCGATGCCGTGCTCGTGCTACCAATCCGGTACGCGCCAATGTCTCCGAAAGAAGCAAATTATAGTGTAAAAGAAAGAAAAAATACGCCTAAAAAACGTCCACTCTTACCCGTGCCCCACACGTATTTCGTATGAGCAAGACGAAAAATGGCACCCTAGCCACAGGTAACCCCCAACCAAGGCTCCAATTGAAGCTCAGCCTGTAGGTCCATGGGCGAGCACGCCATCTCCTCCACTTCTTACATAGAGGCTCGGCCCCGTCCAACTCGGGGTCTGCTCCGGCCCGCCACGCGCCCACGAGGTTCATCAAGGGACTGTTATCCAGGTTAAAGGAAGCCGAACCCGGTATCTCTTATCTTAAGACGCGTGGGTCCTGTAGACGTATCGTTCGAGTTAATACGATTTTGAGAAGTGTTTTGCAGATCAACCGTCCAGGGTATGGTGTTATGATCCATCTCATCTTGAAGGCGAGATCTAGACCCGCCCTGGGGAGAAAACTCGGCGTACGAGTGTAGTGTAACAGGTAAAGGAATATGCAAGGTAAGGTGGATTCATCATGGTGCCGTGCTAATTTGCTTGCCTGCGAAGTCTTACAATCTACACTCTATACTACCATAGATGCTATAGAGTGGATCAAGGTGATATTCTGTTCAAAAAGAGGGTAGCAAAAGGAGCGTTTGCCTTCCTTCTGTGCAAGTATTAAACCATAGTGATGGCCCGCGACTGTGGGAGAAGATTTTCCATTCCCACGGCATTATACCCATCTCGCAAATTAGCCTTTTGAGCCGCGCGAGATTGAGATCGTCTGCACATCTCCAGGTCTGTCCTGCAGCATCCCTACTTCATCCCCACCATGGCCACCGAAGCCATCCAAAGCCGCCCACGGAAGAAGTGGTACCAGATCCAATGGTACGCCGATGTGGATTCGCCAGCGGACCGCAGGCTGATCAACAAACTCGACTTGCTTATTGTGCCGTACGCCGTGCTTTCATACTGGGTGAAATACCTCGATCAGTCTAACCTCAGTAAGATTCTTCCCAAAGCCACAGTCGATAGAGCTGAGCTAACCTCTCATTTCTCTTTAGATAATGCCTACGTTGCTGGCCTTAAGGAAGACCTTGGCTTTCACGGCAACGAGCTAGTCCAACTCCAGACATTTTATATCATCGGCGCCGTAGTGGGGCAGATTCCGTTTATGTTCCTGTGTACCTACTGTCCGATGCATTGGACTATACCGGCTCTAGATATTCTGTGGGGTATCTTTACGCTATTACAGTATAGGGTTACGGGCTATGCTGAGCTTGCTGCCTATCGATTCCTCGTCGGCTGGTTTGAAGCTCCATTCTATCCAGCTATGCACTACATCCTCGGTATGCTTTATCTTAAGACTCTACTTGACGGGTTGTTTTCTGACTTGCTCTAGGATCGTGGTACCGGGGTGACGAGATTGCTCGCCGAGGGGGCATCTTCTATATTGGACTCTCCCTTGGAACACTCACCTCTAGCCTTATCCAAGCTGGCGCGAGTGCAAGGCTAGATGGTGTTAATGGCCTTGCCGGCTGGCGATGGATGTATATCATCTGCGCCGTGATTACTATTCCCGTTGGCATTCTAGGATATTTCGTCATCCCCGGAACGCCCCAACAGCCGAACCGTATAGTTCTGTCGCAGGAAAATATTAATCGGGCCTCTGACCGGTTGGCGCGTGCTGGCCATGTTTCCCATGGAAAGAATAAGTTCCCCAACTTAAAGATCCTGCTCGCCCGACCACAGTTCTGGACATGCCTACTCCTCTGTTTCCTTTTCTGGAATTCTGGAGTCCATACCAGTGCCGGTACTTTCCTTCTATGGATTAAGAGCTTAGGCCGATATAGCCAAGCCCGTGTGAATGAGCTCGGCAGTATTGCTCCTGGCCTTGGAATCTTCTATACGGTGTTCATAGGCTTTGCGTCTGACCTCGTCCTAGGCCCGGCGTGGGCTATTACGGTCTCCCACACGTGGAACATCATCGGCCTTATTATCCTGACAGTCTGGAAGGTACCGGAGTCAGCCCTCTGGTTTGCCTACGCGACGATATACTCTTCTTATGCCATGTCAAGTGCGCTGTATGGTTGGGTTAATACGCAGCTTCGGGCGGCGCCGGCTGAACGCGCCTTCACAATCGTCCTTATCAACTCCTTTGCACAGTCCACCACGGCTTGGACGCCTCTTCTTTTGTACCCTACAGTCGAAGCACCGAGGTTCCCCAAGGGATTCCCATTTTCGCTGGCTTGCTCCATTTTACTGGTCATCACCTCCCATGCCCTGAGGCTCCATCTCCGGCGAAGCGAGTAAGTTGTTCTTTTTCTGTTTTCTCTCCCCCCTCCCAAAGAGTCACCACCCACTCCCCATTTCTTCGAGAATTGGTAATGCTGACTATTTTACTAGCCCTGGTGTCGAGAATACAACTGGCTTGCCTGATGAGGTATTCGAATCCAGATCTGTGGCGGATGGTGGAGAGTCGGGAACTGGCCTTGGTGAAAAGAGGGAGAAGGAGAAGGTCGACGACTCAAGCAATTGAGGCATTGAGCCGGCATCCAACGAACAAAACGCGGTCGATGGAAATGAGGAATTGGAGGAAGGCCTGTACCACAGTCACTGATAGAGCATTTACAACCATCTCCACTTGAGTAAGAGTTTTAGATTGCGAAATATTGTGTCTCGAAAACCGTATCTTTGTCCCTCGTGCATCGTCTATCCTTCTTGGCTACTATCTGTGGATGCGTAGTTGTGGAAAGATGTCCGGCTAGTGGTAATTAAGTTACCCTAGGCCTATCCTCTGGTCATGCCGTTACCCGCCCTCAGCCCTTAGCTGGGCTGGTTATATTCTCGTTGCTTCTTCCACTGAAGCTAGTGATGCTTTCGGTCTAGTTGCAGTGGGTTCGGAGTTCTCGCCGAACTCCCCCACAACATCCCCTCCAGTGCCTTTCAGCAGTTGCAGAGTTTGCCTTCAAGTTCCTTCCAGGTCCCCCCCCCCCGGCACTCCTTACACTTGTCTCATCCTATTCCTCTTCACTCTATATACGACGATCTTTGTGTTAATAATCTTTTTAATTATTAAAGCGAAATCCCCTGGTATAAACGCTCAACTACGAGCTTGTGAAACTGACTAATTAATCCGGTATGCCTAATGTCGTCCGGATCTCTAACCTCGAAATCCGTCTCCAGGCATCGAAGCACGATGCGGCTGTACTCCTTTCCCATAGAGGCCGCGAGGTCGGCTCCTCTACTCTTGTCTAAGTGCTTCTTGAGGACGTTTTCCTTGGACGGAACTGTTCCCTCCCTGTTGCTAAGCTCTAGATTCTTCTTGTATAGCTCGGATAAGGGCCGCCAGAGCCCGATCTCGAGAAGGATGACCCCGAGGGAGTAGAGATCGTGCGTCGCATCAAAGCCCTGGACCGTTTGGAGGTATCGGTCGGGATGCCGATAGAGATGAGCCTCCAGATCAACCCCCGGATTGTGTATCTTCCCCTTGGCCCTCTCTTGTGCTGCCTCGAGGGATAGACCCTTGTAGTAGGCCGACAGAGGCCTAGCCATGGTCCACCCCACGAGATGTGGGACTGGCCTGCCATTTTGTTCAAAGACCAAGATTCCCCTCGACCAGATGTTCTTGTGCACCCAGCCGGAACTGTGAATGCTGAAGACGGCTGATGCTAGCGACCAGGCGATGAAGAACCTATCCCCGAGAGAGGGTATCCGCGCTCTATTATTGCCGTCACGTCGGAGCATGTAGCTATGGAGTGTAGTCTGGCTGAGGTTTCCCGGGTTCGCGTCCAATGGTAGACGGTAGAGTAGCGACGGATAGGGGCTTGACCCGTTTGCCTCCATGTACCCGAGACATGGTAGCAGACTCGTCGCAATCCCACTAGACGAGGGATCACTCGCGCCGGACTGACCCTCCGCTAGAAACCATGCCAGTTTTCGGATGAGCAGTGTGCGAGTACTTTGCTTCTCCTCGTCTGACGTCTTTATACCGAAGGTGTCAAACATGTGTGTCTCTCGAATTACCACCATCCCATCATCGTCGAACTCATCAACAAAAGTGCCGACCTGGTATGTCGGGACGGGAATGATATTTATAATAGCAGCGGTTTTGGTAGAGAGCGGTGAAGTGGCAGCGGGCGTGACTAAAGGGAGAGCGCCGGCAGTGTTGTCATCCTCATCTCGAGGGGTGAAGGCTCCCTTCAATGCCTGAAATATTGCTGGGGGATCGGACTGCGCACGAATCTGGCGAGCGGCGACCGCCCTCAACCCCAGGGCCTCCTTGGTTCCTCTGTTGGCCAAGTCGTCTTGGGTGAGGCTGCCCACTCTTCCATCGAGGAGGAGCATCAGGGTGAGGACTTGCCGGAGCTTCTCGCTCCAGATCCCGTACATCTCCACGAGACTCTCCATTTTCTCCTTTGTAAACAACGCCCATTTAAGCATCTGGCTCTTGTCTCTGGCTCTCGATATAACCTCTGCGACTGCAGACTTGAGCCACTGCTCAAACTTGATAGCTTTCCTCGCCCCCTCTCCCGTGAAGATATCATCCTGTTGCAGGGGTGCGCTGGGAGGTCCGTTGCTGGTTTCATTGCCCATGCCGGCTCCCCCGCGTGGCCCCTGCGTCTCCGGGACAATGTCGAGATAGGTTAAGACGTCGGGATTAGAGAGGTCGAAATTATGGCCCTGCGCTAGGATTCGATACTCGTTGAGGTTTTGGCTTAACTGGGAGAGGATGCTGTCGACGTCTGCGGTGAGGTGAGACGGGAGAGCATTGTAGGACCTCATCTTCTTCTCATCGTCGAAGAAAAGCGACTTGAAGGTCTCGAGGAACACGAATTCATGTTCGAGTTTGACTTGCATGGTCTTAAGGGTGTCATCATGGCGCTTCATCTCGCGCACAACCTTGCGGATGAACACGGTCACCGTCCATATGTCGTGCACCGCGGTGGATGCGAAGCAGTAGACTTCCATGTCTGAAGGCGATCGGGAACTAAAACCCTCTTGTTCGTTTTTGGGGGGGGGGGGGGGGGGGGGGGGGGGGGGGTGAGAGAGAGTGTGTGTGTGTGTGTGTGTTGGACGGGGTTGGGTTCACGACTCGTCGCGATTCAACCTTAGCCGCCGCACTGCCACTTCTTGGCCTGCACCAAAAAGGACCAACAGTCGTTAGGCATTACTGTCCCATGAAACGTGATGCTCTTAAATCCTACCTCTAACTTCCAATCACATCGGGTCTCATTTTGATGGTAGGAAACCCCGTGTTCATAGACACCAATAAGGGAATTCAGTGGCTGTGTATTAATAATTGTTCTGGGAAAAGGGCATCCTGTTGCCTATGTGACTCGAAAAATACAGACCAAGCCTCCTCTTCCTGCGACGACTCCTCATATGTCCGATATTGGCAAAAGAAAGAAGCATAGAAAAAAAAATCGAAATGGACGACCATTGGAGCACAGATGTCGAGGATTGCCCACCCATACTATCAATGAACCCAGATGACGATGACGGCTGGGGTTCTGATGAAGATGGCTGGGGTTCTGATGAAGATGGCGACGCTAGCAGTCACCGATCGACAACATCAGCAAATCCGGACACCGACGAGGGCTGGGAAGGTCCCGTCGGAGGCCAGGAAGGCCCAACAATGGACGACCACTCCTTGGTGGGCCTCGACGTCCACGAGGTTTCCTCGTATAGTGCCCATGGCGTGGCTCACAAACCGCTGACGTCGACGACCCTGGGATCGGCTATAGCAGCCCTCGATGTCCCGATGGTCGAGCGACTGCTGAGATCATCGGATGCCCAGATCCGCGATTCATTCGGGAACTCACTACTCCATCTCGTAGCGCTACCTACACCGAAAGAAGTAATCAAGCACCCTCCTCGGCCATGGTCGGAGTTGGTCCAGGCCGCGAGTCATATAATCAGTCTCCTCATCTCGTGCGGAACCCACGTTGACACTCGCAACAACGAAGGGCTGACTCCTCTTTTCTGCGCCATCTGGTTGGATAAATGGCGATTCTTCCCAGTCGAACATAGATCTGGTGCGCCCGACTGGACAATCTGGTCTTCAGGCCACGTGATTACTGCTCTTCTCGATGCGGGAGCCAGTCCAGTCGTGACGCGAATAGGGGATTTCGGCAGGCCTTATAAAGCTTCATTTTTGAACGCATGGATTAATATGGAGCCTTCATACTCCGGGTGTCCTGATTTCTACGACGATATTCTCAGGTCCATCATTGCGAGAATGCCCAGTCTTAGCGATAGATCGGTCGCCCCCTCCCTTCCGTTTATGTTCGGAAAAATCAGGCACGTTTCTCACGTTCTCCGAATCATCTTGGACTCGAACCATCCTTATCCACTGGACGTGAACGCAATAAACTTTGGAACAACACCTCTTCTGAGAGCTTTGGGCATGAACCTTGCCCGCGAGTTTGGTAAAAACGATATCGAGAACGAGAAGAGAGAGGCCCGCGAGATCATCGACTTAGCTACTCTGCTCTTGGACGCCGGAGCTCGTCCAGACTTTGTATCCGTAGATGGCTCGACAGCGGTTTCGTGTATTTTACATCGAAGAAACGAGTACGAGGAACCAGTCGCGGATATTTTGCGTCATATAGTTGGCTGGAACGCCCGATTCAACGAAGATGAGATGTCGCACTCTAAATTGGTTGAAATAACCCCAACGTCCGTCTTAGCTGAGTTGCTATATGACGGGAAACTTTTACTGGCGTCTCTCTTGATGAAGTACGGCATGAAGGGGCGGCATCATGAGAAACTTGGTGCCGAATCGGTTCCTCGTGTGATATTGCGTCAAAAGCCCAAGACCGTGGCGGACATCGTATTGTGCGGAAAAGGAAAGACGAACGAATACTACACCGAACTGGATCGTTTCTCAATGATATATCATGATGAAATCGGTGCTCCTGTACAAGGACCACTGGGAAGGGAGGGAAGTGACAGCGGAAATAACGTGGGCCCAACTACGCAGAGGAATAAGTGGAATGACGAAACAAATGGCAACCCTCTACGCACGGCCATCCACGAGCTCGGAAGCGATTTCGTTGAATTGATCAGAAGAAACTTCATAACTGGCACGCTGTTTGACTTCTGCTTCGTCGATATGCCAGAAGACCCCCCCAAGCCCAATTGGCGTCGAGATACTTTCCACTGTGTTCCTCGGACTAGGTGAGCTGTGGAGAACAAGAAGTTTTTCGAATATGGAAGCCTCTAACTAGATTTTATGCTTGTCTTAGGGAGTTTACTTCCGAATCTTCATACGGTCTCCGTCGAGTCCGCTCTACAAGCTACCTCTCGGATAGACGCTGGCCCGCGGACGCGGCGACTCGGGTTAAGAATTTTTTTCGATACCAGGCTGATCTCTTTGCATCTCAAGGATGGATGGCAATGCCTTTCATCATGGACGAGCTTCGGTTTGCGGATTCGGAAAATGGCTGATGCTGACACTATGAACTTGAACACTAATAGTTCTTGTTAGGAAACCCTGAGTCTCGATTAGAAGTAGCGACATAGCGGGAGGTATATCTATCGTTAAATACCATAGCTTCTCTAGTGTTACGTTCCTTCTTTTAAAGTATTAAAATAAAGGAGGAATCGGGAGTAAGCCGTGTGAAGCCACTGTGACTGTGCATATCCAACCGTGGCTCTCAGACTTCAACCAGAGCTAACGTACTGACGGTTCATCAGGGCGGCCTTGCTCGAGCAGTTCTCAGTATCAATGTAGTCAATCGATAGGAGAGAGGGAGATCTTACTTTTTCTTGTGAGCTTACCGTGAAAAAAATGACTTGGGGCTGCCCGTGAGAGCAAACAAAGCCCCTGCGAAGCGACAGGCATCGCGGCCCGCGGCTCAGCATCCGCCGATCCGGCCTCACTCACAACCTTGAAAATCCGTCATTATTATTAATATTCTCCCAATTACGGCACAGCTCAGTGAAGTTAAGGAGAGCACGGGCCCGCAGACTTTTTCGACTAAGCCCAACTTGGGCGGCTGAACCTCCACACAGGCAGCCAAAACCCCCAGAAGAAGCAAGTTACGGCGGATCGGGAGCACATCCTCATCACCAACATGCCTGGTATCCTTTTTGAGAGATTCTGAGTTCGGACCCCAATGGCGGCACCCCGGCTCCCTTAAACACATTGTAGTTCGTGTGAAAAAGCCACTACTGCACGGGGGAGAGAGGCGCCTCTAGCCACCCATCCACGAAGATGTGATGGGATTGGTGATGGGACGATATGCAGAGATGCAGAGAGATCACTCTCCTCTGAGACAATGTCTATTATTATGTGCTCTGCTACTGCTTCATGTGGCGCTTGTTGGCTCCAAATGTTGGCTTGGAATGACTATTGTGCCAAACTTGTCGGGGCCGCCCCCTCCTCTCAACGACTTTCCTTGCTTTTTCTACTTTCCTTCTTGTCTCGTTCGCCCTCTGGACGAATCTCGAAAGTCAGTGTTATTCTCCAGCTTTAATTGGATTTTTGAGATAATTGGGTATTTCCGTCGACGCCGCGCCCTTCCGCACTCGTGTCTGTGATTTTGTGCGATTCAAACGGACCGGCTTCCATCCTCACCTTGGATGAGGACTTGACCCTTGAGTTCACCGCCATCAGGAACCACCCGTAGGTTCAGCCTTCACACAATCACGTCACGCCCATGTTATAGGCTCGGACTTTCACCATCGAGGGTGGTTTGAAGCTCCCTAAAGCAAGGCAGCTTCGGGGAAGTGATCACCATGGTCGAATCCCGCGGGGGAGCTCTCGGGTTCCCGATGGCCCCGAGGGCCGAAGCCGCCGAGGATATCAGCGCCAAGACTCGGGTTTCGGTCTGGCTGTTAACAAGTATGGCGGGATTTCTCATGGGGCTACGCCTGTGTTGCAAGTGGTTGAGGCATCGTGGTCTCTGGTGGGACGACTACATTTTGGTCCTCGCATGGGTAAGAGACATCGAATTCCTCCCCATTCACCCTTTCACTCTCCAGACGAGACACTAGCCCTCGAGGGGAGAACCCACCACATTAACCTCATGATGACTTATCGGTTTCCTCCCACAGCTCCTCCTCCTCGCCGACTCGATATGTGTATCCATCAACACCCGCCACGGCCTCGGCCGCCACATCTCCACCGTCGATCCCGCCAACTTTGCCGCCCTCGGTCTACTAGGCAATCTAGCCGCGACCTTCGCCATCACAGGGGCCATGTGGTCCAAGACTTCCTTCGGCGTCACGATACTGCGCCTCACGAGTGAGTGGCCCCGCACGATCGTCTGGATCGCCATTGTGTCTATCAACATCTTCATGGGGATCATCGCCATCATGACGTGGATAACGTGTGATTCTCCTGGGCGGATAAACGTTTGCGTTGAGACGAAGGTGTACATCTCGTATAGCGTATTCGCCGGGGCGTATTCGGGGGTCATGGATTTGGTGCTGGCTCTGTTGCCGTGGTATCTGATTTGGGGGATGAGGATGGATGTTCGGGAGAAGTTGGGGATTACGGTGGCTATGAGTCTGGGTGTTTCGTGAGTAGCAGACGGCATTGAACTCTTCCTACCTCGTGTTCGCTAACGGATCTCGGCGTTTCTAGAGCGTGTGCGATGGCAATCATGAAATGCACAGCCATTCCGGCCATTGCTAGCGGAGACTTTACCTGTGATTACCCCCCCGCTCACTTTTCCATCTTTCTCTTCATGTTCCAATGGACAAGGACCCAAAGGCTAACGCAGCGAAGTCGACATCGTCCCCCTCGTCATCTGGGGCAACGCCGAAGTCGCCACAACAATAATGGCCGCCTCCATCCCCGTCCTCCGCGTCCTCATCCGCGACGCAACTGGCGGCAGCTACCCCGCATCCTCCTCCCTCTACGACCCGACCTCGTCAGGTCCCTCCCACAGGAAATGGGGCGACTTATTATTACGGAGGAATGCGGGACAAACCTGGGTCTCACCGACGTCCACAGAGAGGTCGGGTCGATGTCGGGCTCCGGCGATGTGGCGTGGGGCGAGCGAGGATTTCATCCTGCAGGGGTGCGTGATGCCTGGGGAGGAGGCGTCCGTTGTTGACTCGGAGAGGCTCCATGGCGGATTGAGTAATAAATCTCCGAAGGGCTGTGATGTGAGGGTGGTGGAGTTGGGTCGCAGGAGAGGGAATGAAAGTGACGGGTACGAGATGGGCATTGTACGGCGTATTGTATAATGTGAGACGATTGAGGTGTGGGAAACGAATGAGCCACATCAGATCTTTTTCTTTTCTTCCTATTTTTTCTTCTTCTTTTCTTTATGCTTGTACAAACGAGAAGAGGCCTTTAGATACCCTGGTGAAGAAAAAGAGACCTGAATTATTCGTTTGATTACCTTGACTCCAAAACCAATCGATGATTGAGATGAACAGCAGACGCTGATGTGAATCTCGATGGCGTCAGTGACAAGGGGACGAAAAAGGAGAGTCGGGTTGTGCCTTGGGTTAAACTCTGTTCCGAAATCAAGGTTGTGTCGAGACAAATAAGAAAGGTAATAGGTCAATTGGATGCTGCAGTAGATGCGAGCGTAGGCAACATGATGGAAGAATGCAATTGACAGAGACAAAAGAAATCTATGACAGTGAGCGTACAGCTACTCCAAAAGAACACCCCAGGACATCAACCCACAAACGCCAACCAAAAAAAACCACTACTAAATAAACCCTCTAACAATCGACCTCATCCTCCTCCAGCAGTCCGAGGCCACTATCAGGCCTCTTCCTCTTCTGCATACCACTCCACCGCCTCGCCTTACACGCGGCGAGGAACCTCCCCATGGCGCTCGCCCCTCCCTCCTCTGCATCTCCTTGCTCTCCTCCCTCGAGCGGTTCCGCACCAGTGCTCCTATCATCTGCATCCCGTGGCTCCGAAGCCTCCAGGAACTCCTGGCTCATCCTAACAACCCTCTGCAACTCGTCCCTCATGGAATCAATAACCGCCTTCGCCCTCTCCCTCTCCTCCCCCATCTTCGTCTCCAGCTCAGCGCTACCCACACGCAACGTCTGCACAGTCCCGTACGCGGCCCTCAGACACCCATTCACCCGCTCGATCTCCTCCTTGAGCTCCGCGATCCTTGCATCCCGCACTGCCAGGACCTCCCCGTTCCTCTTACCCATGTCCATCTTGGAGGCGCTCAGTTGGGCGAGTTCGGCGCGCAGCTTATCGGTCTGCGCTACCGAGCCGGCGAGTTTGTCCTCGAGGTCCGTGACGCGCTCGGTGAGGGTATTGGCGCGAGCGTTGGACGAGTCGAGCACGACTTCCAGCTCGGCGATGCGGTTCTCCTTGCTGACGAGGATCCGTTTCTTGCTTTCGAGCTCAGCGGCGTGCGTGGCGTCCTTCTCGTGGCCCTGGGCTTCCATGTCCTCGACGAGACGTTCAAGCTCATGAATATCCCTTACATATCCGTCGACGGCACCACGCAGGCGACTAACGCCAACCTCAAGCTCCTGGATGCGACCATCCTTTTCGGAAATGGAAACTTGGGCTTTAGCGAGGGCGGTCTTGAGCTCATCCATGACCTCGACGCGCGCAGAGAGCTGCTTTCGCAGCGAAAGCTCGAGCTCGTGATACTCGTCGATGGTGTTCTCGTCCTCCTGCGCGCGCTTGGCGAGATCGCGGAGGCGCGTCAAGAGGAGATCGAGCACCTCGGCCCCGCGGGATGTTAAGGGGAGGGCGATCTCGCCGGGGCTGAGGTATTCGAGCTCGAGCCTGGCGGTGCGGAATCCAGATGCGAGGGAGGCGATGATGGCGGATGCGTCGTCGCCCGGGAAGCCGAGCTCGCTTAGGGACGAGGTGATGTGTAGCAATGCGGCGGTCCTGTCGGAGAAGGCTCGTAGAAGCTCGTCAATTCTCGACTCTAGCTCTTGTTCGGGAGTCTGATCTTCTTGAGCTTCTGCGGCGTGTTGAGCGACGAGCCGTTCATTGAGTCTGCCTGTTAAGGCAGAGTAAGATTCTAGCGTCGCGTTGAGCTTGCGCATCTCCATTCTCATAGAGGCCAGCTCGTCCTCAAGATACTTGTTCTTGGGATCGGGGAAGGAGACTTGGACACCGACGTGTGACTGCGGCGTCGGTGGCATGAATCGGCGAGCAGGCGTGACCGGCGCTGTGGAACTAGTCAGCGGCGGACTCGGGAACGACGCCCTCACGCGAGATGGAGTGCTACACTGGATGTCGGCCATGGTGGTATCCCCAAAGACCTCATCGTCGTCATCGCCCGCAATGGAGGAGTAATCGGGAGCAAAAGGATCCCTCGCCATGACGGTCCAGTCATATCCAGCCATCGTAACGTCATGGCGCCGAGTAGTATCCTCGACGCGAGAGCGTTCCTCCAATTCCTTCTTCAAATCAGCGACCTGCCTCTCGAGGTCCCATATCCTCTCCGTGTCGATGATCACCGTCGCGTTCTGCAATTGGTATATCTCCAGGTCTCTGGCATTAAGCTCAGCCTTGAGACGTTCAATCTCAGCCCGGCTCTCCCTCGCCCGTCGGCGATTCTCCGACTCGATCGAGTTCATCTCCTCGCTCAGACCGTTCCGACGAATGCGCCTCTTGGAGCGATCGTCGAGGATCTGGCGAATGGGTTCGAACCTGACAACCTCCGTGTTCGAAGGGCTTTCGAAGGTCGTGGTTTTAATGTCGTTGAGTCGAGCCGGAGTGGATACTCGGCGGCGTTTTGCAGCCGGAGACTTGAGAGATGTACGGCGGACCATGGGCGTTAATCCCGTTGCCAGCTCGTCCTGGTCAGGGTCATTTCGCGAGGACGTAGATGGCCCGGGGTCGGAGAAGCGGACACGCCGTTTCCTTTGTCGTCGGGGCGTGATGGCCTCTCGGAAAGGGAGGACCTCGATCGAGGCATCCGGTTGGGGGTTGGAGTTGGTGGCTGTCGTTCGACGCGTTCGACGGAGAGCGATGGGTATGTCGTCTGCCATTGTGAACGGGAACGAGAGGGTATAAACAGCTCTGAATGTAAGTGGAGGATGTTAGTTAGGGAGAAGATGAGAAAGGAGGAAATGCGCAGAATGGTCGGGGCCAGGAAAGTAGGCCGCAGGTCGAGGCGAGTGATGTTATAAGCTTGCAGATACAGGTGGTCAAATCCAAAAAGGGAGCACTGATCCAGGTACGAAGTAAACAAACGAAGTTCGTCTCGAGAGAAACCACCGAGGCGCGTCTGCAGCATGTCGAGAATCCAAAATTCCACTTTGCACGCCGCCCATGTACCCACGCGTTGATGGAAGAGGGGAATGGTACAAGATGGTCGTGAAGATGGATCAAGAATCTGGAGGCAGCAGGTCTTTGTTTACTTTCTTCCTGTTTCGGTTTAGCGTGGCGGGCCGACGCAATTGAGAACAGGGGTCAAGCAGGGATGAGCAGGGATGAGCAGTGGTGGTGGCACTGGTGGGTGGTGCCTGCCCCACCAAGACTTTATTGGCACAATCCCGAAAGCTTCATTTGACAAGACCGCGTCGAAGCAGCTCCACCACTCCAGAACCACCTGACGCCGCGGCTTCAGCATTCTAGCTCTCGACGACTTGCAGCCAATCGATTCCAATTACCAGCCTCAATAGATTCCTTCATCTAACAATCATAACAAATGCGCGAAGCAAGACGGACTACTTCGCACAGTCTTCGCGGCTCGACAAGAACAGACCAAGATCTGAAACTCCATCTTCCTTCCATCTCTTACTGCTTCACTTCGTACTTACGCGAAGTAGCTGCCATCCCGACCACTCTTCTTGGTGGAGAAAAGAGCGACTCTAGAGCGAGAATGCAAAATAATACTCTACCCCTCTCTTCGTACAGTTTAATTGACGTTGCTCAAGCACGATGTCCGTCATCTACTAGATACAGCCGAGGGTATTGTAACATTTCTTGCGTTCGTGATCATGTTGATGTAGCCTAGCTATTGAAGCTATGTTTTACACGCTGGCACCTTAAGCTGCAGCAAACAACCGATAGTCTCCTCTCTCATCCACTTCAACACCCACTTGCAACGCGGCCAGCGATCGAAAGGGGGTCGAAAGGTCCTCTAAGCTCCCAAGGTAGGGAGGAGGACATAAACATCCGCTTGCTCCCTCAAAGAGAGTACAACCATAGAAATACAGTAAAGCGAGTAAAACATCGATCGAAAGGCCCTCACAGCCGAACAAACCCCCGTTAATCACTCACTTCCTCTACCTTCAAACTGGCCCTCTCCTTCTTGGGTCGGCCACGCCGCCTCGGCTCAGCACCCTCCACCTCCACATCCTCCCCTTCAACAATCCTCTGCTCAGCACTCTTATCGCCCCCGTCACCCCAAAACTTGCCCAACCCCTCCGACTCCGCAATACTCACCATTCTCATCGCCGCCTCTTGATTCAACAGGCTCGGCGAACCGGGCAGTAGGGAGCGTCTCAACCGCCTCCACACGATCCGCAGCGTACTAACGGGCCACTGATCCGTCAGCGTCCCCTCCTCCACCTTCTTCCAGCGAATCCGAGTTCTCTCACGTTTTCCCGGCACGTGGTTCGCCACAGCGCGGATAATGTGGAGGACGTCCACGTCGCGCATGCTGTAGATCTGCATCCTGCAGGCGCGGAGCGACGCCGTCAGCTCGGGCTGCCATCCGCAGAGGAGGCGGAGGACTTTCGGCCGCTGGATGTTGACGTTGAGGTTATTCCATTTGAAGAGGCACTGCTGACGCGAGCGCATGCCGTCCATCATCTGGCTGACCTTCATCCAGTCTGGCGCGAACGTGAAATTTACAGTTTCCTCCTCCGGCGACATCTCGACTTTGACCGCTTCCACCAAGCCTGGGGGCACAAAGGAGGCCAGCGCATCAAACATCTTGCCGAGCTCCTTATCGTTCCATAGCCCTCGTTGCCGGTTCAGGCCACAGCTAGCATAGTTTCGATACCTATCTCGGCACGCGTCGGCATACCGGTCCATGATAGAACCAATCTCAATCCACCGCCTGTCCCCCGTATACTGTTCGGCAAGCTCGCACAGTCGCTCATCATCCTCGGGCATCCACTTCTTATTTGACTTGTAAATTTGGAACTTTCTCTCAATCATCTCTTTCAGATCCTTCGCGCGGCGTTCAGGGAAGGCCGGCGCCACAGCATTCCAGAATTCCCCTAGAAGTATCAGGCTATCGTCGTTAGGATCCTTCTTTGTGACAATTTGTTCCATGCGGTGCTCTGTGATGTTATGAGAGTGGATGAATTCTGTAATAGCTGCGATGAGGCGCGCCTCTTCGTCTGAGTCAAACGGTCCTTGCTTTCTTTTCGAGGGGTCCAACGTCCGACGTGCTATCCGCCTAGGTCGGCTCGATGTGCTCGCTGATGGCCTGTTTGTTGCAGCTTGGCGTGACTTGGGGGTGGGCTTGGTTGTCGGAGCTGCAGCCCGTTTTCTTTTCTTGGCATTAGAGTCCGTAGAAACGACCCCAGTCTCCTCGTCTTCGTCCTCTCCAACCTTCTCAGGCCGGCTAGCTGTAGAAGCAGACACAGTAGCCGTGACCTTGCGTCTTTTGCTAGACGTGGGAGGCTTCGAGCGCTGGACAGCCTCCGCTTGTTCTTCTTCTTTCTCCTCCAATTGGAAGCGACTGGTCGAAAAAGAACTTCGGGGCTGTGTGGGGGCTTTCTCACTCCTCAGTGTGCGCTCTGACCGGCCCCGCAGAGCGCTGGCCTGGCTCTCTTGAGTTAGCTGCTCGTTTAGCTGAGCGCTAATATCACCGTCATCGAAAGAAGTATGTTTCATATTGTCGTTGCCGGTAATTGATTCCTCGACGTTGGCGTCAATTTCATCGGTATCGTTTGTTTGTTCGTCTCCTGGAGGGATCTCGTCTTCCCTTGCCTCTAGTTGCAAGGGGGAATGAGCCTTGTCTCTTGGGCTTGAGGGAATCTTAACGACTCTTCCTCGCTCCTCCGGTTCCTCCTCACTTTCCTCTTCATCCCCCTCGGATTCAGATTCTTGCTCTTCTTGCTCACCAGAACCTAGTTCTTCTTCCGTTTCTTCATCTCCTGAAGCGCTCTCTTCCTCCCTTGCCTCAAGTTTTAGGGGCGACTGTCGGGCTTCGTTAACACGCGGAAGCTTCGCAGGGATTTGCGAGATGTCAGAATCCCATTCGGAATTCGTTTCGTAAGCGTTGGTCGGGCCTCTTGGCCTCGCATGAATTTTGATAACTCTTCTTCCCTCCTCCGGCTCCTCCTCGCGTTCCGACTCTTCCTCCAACTCCAAGTCTTGTTCCTCTTGCTCGCTATCGCTCACTTCTTCCTCGCCAGAGGAACTCTCTAGTGTCGGTTTCACGACTCCCTCGGATTCCTCATCAGAAGCCTCGCTCACAGCTACGCCGGGCTGGTGGAGTTTGGCATCCTTATTCTTGAGTGAATGGGATGGGTAAGGCGTGGAAGTCTTGGTTTGTGAAGATGGCCCGCGAGACGCTTCCGGAGATTTTTCGCCCACACCCATGGATGATACGTCGTCCCCATCAAACTCTTCGTCCTCGACACGGCTATCATCTTCGCCCTCGGATCCCGAACCCACTTCTTCAAAATCATCGGGATTAAAAGAGGTTGCGGCAGGATCGCTCCACATCGACGAGTCAAACATCTCCCTGAACGGCTGAATAACTGGCGACTCCGGTTTAGAATCTGGTGCCGTGTCTTCAATGTTGGGCGTATCCATAGAGGAAGCATCCTCCCCATTAAGGTCATCACGCTCAACACCGCCTTCACCCAGGCTCTCGGAGCCCGGTCCCGCTTCTTCATAATCGTCGCGATTCGAATCCACCATAGGATTGGCCCAAATGGATGAATCAAATGCTTGTCTTGATGGGGGGACTACTGGCGCCTGCCGTTTGGATGCTGCTGTGGTGGCTTCTATTCGAGAAGCAGCAAATCGCCTCTCCTGTTCATCGGGTTCTCGGTCGGATTCGTCGCTATCCGGCACGGCAGAACTCGTCTCTCTTCGTCTCCTCCGCCTGTTCCGCGACGGTGTCGGCTGGCTCAGTGAGAAGCGTTTGTTCGAAGAATGAGTCGCCCCGTTCAGTGAATGGATCATGACCAGCGATCGGGACGCAGCGTCCACCAGCATCGTCCTAGGCTCGGAGCGAATACTTGTCTGTGCGGGACTAGGCTCAGCGGCTGCCCGATTGGGGGTAGGTTTCGCGAAATCGGTCTTGGACGAGTTCGTAGGGGTAGCGGATTTCCTGGGAGGCGCTGAGCTTTTGGGTGTAGCGGATTTCTCAGCCGAAGTGGGCTTGTTGGCTGGAGTGAATTTCCTAGGCGTCGCATTCTTCGGTGAAGGTGGCAGCATTGAAGACCATGGCGGTTCGGGTGCGTCATTTCTCTCTTCTTCGTAATCTTCCACCTCTTCGATATCATCCGTAGAAAGAAAGGGGATATTGTCCCCCTTCTTCTTCCTCTTCTTCTTTGTCTTCTTCGCCTTCTTTCCCTTCCTAATATCCGAACCAGACTCCACTCGGCCAGAGCTCTCGACTGACAGAAAGCTCATCTCTCGGGAACCGCGCAGCGCATCTGCGGCATCGTTCGCATTTGCCTCCAAATCACTAGCCTTCTGCCTTGTCGCGGGTGGTTTGGAAGGCGTCTCGGTCAGCGATGGGGGTAGCATGCCGAAGCTATCCTCGTCGCCGCCGGCGATAGAGCTGGAGGGATTCTGGCTGGCTGACGACCGCCTGCTTGATCGGCCATCGTCTCGCTTGTGCTTCTTGAAGAAAGGCGGATCGTGTCGGTACGTCAAGTGGGAAAAGTCGACAGGCGCAACTAGGCGCGGGTGTTTCGGGCCCCTATTCATGTCTGTGGGTTGGCTGGAGGTGTTGGTGGCCCAGCTGGCCTGAAGCTGCCGAAGCTGAAATCGAGCTCAGCACCGTCCTTTCTTGGGAATCAACACTGGATGGTGGGGACTCGTCGGATTGGGAATCGATCGCTCGAAGCTGAGTTCGGTCTTCGGGCCGTGGGGATGGACGGTATGTGTTTGGCGACGTCAAGAAAAAAAAAAAGGACAGGCTCCAATCGTACAATCGTAGGTTCCCGCATCAAGTCGCCGAGTCGCTGAGTCAAGAAGTCGCGTAGGAGCTCATCGACGCGGTGAGAAACGGAAGGAGGGTCCATCAGCTTCTCGTGCCCCACAGCCTACCTGCGGCAGCTCAAAATTCTCTTACATAAGCATCTTTTGGATGACAAACATGTCTTCCACACCAAGCAATCGAAATATGGATCATCAATTCATCATCAATTGACAACTTCCAAACCACCATCATAGATCCCATCCATCGACAATTTTCACACACTGAAAGAGGCAATTAGGCCCAAGTTCAAAGACCTCGAAGCCGCAGAATCCAGGCTCCGTGGGGTAGCTAAAGATGACAGATACACTCTGATATGTTTGCAAAGGAAAAGCACGTGAATTCAAAATATTTGATGGCTATCGCAATACAGGTACCCTTCTTTTTCCTCGGTTGATCGCCGAAATGAACCAAGCGCAGGAATACAAGACCCTCGCCTAACCCCCGCCTCTGAATCCCCTGGTTGCGGATCCTTTCCCGCCACTTTCTCGTCAAACCGAGAGTAGCTAGGACAGAACCAGTATTCTTAACAGATACCGTTTTCTAGGAGGTAGTGGCCGCTATCTTTAAGGTCGTCTGCTGAGCTTGACCAACAAGCCCTTCTGGGGGGTAAACCAGCGACATTTAAACGACAGCTCTGCTCCCGGGTCTGTGAGCGCTATGTCGTATTGCACTATCAACGACGCGACGATCTTCGTAATCTCCAGTTGACTGAGATTCTTCCCCAAGCAAGTATGAGAACCGGCACTGAACGCGAACAACGAACGTTTCCTACGCGCCAGAAGCTCCGTGTCGGGGGTCAGCCAGCGCTCCGGTTGGAATTTCTCGGGCTGGGGGAATAATTCGGGATCGTGGTGTAAAACCCATGGACTTATGCCCACTTCGGTGCCGGGAGGTATGTAATAACCGCAGATTGTAGCGCCTTGTTCTGGTGTCGTCCGAGGATACATGACGCCGTTTGGCGGATGAATCCGAAGCGCTTCCTTGATCACGGCGTCAAGGTACGGAAGCTCACTGGCAGCTTGATATGAAACCGGAAAAGTCAATTTGGCCTCCTCGCGGATCTCCCAACATAGGGCGCGGTAAACCTCAGGGTTCTTCAGCACGTTAAACACGATGGTTCGCATGGCAATGGTCGTCGTGTCAGCACCAGCAGTGATATTGCCAAAGGCGTGGGTGTTGAGTTCCCGATCCGTGATAGATTCCGGGTGTTTCCTCTGCTGTTCTAATAGCCTGTGTACAAAGGTCGAGGGTTTTTCCGTATCCTCGTCCGCTCGTTCTCGGAACTTTGTAACCTGGCCAAGGGCCAAGTCTAGCGCAGCGCCATTCAGCGCGTTATTTCCGAGGAGCAACTTTTCGACGAGGCGATTCCCCAGCAGAAATCTGTGTAGCCAGGGGAATTGGCCCACCTGCAATTTTTAGCCGGGGGTCAGCAAATGGATTCGTCAATGCCTCAATATCTAGAGACCGGGATTTGGGGATGGACTTACAATCGCTACGTAGTCACCAATGATGTACTCTAGCATGGGCATCATGCCAATCGGATCTCCCTTCTCCATGAAATTCAGGTCTTCACCAAAGGTAACCGTGAAAATAACATCAGTCGCGTAGAATCGTAGCCACTTTCCCAAATCACAAGGTTCGCCCTCAGATTCAGCTATTTTATCGAGGATGGTGAAAAACCGGTCCGTGACCCCATCTAGGAGAGGCTCCAACTCCAACATGGAGCCCATGGAGTAGGCATTATACGCATTCCGTTTCATTCGCGTATGCATTGCCTTGTCCGTCAATACGAGAGGGTCTGGGAGCATGCCTTCCTCGTCGTAAATATGAAACGGAAGGTAAAATTGTGACTGGGCCGTCGTCAGTAGGTTCTGGAGACTCTTGCGGCTCACTTTTGTCGTCCGACATACCTTTACGAACTTATCGGAAGCGTTATATATGAGATTAATCGCCGCCGGATCGCCGACTGACACCTGCTCCGGCCCAGTTCGGACGATCCTGCCGTACTTGCGGTGTGCTTCCAATTCCCATTCATGGGGACGGCCTCGCAGGACAGAGAAGAACCTAGGGAATTTCGAGAACGACGCAAAAAGAGGTCCAGGAAGCTTTCGTAAAGGCGTGAGATACTTAGTGGACAAGATCCATGAGATGCCTCCGACAGCGAGGACAAACCAGTAGTGATTTGCGACACTCGCGACCAATGTATTGACGTGGTCGTTGAACATGATGGGCAATGACGCCTCTCCTAGTGATGGTATTTGAAGAATAGGAAATGTTCGTTTGAGACAGTCAATACTGCATTTCAACTCCTTTATGATAGGAGCCCCATTTATATAGAATCTAGTCCATTATCGTCATATGATAGCTGGAGCGAGACTCCCTGGCTTGCAAGGAAATTCGGACATAGCAGAGTCCGTCGAAGGGAAGGCAGTAGCAGAGCAAGGTGTCAAGATGCGACCAGTCACTTCTAACAGGATCTCGGAAGATTCTGCGACTGGTGCCCACATTTCCGAAAGTTTTAGCGTAACCCAGTTGGCGCATGAGTCGCCCAATAGAGACGACCCTGCCTCAACCGATTAGACTGGACCTAGCCAACGACTGTTCGGAATTATGGAACCAAGACACGCACCCCTCGATTGTTCCGTTCTGGAGGCCATCTCTTTCTGTAACCTTGGAACGTCAATGCAGGTCGCCAGGTCGGAATTGTTAGTTCAAATGGCTGGTCATGGGTGATTGGTGTGAGGGGTTCAGCACTAGTGCTTCCTTACCTTAAGCTGGTCTTGTTCGGGGTTTGTATGCCGGTTCTGGTGTGGTCGTAGATTCCGTACCATTACCAGTTTTGGCTTAGAACCTTGAAACTTTGTTATAAACTCACAATCTAGACCCCGAATCTACTCTTCAAGGGATAGCTAAATAGGGGTTGTCATGCGATCCCTTCAACCCAGGGCTAGTTCTAGTTTGAGCCTCCATTTATGGTGTTAGTTGGCAGCTAGTATGGAAGTGAGCAAGTTCTATGGTTCAAATGAACTTTACTCGTCATACAGGCGATGATGGAAGTTTGCAATAGACGTTCTCTAGTTGGCCAAACAATAATACTGCAGCTACTATGATGATGGTGATGATATAAATGCTCCAACGCTCTGCGGTCTAATAATTGGGTGTGGAACTGATCTAATGAAAGAGTATTAGAGTACCTCAGAAACGTACTCAAATACCATTAGGAATAATGGGCTTCAACAAAGCTGCCTTCTCAAGCTCCGAAGCCTTCTTCTGATGCTGAATAACGTCCCTCGCCATTTCCATACCGCTCTGAACCGCCCCATCGATCCATCCGCACCAGCCGTCTGACCAGTCTGCACTGGCAAAATAGACATTACCATGGGGTCTCTGAAGGACGGTAAGGTATTTAGTGGTAGCTTCGGGGGGCATGAAGCACCAGGTTCCATTAGCGAACTCATCACTATTCCAATCGTGAGAAACCTTGTTATACAAGTTAGTATAGATCTAGAATTTTGCCGCGGAGAGTCACAAAAGGTGGAAAATGGAAAAAAAAAACGAAAGAATGAGCTTCCTGAGTACTGACAATTCGGGTAATGATGGCCTCGCTCTGCTTTTTCTTGGGCAGAAGCTGGACCACGGCAGCCTTGACTGCGTCGATATCGTCGAGGGAAAGACCGAGAGGGCTCTCTGGGTCAGGGCCAAAGCAGACGAGATGGGAGTTATCCGCGTTGGTAAGGTGATCTCCAAACGCCGATATCAAACCCTTTCCTGGGGTGCCGATAGAGGCCCAGGAGAGATAGTCGGGCCCGAGAAGGTCGACATGGATCTTGTTGCACCTGTTGACGGACTTATATTGCAAAGCCTCTTGCTTGTCTGCGGGAAGCGGTGGGAGGAACTCAACGGACGAGAGGACGTTGAGAGGGATAGTGCAGATAACAGACTTGGCCTTGTATATTTTGCCGTCTCTGGCAGTCACGGTGACGACGCCAGCCGCATCCTCAACCCGCTCTATTGGGGTGCGGAAGCTGTAGGACAAGTTGCCCGTCGACAGGGTGTGGTCAAAGATACGCCTGTGCAGCTCACTCTGGCCGCTGCGAAGCCGAGTGTGAAGAGCAATGTCATTGAGCCCAGTGGGAGTATGCGAACCCAACGACCACCAGCGCAGAGTACCGAGAAGGCCGAGCTTATCAAGGGTATTACCGCCCATCTGGAGCAGCTGGCCTTCCAGCATCGTAAGCTCCTCTGGTGTGAATTTGTCCCGAATCTGATCCAGCCTGTCCTGGCAAGAGAGCTTGTCCCACTCAGCCATTTTCTCGGGAGACTGACCCGTACCGAAGGCGTATTTCCAAGCATGTTTCAGATCGTCCCCGTCGACGTTGCAGAAATCGCGGAACACTCGGCCGGTCTCCTCAGCCTACACGTTTACTTTTATGAGCCAATGTTTCTTTGGGAAAGGGGGGATCCTAAGGGTTGAAAGTTACCTCTTCCTCGTGGGTCAGGGTCCGTTGATCGGAGCCAGTCGTGGCCGTGAAGTAATCTTCTTTACCACGGGGATTCTGGGTGACGATCCAGTCATTGTGAAGCCCGTAGTAGGATACCTCACGGTAGATGTGAGGCATGTGCCAATGGATCCATGTTCCCCCCATCTCATAGTTAAATCCGTTAATGGTAGCGTGCCACGTGCGCCCGCCGATTCGGTCGCGAGCTTCGAGAAGCAATGTCTTCTTGCCTGGGTATACTCCATGTCAGCTATGGCTCGAACTTGGAGACACTGGGTAACGTACCCTGGGTAGCTAGGTCGCGAGCAGCAACCAGGCCCGCATATCCAGCACCAATTACGATGACATCGTACACACCGTCCTCGGGTTGAGACTCGGCAGTATGTGTCGGAGGGACAATGGCACCGATCGTTTGGAGGCCATCACGGCGACCCCCGGAAGGAGTCCAGGTGAAACCCTCAGTAGAGTAGACCATTTTTTTTTCGAAGATGATGTATGAATTTTTTAAATGGAGAATGCAATTATCCAAGAGTGAAAGAGACTGTGGATGGCGAGTCTCTTCAAAGACAACTTCACGGCTTCCAAGGGCGATCAGAGACTGTTTAAGATATCCAAGCCCAGCCCCATAAAAGGAATTGGAAAAATGGGCAGACCAGGTAGCCTGGTTGCAAAACATTCACACATCGTTCCGTCTGCTATAGAGCCACATTAACACCCGCCTCCCAGGAACGGGTCATTCTACTTCGCAATGCATCTCGTCCCTTGTCTGGGAATGGTGCTTCTCGATGTGCTGTGGTACAAGGGTACCTCGGGAGTGGGACCGACCTGATAAGTGCGGTTGCCAAGCCGGAAAAACTTTGGCCAATGAGAGACATACTCGCCGTCCGCTCCAAGGAAAAGAAAACAAAAGGGGTTATGCACAATACGGGTCTAGTGGAGATTGGATACAGCGATGCCTCCACGGGGGCGGGAGGTGGGCAGGTCACAGAACCCCCTGGTCGCAGTATTAGAAACGGCATCGTCAAGACCTCAGAAACAAATCTTCGTAATTTGAGATCACGATGGCGGACGTCAATTTCCCAGCTATTCACGGTCCTTACAGAAGGAAAGTTACTATAGCCTGTGGCTCTTGCCGGAAAAGAAGGGTAAGCAGGAGAAGCAGATCTCTGTCCACACCTTGGCTGCATTTTGCGATAGATCACTTCCAACGATGTTAACCAATACGAAAAGGTTAAGTGCAGCGGTACACAACCATGCACGCTGTGTTTGGAGAGTGGGCGACAATGCGAGTTCCACAACAACAATCGCTCCCGGCGTGGTCCAAGACCGAGGCAGCCCGTTGAGCAGACCCCGAGGATAATTCACCAGCTAGCCCCTCGACATCCATCTGCTGCACAGAGGGTAGTTTCAGATGTTGAAGTCCAGGTCGCACCTGCCAAGTCCCCGCAAACTTTGCCGAAAATCGTCGAGCTCGATCAAATAGTGGTTAATACTGAGGAGCAGGAAGGGGGCCACAATGACGATGGAGATGACGGCAACGACGACGACGACGATGATGATGATGATGATAATGATGATGTGAACGAGTTTTCTGATCAGTCACTCTGGAAGCCCTATTTAGAGAAGCTCCTCTATGGGAAGGACTCTATTTTGCAAGTGTAGGACAGCGCTGCGACGAAGACGCCTCTCGACCCCCCAAAAGCAACCCTGTGCTAACCAGAATTGCAGGCTTCCCGCACTTGATATATCTGTGGTATGCCATCTCATCGAGATATTTTGTGCTCGTTCGAACGCACATTTGAAATCGCTCCTACCTCCCGACCAAATCCGCCAGTACTTCGCACGGGGAATCATGACCCGCGGCCTGATCCTTGCGATATGTGCTTCGAGCATAAGATTCACCATCCACAAGGCCGTACGAGGGCCGAAGACGAGACGGCTCGCAGCTTCCATCTCTCGTGAAGCTCGGAATTCCATACAGGTGTCTTCCGATAGCTGGAAACAGGTTAACAACGTCAAAGCAACTTGTATACTTGTGGATTACGAGGCGAGCAGAGCACACGGGCGGCAGGCGTGGGTGGACATTGGTGAGTTGGCATCCTTTTTTTTTTTTTTTTTTTTTGCGCTGGGAGCAGTGCCTCTTTACTAACGATACAGAAGCGACCGGATTCAGTCTTATTGAACTAGCCAGGGCAGCTTGTGATCTGGACGGTGAACAAATCGAGGCACTAAACGTCGCTGCGGAATATCTGGCCATTACAAAGACTTCCCATTGTCTGGGCCACGCTGTCCTTAGGTCATCTTGTGAGAGGCTCTCCAAGAAACCCAGCTTAGAGTCTTCACGCCTCTCATGTCCCGAAGATTGCTCGCATCTAGTAGAACTTCTCCAGCTACTCGTATGTGTCCATCAGCTGTGTTCCACGCCCCTTGGCGAGCAGAATCCACTCCCTTGGGCGCCGCAATCGCGCTTTAGAGAACTTCAAGATGAGCTAGAAGATTACCTACTACGTCATCCGAATACCTTTCGATTTGGTGGTGGTCCCCCTCTGTACCACTCGCCGAAATCGAATTTTGACGGGAGTATCATGGCGTCCTTGGTATGGCACTGCGGCGTCATCATCCTAAATCGAACTTTCCTACCTATCCCAGAACGCCCTCCACCAACTGGTGAGGTAGCGGTTGTTCGGTGTATCGAGTTTCCCCAAGCGCCACCACTGTTTTTAAAAGAAAGGGTTTACCGCTGCGTGTCCAGCTCAGACGCTATCTGTGAAATAACCCGAGATGTGATAAAAGGCGGAGGATTCTACTCCGTAAGCCAGCTCCTCCCACTTGTTGAATCGGACCAAACACGAAGACTTGACGAATAATAAATAGCATGCGGTATGGGTCGGTTTCGCATGCGCTCAGAGCGCCTTCGTGTCTATAAATCGACTCCACAGATCGTCAAAACCATATGACGATAGAATCGTGGAAAATCTAAAGCTCGCGTTCATAGTGCTCGGCGCTTTAAAAACGTTTTATAAGCCAGCAGAGGATTGGGTATGATGATCACCATGAAGCTCACTTTAATGGGTTCTTTCGCTGACTCAATATTCTTCTTTTAGATGAGCGTGTTATTTAAAGTTCATGAAACGAACACGGGACTGAGACATCCGCTGGATAGCGTTGAGGCGGCATTTGGGAGTTATTTTAGTCGGTTCGTCGACATTGAGGAGCCAACCTTCATGCCTCTCGGCCCGAAGGATACCGAAACCACAGATGAAGATGAAGAAGATGAAGAAGCGGAGAACAGAGATAATGGATCGGGTGCGGTCCAGTCTCCTCAGAACCCTCCCGAAAAAGAAGGCGCGGAACGGATTCGTCCAGAGACTACCAGCAATGGCCCGGAATGGTTACATGCTTATGCTGGCCATCTCTCCGGGGATATTGACGCAGGTGAGGACTTGGAATCTACCGCCGGGGAAAGTGACAACATCTCGGCAGTACAGGGAGGGCTGGTTAAAGAGGGCGTAGAGACCCAGCAACACCCAGCCTTCAGCGCGGAAGAGCAACACTCCCAGAGGACAGCCCTGATGACGACAGACACCGACGCGATGGAGCCGCAATCACCAGTGCACGTGGCGGGCGCAATTCTCACTTCCATGTCAGGGCAGATGCCAAATCCGGCGACGTACTTGCAAGGCATCTACCCGCGCCAGCCTCGCCCGGATGAGCTCGGAGATTCAATTCCTGTTGACATCGGCGACACATTTTCAAGCCTCTTTGGCCTCGGGCAGCCTCCCGCTTTTGCGGACGATCCACTATTTAACTCGGAGATGCCTATGTTTCTTGGTCTAGGGTCAAGCGTTGGTGGACCAGATCTTTGGCCTGATATATTTCCCCAGGATGTGTTTAAGTAGTAATGTTGAAATCCTGCCTAGTCATGAGGGAAGTGAGGAAGCTCTTGGGGCAGACGAAATATAGGACAATGAGTACAACACAAGATAATGTGACCGAGTACGAAGTACTATGCAACCCTAATATTTTCCGCGGATACCTCAACGATAAACTACATGTACTTCGTACTGTTCGGAGCTTCCAGCTTGTCTTCTTCCAAGACTATGGAAGGCCAACTGCGCGGATCCCTCGATAGATGCATACGCTAATCCTATTACCCCGCGTTCTTCAACCCCTGCGTATCTCCCGCCGAACAGGGATGGTGGACTTTCCTGGGTTAGCTGCCCGCAGCTCTTATCTCCTGGTCAGTCCCAGCTAAACCTATTATGTAGGATGCGGGTGTGCTCTTGCAAAGTCAAAGGTGGTCAGGTGGATGGACGATGGCTGGATGAGGACTGATAACCAAAACGTACCAGCGCGTCCAGCACCCCCGGCGCCCCTCCATCCTTTCCTGTCTATCATTCCTGCATTCTTGGGGTTCTCTTGCATCTGCGGCAATTGGGGGTATTTCTTGCCAATGCTGATGACGCAGAAGCTGTTTGACGGATGCACAATCTCTTGTGATACCTGTAAATACTCTCATCACAAACTGAGCCCGGTCCCAAGATGGAACGGAATCTGCCCCCTGCCGAGCGGCGGAACGACACCGGAGCTTGTTGGACGTGCTTGAACAAAAAGAGGACGTGTGACGGCGGGCTTCCTCGTGCGTAGCAATTCCGAATCCCCACAAAACATTGACGGCTGTTGCTGACTTTTATTTTCATGTTTTTGCTTTTACATTCATTTTAGAATGCAAAACATGCACACAGGTCGGTGTTCGTTGCAGTGGATATGGCCTTCGCCTTCATTGGCCGGCCGGAATCGAAGGGTTGAAGAAACGAAAGATGTCAAGACGCCGGAGCAAATCGATATCGTCAGATGGTAGCTCTCCGTCCGGCACTGGAGTCGCGTTACCGGGAGAAATGTCGGCCCTTGGTCTCCCCTCTGAGGAAAGCTTCTTCATGCAGCATTTTATTCGTAAGTAGTTCGATTTCATGCTTAGTTTTCCTACCAGCCTCTCCCATCAACATCTCCGAAAACTGGTTGCTCATCTACCACGCCCCTGTTTGTCAGAAAACATCGCGAGGATAGCTCTCGCAGTTGACTACACTGGAAACGGATATCGCTCGCTACTGCCCATGGCTCTTCGGGAGCCAGCTGTATTGAACGCCGCTCTCGCAGTCGCTGCATCTCATCATAGCCGCTGGCAACATACAGCCGATAGTATATCTCGGAAGTATCTTCGCGCGGCCTCCAAGGCGTTACGAGACCGCTTCTTGATACCAGATCATATCCACAGCCAAGTCACGCTGGCTGCAATGCTGCTGCTAGTGTCCTTTGAAGTATGGCCACACTCCCTCCCCGATCCCGCCCTTAGATATCGAAATTGTCTACTAATGCCCCTATCTTTCTATCCAGGTATTCTCCGGATCAGGCCGTTGGAAGGGGCACTACGATGCGATTCGAGGCTGGATTCACTGTCGAGGTGACTGCTCGGACCTCGATCCTTTCATGAAAACCTGGGTCTGCCTACTAGACACGCAAAGCTCATTAAATATGGGTAAACCAGCGATGCCGGAGCTAGAGTCTTGGCTAGACCTGCAAACCGATGCCACAGGCCAGGGGAATTATGTAGATGCCCTGTTTGGTTGCTCATCCAGATTGCTAAAGCTGATGGTGAGTCCCAGAGCAGGATGCCCGATGAAATTGAACGGCACCCTCCTCCTTGCCCCCCTCCTCGCCCTATCCCCTCCTCTCAGTCACCTTTGAAGCATGTCCCGTGCTCGGTAGCGCTAACGTTAGTGATGTACAGTGGGCAGCTTCTCGTTTGTATGCATCTTCCAGAGACGGCCACATGACGACGGAAGAGCTTCAGGAGAAAGTGGACGACTTGCAAAAACAGATTCGGTCGACCGAAATCGTCCTCGATTCCAACCCTCTCGTCAGCATTTCATGCCAGAGTACCGCACCGTCCCTCGCCACCGTCGGTATGGCCCAAGAGGAGCTCCGACGCCGAATCGTCGCCACAGCCGAGATCTTCCGACACGCGTCCCATATCTACGTATATCGCATTGCTAATGGTCCGGAAGTACCTCTTACCGAGGAAATGCAATCAAGCCTCGGCACTGCGCAGGAGCTTCTTACCATGGTCCCCGATGCGCTTGGCCCGGGAGCTAACTTGGGTTGGTGCTTGGTGGTGCTCGGAGCTGAGATGGATTTAGTCGACGAGCGGAATTACGTGCAGTCAAAATTGGATGGCCTTCACCTCTTGGGATTGCACAACACGAAGAATGGGCAGAAAATCCTGGAAGAGGTTTGGGCGCACCGTGACCTCGTCGCCCAGGGACAAGCGACTCCGGAGCGGTGGCAAGACATAATGCAGCGGATCGGTCAGTCACAAATATTAGTTTGATACTGGTAGCTATCGAAAAAATAATGTATTATCCGTTTCCTGATCCGCATCAAGGCCAGGCCACTTCCCCACTCTCACCCAGTGGCTGTGAATCCCTGCGACTTGCACTCCCATCCCTGGTCTGGTCATTTGTTTCCCCACGCCATGTCCAGCAGCTCTTCAATCCTCATTGGCGGGGTTGTTTCCCCTGCGAAGTGCTCTACCAGGTCAAGATGACCCTCCAGGCGCGAAAAGTCGTACGCTCCAAGGGCTACAGAAGCACCCAAATCCGCTAGGAGTGCACTGAGCTGCTCTACCCCTTCAGGGAAGTGCTCGGCGATCGGCACGTTTCGAGGCAGCATTGTACGATCCTGGTGTTTCAGCAGGGAAGAGAGAGGCTGATAGGTAATTTTGAGAGGAGTATCCAGATTCCTGTTGACTAAGGCTACTAGCTCGTTGATGGTGACGGTACTTGATGCCGTGGTCATAACTCGAGGCCACTTGTCCAGGCCGAGGGCAAGGGCGGTATACCTAGCGATATCCTTGGTATAAGACGTGGCCATCTTTGTCTCTCCATCTCCCGGTACAAGCGCGACGCCATTCGTTGGATCCACGAAGAGACACAGTTCCCTGAGGTGGGTGGATATATTTGGCATTCCGAAATAGTCCATGAACATGCCGGGGTAGATGTAACTGTACTCAAGAGTAGTCGTCTTCTCTAGCTCACGCCTGGCAACAGTATGGTATTTTTTGTCCGGGTACGGGAGAAGATCGTCATCCTGGTCGTAGTCGACATTGAATTCGGAGGGAATGAACCGCGTGACACTGGTTGCCCTCTCGGCAGCCTTGATGAGAGTGATTTGGGCGTCGCTGGCCGCTTGGAAATCCAGGGCGAACGTGCAAACGACGGTGTTGATTTTGTGCTTGTCCAGAAGCTCAACCAGGGAGTCCTCAGAGTTGTAATCCGTCTGAATAATTGGCATATATTCCTTTCCTGTTAAGGGCGAGAGGCGTGATGGATAGTCTTTCGGGGCCTGAAGAATATCCGTTAATTGCCTTTCCCACCTTAGAGGATGGACCGGATTGGGGAAAATACTGAAAAGTGGTGGCATTGATGGCATCAATGTTGGACGACGATCCGGACTTACCCTGCGAGAGGTAACGTATACCTCATACTTGCCAATATCATGAATGGCCTCAGTGATGAGCTTGCCCATATCACCAAGGCCACCAGCAACGAGGACGACAGCCATGACTATGATGGAGAAAAGCTGTTTAACGAGGTGGCCTTGGTTGTATTGACGAGAGATTGGTAACAGAATGAAACACTATAGTTTGAATGGAACCAGAATATTCGTACAAGCTCGAAACTTTCTGCGTGTATAGCTGTAAACCGTCGGTGACAAGATAACTTCCAGCGTCAGGGTATCCAGGGAGTTTATGCAGTAACATGTATTGTGTCAATGAGCTGGGTGAGCTATCTGGACGGCACTAGCCCCAACCATACGTTTGAACTGGAGCAAACACTCGTGGATCATCTCCCCATTGGCTACGGGATTAACACGGAAGCTTTCATCGATTCCAGAGCGAGAGGTACTTACCACTGCCCATCGCTGTCCTAGATTCCTCGAGTTTTAAGTGATCAATATATTGCTTGGCCATCATCCAAAAAGACCCTCCTCCCCCGTTACCATCTTAACAACCTTGTCTACCGGTCACTTCCAACCCCCGTTTCCATCTCGTTTAATGCCAGCTAGGTACTCTACTTTCTTGCAAAAACACGACATTTCACCGTCTGGCCATATCCAGATACCGCTCGAGGTACCACTCAAGATTCCACTCAAAATTTCATTCAGGCCCCGCCGCACATCCAACCGCGCCAGCATCACTCAGCCAAGATGTCTACACAACTCGTCACCCGCGTCACCCTCTTCAAGATCCCTTCCGCCGAGGACCAACAGCGCCTCATCGATCTATACCGCACATTGGCCACCAAGGCCCTCAAGGACGGAAAGCCCTACATCGTATCCGCCTCTGCGGGACCAACTTTTGAAGATGCGCGAAACCAAGGCTACACCCTCGCTGCCTCTACCACTTTCGCAACACTGGAAGATTGGAAGTACTATGACGAGCAGTGCTCCGCGCATGGGGAGATTAAGAAGCTGGCAAGGACGATACACCGGGGAGCAATGATGGTTTACTTTCAGAACGTTTTATAAGTAGAAACGGATATTTAGGGGTATCAGGATCTCTCGTTTGAGTTGTCAGAAGTTAATCTATTATACTTGACGTACTTCATTAGATTTCTTTCCGGTCGGTTTTGTGTAAAGAACCAGAAAAAGATAGGATTAGCAATCAGAGGAGGCACCAGTCCACAGAAATACGGAATAAAATTGTATACTCCTCGGAGATAGACACCACCTCAGTACCCCTTTTCATCACTACATACGTGTATCTCTATTTTCTAAAATGGCTGCTTGATTGCCTCCCTAATTGTTCCCGAGCACTCCCCAAACCCGACAAGTCCGTCTTCTTCCGATCCACAGAAACCAGTGATTCTGACAGTATCTCCATCGGCTAGAAACTTCCTCTCCTGCCCATCTGCCAATTTTATAACAGCCTTTCCGCCCATGTTCTGCTCGAGTAGGCTGCCACGGGACCTCTCATCAGTACCGCTAATGGTACCACTGCCCAGCAGATCTCCCGGCCGCATGGGACATCCGGAAATGGTGTGATGCGCCAACATCTGGGGGAAGGACCATATGAGATTTTTTGAGCTCGTCTCCGTGATGACGGTCGAGGTGGCCGTAGTACCCGCGCCTGTGATCAGCTCGACGCACAGCCGGATGTCATATTGATTGAGCTTTTCCTTCTCTCGCAGGTATGGCAGTAGCTGCGTATCGTTTTTGATCCCTGCAGTTGAGAAAGGTGCGAGCGCATCGGGGAGCACTACCCACGGGCTGATCGTAGTGGCGAAGTTCTTGGCATTGAAAGGGCCTAGTGGAACGTACTCCCAGGTCTGCAGGTCTCGCGCAGACCAGTCGTTCATTAATACGTAACCGAAGATGTTTTGCTCCGCCTCGTTAACGGGAACGGGGTGTCCAGGCTCGTTCGCTTTGCAGATGAAGGCACCGAGCTCTAGCTCGATATCGAGACGTTGGCAAGGTCGGAGGCTTGGCACCTTGGGGTCGGCTGTGGGGTCCGTTAGGATCTGGCCCCAAGGGCGATGCACCGGAGTGCCCGAAACAAAAACCGAGGAAGCACGACTGTGGTATGCCACAGGCAGGTGCTTATAATTCGGTTGCAAAGCATTTTGCGGGCCCCGGAAAAGAGAACCAACAGTAAACGCATGATTGACACCCGCAAAGAAATCCGTGTAGTCACCGATTTCCATGGGAAGATGCATTGTGACAGTCTCCAGGGCAAACAAGGCGCTCGATTTGAGCGGATCATTGTCGCGGAGGACTTGGGGGTAGGGGGTATCTTCGGCGAAGACGGCCTTCAGATATGTTCGGACCCTGGAGTGGACGGGCCGACCGAGAGCGGCAAACCCATTCAAGGTCGGCACCGAGAAGACGTGGAGATGGGGCTGGATGGCATCTAGCCCTGCGAAGCCCTTCCGCTCCGCAAAGACTTTGAGATCTAGCACATGCGTACCGATTACTGTTGCGGGCCGTCGAGTTGAGGAGTTTGGCGTCGAAATAATGCCGAATGGAATGTTTGCCAAAGAGAATGGCGACGAGGGCGCGACGGGCAGCCAGGATTTGAGACCCATGCTGCAGTAATGTTTTATGGCGTGGCGGCTGGTTCTTCGGGTCTTGTTAATTGACAAGGGACAAGTATTAGTGATTTGCGCGAAGCTCAGGTGGCTAGACTCATAGGGATTCCTCGACTTTGTGAGTCGAGTCGCCATGTAAGAAATAGTTGAGCTTTCGTCGAATATTCTCTGGTTGAATGTCTTCCCTGATCCGGCACCTCGAAATCGACGCTCCTCAAAACAAGCCTGGCCGTGTACCAATAGGCCGTCTGAGCGCAGTCCGCGGCCAGGGCACTCCGGACCCGTGGTGATTCCGCGGTCTGTGTTGGAATGGAGACTTGGAATTAACGGCCAATGGACTATTATTCCGGGCCTCCACTCCACCAACATCCAACGTCAACTGCTTCGCACGACGGACAAGGATGAGCCAGGCGCAGTCCAGCTACTACCTGAAGGCGTATAATCTTGGCGTGGAAAGTATCCTGAAATCTCGACAGCGTTTTGGTACACCGAATGGCTGCGCCGAAGTCGCTTCTCGATCACTATCCTTCTCACTTCATGGCGATTATCAATTCTCGAGCTCACGCCACTTTCATGATCTCATAAGCCAGGTGTAGGGTGTAATCAAGAATAGATAAAGAATATATGAAGGCTGATATGGTCCCTTAGTGGTGAGACAGCATCGAAACATATCAACACCCATTCGATATCTTGATAGCTCTCAAGGTCGTCGGAGTTTGCCACTGCCATCCCCCACCACACTTCGCTTTTCACCAAGTATCCGATACAAACATGCCAGTCACTAAGTTTTCAACCCCGGAAAAGTACCAATACCTCAACGGCTTTGGGTCGTACCATGAGTCGGTCCTCCCTTGCCTGTCACGGCTTCTCAAGTCCACCCTCCCCTGACAAAGATACCTAGACGTACTAACATAACATATTGTTGATTAGGACGGAGGCCATTCCCAATACCCTCCCAATCGGGGCCAATTCGCCCCAAGTCCCCAACCACGGCCTCTACGCCGAGAAACTGTCGGGAACATCCTTCATTGCACCCCGAAGCGAAAACCAGCAGACATGGGTGTACCGTATTCTCCCATCAGCGGCCCATCTTCCATTTGAGCGTGACAATGACTACGAGGCGACCGCAACCATCCATCACATCCCTCAGCAGCTCCGGTGGGATCCATTCGATCTTGACGATAAAGCCGATTGGGTACACTCGTTGAAGCACCTCGGTGGCGTTGGCAGCCCTGCCATGAAGACGGGAATCAGCATCTTCATCTACGCTGCCGGTGTGTCTATGCCGGCACGCCAGGCTTTCTACTCTGCCGATGGAGACTTTCTCATCGTCCCGCAGCACGGAGTAATGGATATCCAGACTGAGCTTGGCCGTATCCTGGCTCGGCCAAACGAGATTGTTGTCATTCCCCGCGGCATTAAGTACCGTGTAGACCTCCCGGACGGACCGGTTCGGGGTTACATCATGGAGCTTCACGATGGCCACTTCAAGCTCCCCGAGCTGGGTCCCATCGGTTCCAACGGGCTGGCTAATGCGCGCGACTTTCAAGCACCGGTTGCTTCGTTCGATGACGCTCCCGAGGATGATACCCCGTGGACGATTTACACAAAATACAATGGAAACATGTTCCTCGCAAACCAGGCCCACACTCCGTTTGATGTCGTAGGATGGCACGGTCTCTATTACCCCTACAAGTACGATCTCGGCAGGTTCAACGCCATCGGCAGCATCAGCTTCGATCACCCTGATCCAAGCATCTACACCGTGCTCACCAACCCGACGGCGGATTTCGTCATTTTCCCTCCTCGCTGGTTGGTGCAGGAGGACACGTTCCGGCCGCCATGGTATCACCGCAACACAATGTCCGAGTTCATGGGGCTCATCATGGGAGAGTACGACGCCAAAACGGGCGGTGGCTTCCGTGCGGCTGGTGCCAGTCTTCACAACGTCATGAGCGCCCACGGCCCCGACGCAGATGCCCACGCAAAGGCTAGCGCGGCGGACCTCAAGCCTTTTAAGGTGGGAGATGGGAGCATGGCATTCATGTTCGAGAGCCCGTTGATGATTGGCGTGACTGATTGGGCCCTGGAAAAGTGTCGCAAGGTGCAGCCGGAGTATAACGCCGAGTCATGGGTACCACTGAAAAGACACTTTAAGTGGCCCACCACCGGCGAGGGGGCGTGATAGAAGTGGGCGTGGAATGATTTCGGTAATCTAGTGAGCATGTTTTGGATAGTACCAAATTGAATGAGTGCTCCTAGTTGAGTGTCATGTATTCTCTGCCCTGAACTGTCGAGATGTATCCAAGTTCTGAGGCCTTGACTTGTGTGGGCACCAAATGTATAATGAGGCGTCCACAATCTTGATGAAGCACACTTGGATGCATTTCTACATCCGCCAGGCCTGTCGAAATTTGTGTGATAGGAACGAAAAAAGAATGCATTGGCGTTACTAGAAGTAAATCCATTACATACAAAATTGCGGTATCCGGCTTGTCTGATTCTACTCAAACCCAATCGCCATTCTTCGAATCACTAGTGACCTCCCCCTCGACCGACATTGACATCGGTTCAGTCGCAGCAAACTCGAGAGGACCGTAGTAGTGTTTTCTCCCATAAAATACCCAAAGTACCATAGATAGTATAAACACGGCACCGAGAATTGTCGCCGCATAGTTCCTGGGAATTTGTTAGCAAGCCACGCGTGAGCGCACATTTTAGGGAGAGTAGTGGGAGGTTAGCTCACATATTGGTAGCGTTGACCGGACTATTAACGGGGAATGACATGAACAAGACCATGAAACAGCCAAACAAAAAGCCGATGATGTGGACTGGCAAGGCGAATTTCCCCATGTTGAACGGTCCTTTCACAAGATCCTTCTTCCACCAGGCTGTGTAAAAGATGTTTATGCCGAGCGGAACCACATAGGAAAGCTGGAACGCGACGAGGACACCCGCCATGATGCCGTAGAATGCCGTAGTATTCCAAATGTAAATCAGGAAAACCGCGATAGAGGGCACGATTAAAATGAGATTGGCGAGAACCGGAACGCCCCAGCGAGGGTGGAGCTTCGCCATGGCCGGGGGGAGGGCGTTATCGCGAGCCATACTCCATATGGCCCGAGATGCGGCACCCCAGAGATCAAAGCCGGCTGCCATCGCCACAGTTGTGCTTATGCAATTGAGAAAGGTGGACAAGGGGACGTTTCCCGTGCTATTGATCAGGATCTGCGTGAACGGGCTCATCAAGCCGATGGGAGAACCGAGAACCGCGTCGATATCGCCGATGCAAAGGATGGCAACGACGATGAACGGAAAAGTCATCAACGCAGTGCTACCAGCTTGCAAAACCACTAGAAACAGGGAGAGAATTGTTAAAAAAAGAGCTGCTCATGAATACTACTGTGGGGGAGGGAATGAAATTGGTGGGTGGGCGTCGCTCACTGGCTCTTGGAACGAGGACATTTGCTCGGGGAATTTCCTCGCTGAAGTGGATTGCCGTGTCTATAGAAAGATAGGCGTAAAGAGCGGCAAGGAGTCCTATGGACCAAGATACAAAATCACTGTCCCAACCGGTGCTGTTTTGGAAGTGGGTGAAGATGTATTTGGCGTCATGCTTCTCCTCCGTGAAACCAGTCAATATGCCGATGACGACGAAATACCCGACAACGTGGAGCACAAGGACTATTAATTGCCATATAAGTCAGTAACCCATGATGAGGGGATTATACCGGAATACGGTTGATCGCGAGAACTCACTCGTCATATTCATATAATGAAGCGTTTTGACAGCGAAAATGTTGACTATTATCCAACAGAACATGCAAGCAATGCAGATCTAGAAGCCACGATTCCATTAGTTTAAGTGAGCGGACAAGGAAAAGATATGAGTGTAGAAATGGATAATTACCACAAACGCATGCCAGGTCTTGGGTTCGTATTCTCTGTTGACTATTACGTACGACTGGATCTGAACTGCAACTCCAATACCACAAGACAAGGCCGCGAGCCAAAGGCCGGCAAGACCAAACCAGGCTGTAGTCCAGCTCTGTTTCGCCGTAGTGTCAGCTATGTAGCACCTCGTTTTTGGTATTCTCTGCGTCGATTACGTACCAGGATTCGAGAGTACTTGGGAGGAGCAAGATTGGCGGACCAAACATACTGTCCTCCAGCGGATGGCCACATACTAGATGTAAAATTCCAGGCTGACGTTAGTCTCCGAACAACATGAATACCAGTGTGGATGTAGCCAAGAGGAGTATAAAAGTATTACACACCTGACGAACTCTGCCAGGGCACAAGCCATGCAGGTGATTCCGACGGAGACAAACACCCAACCCCAGACGAGACCCACGGAACCGCCACCCGCGATACCTTGGGCGATAGAGGCCGTCCAGCCTTCCCACTAGAAGTGATAGTATATTAGCCAGTGACCAGTGTTTTGAAGTCAAGGAAAAGGCATGCTAGATATACCGCTCCGGAGGTGCAGACGGCGACGCTAAAGGCCGTCCAGAAATTGAACCTCTTTTTCACCTGGGCAGTTCCATTTGTTGGGTGTATGACGGATACGGAATCCCTATGAGTAGAGATGACGGCGGATTTCTCTGACTTAGACATGACGATGTCGTGTAGCAAGAGAGTTGATGTATCGGTGGTGATTGGAGGTCAAGTGTTGGCAGAGAAGCCTGAGATGGTTCTTCTGTGTGGTAGTGAGACGACACTCTCGTTTTTTCATCAACGACGGTATTAGAGTATGAAAGAGCGAGGGAAGGCAGGTATAAATAAATGTATCCCAGACAGACGATGCGTTCGGTGTACCGTAGGTCCCAGTCTGCGGTTGCCGTAGAGAACCTTTTTGGACTGTCAGAGTTCTACTTTCTCTGCACTGAAGAAGTAGCACCGCCAACGTTTGTACGCTTATCGGGAAGAAGAGACAAGAGAAAGAGGCGCTATCAGAAGGCAACGCACTATTAGATACACTCTCGTACCTTGTACATCATGCACACCAGGGACCCCGGTAATCCTACGAAGTGAACAAGATTCACAGGTACATCAATATGTAAGTAAATACAAAGTACCTTGGCATCGCCATTGGTTCCGGGGAATTTCAAGTTTGCAAAATGCCCCCAAAAAATAGAGGACATACCACTAGAAATAGCTTTATTAGGACTTTCTAATTACATTACCAGAATATTATGTTCTGTTATCTATTATGGCATTATTTTCTTACTCTTCACCCCGAAGAATAGGCGCAATACAACTATTTCCTTTGTCTACGAAGTTTAAATGTGGCTGTAATCTTATTGATCTTTACAGTGGATTCAATCCCGGAAATATAGAATGGGCTTGTGAAGGACTTTCTTAGCTTTGGGGACATGCAGTACCAGTACTGGTCATGCCGTGTTTCCTCCAGGGTATCCGGGCAGAAGGTAACATCGGAAGGGGGGGCCAGATACGTATGAGACCCTCTCCCGCATCCATTATCTGCGCCCGAGGCCAAATTGGGATGCCTGGTACCGCTAAAGATAAGGGCCCCAGCGGTGTAGGAGCACCGGGTAATCTATTTACAGGCTGGATTTGCGAATCCTTGATGCCAGCCAAGGATATCCAAGCCAAACTCTAATCCATCGGTCCCACACTTTCAGATATCAAGCATGCGCTGCTCTCGTCGAGTGGGGAGTTTATCCACCCCTGCGCGATGCAATCTTCGTCCGGGCTTTTGGATCTGGGATTCTGGGGGAAGCAATATCCTTTACGCAATAGGCCGAATTTGTGCGGGGAAGTGGAGTCGGCGCCCTGGATTGGGATTAGAAGCATCCAGGACAGGTCACTAAGAAGAAGAAGTGGCACATGCGTATTCGCCTCCCGGCAGCTTTTCTAATCTCGTCTGCAATAAGGGCTGGAACGGCTGGGAACTGGAATGGGGCGTGTTGAGGGTGTCATGGGCAGAGGCGACGTCAACTTGCTTGAGAACTAGATACGATGTGGGAACGACACATTCAATTTCCGGCATGATATCGAATATCAACTTGCCACTCGGGGGAAAGGATACTCTGAATTCACTAGAAAATACTGCTGTTATTCTGAAAATCACTAATGCTTAGATTTGCCAAGTCTATGCTGCTACCTATTCTGCTGCATTGACATGCCCCTAGGCTGTTATTACCTGACAGCCAGCTTCGTCTTCCCGACCTTTCGACTCTCAAGGGTGTAGTCACCGCCAGCCGGAAGGGCCAACTCCTCAATAGATCCTGGCTTGTAGCTCTTTACATCGGCCGCCAAGTGATCAAAGTGCTTTTCAGACTCGCTCGTAATATCATACTCAAGAACCCACTCAGGCCGTGGCAAGTTGAGGATCTGCGGGTTCTTCTTGATATAGTCGCTATCAAAATCGGCGTTGTGATAACCATCCCTAACCGAAATGGATGCCATGTGCGTGACGTGCGAGCGGTTGAAGCGAATCCTTTCAAACACGCGAAGGGCCAGGGGTACATCTCCCTTGGCCCGCTGCAGGCAAACAGCCAGAGCAACGCCATCTTCCATGGCCTGAGCTCCACCTTGAGCAGAGGTGGGCAGGTGGCAATGGGCTGCGTCTCCCATCAAAGTGATGCGAGCGGATGGGCTGAGCCACGTCTTCAGGGGTTCTCTCCATACGAGCTTGTAATCAACGAGCTTGTGGGCCGGGGTCGCCCTGACTATCTCATGGAGCCTCTCCTCGAAACCACCTTCCGTCAGACAGGCAAGAACATCTTCCTTCTTTCCCGGGAATGACCAGGACTCGCCAATGTCTTCCGTGTCCTAGAGGGGTTAGGGAAGAACATGGGTATTAGTAACGACACAATCGGGCATTTAGGACTACTAGAGAGAGATAATAATACCTTGTGCGTCAGGACCCAGCCAAGACTGGTTCCCTTCATCCAGGAGTAGACAACCATGTGCAGGTCCTTGGTGATCCACAGCTTAGTTAGATCCGCGGTAGGATCGCAGAAGGGAGCGAGAAGCGGGTTCTTTTTATGGTCGTCGGTCAAGTTGAATTGCGCACGGAAGATGGCATATCCACTATTGACCGTCGTGTCCGGGAGTCCGAGAACCTGCTGCCTCGCAATGGACCGTGGGCCATCAGCCGCGACAACAACGTCGGCAACGTACGTCGCCCCACTGGAGGTAACGACGCTCGGCTTCTCGCCATCGACGTACTGCACAACGCGGTCACCGAGCTTAAATTCCACACCGAGCTCCACGGCGTAGTTGTAGACGATGGTGTGCATCTGGCCTCGGTGACCACCATACTGGCGCCAGAAGTGGTGAGGCTCGAGGATCCAATCCTCTTCCCACATCACCGTGCCGTCGGCCCTGCAGTACTGGAACTTGTCGCCTTGGTTGATACACACCTTCATCAGTTCACGGCCAACGCGGCCATTGTCCCAGGCTTCGATGATACGCCCGCCGTTGGCGAAGAAATCAATGATGTCGCCGTATTCGGAGCTTGTCGGGTATGTCTCAACCACGGTGACTTTCATGCCTCGCAGACGGCACTCGATGGCCGCTGTGAGACCGCCAAAGCCGGCCCCGACAATGAGCACGTGGAGGTTCAGGTTGCTTTGGGTCATTTTTGGGTGGGTGGCGATCTAAACGCTAGGTACAGGTTGTGTTGTAGAGAGGGATGAACAAAATGGCTTGTACGTAAACGGGCAACCTTGGGAGTCTTGGAGTCAATAAGTTCGCTGATTCACGGACTTCTTGTGAAGCGAGATAGTTTTATCCTTGAATTCTTTAATATGTGCAAATCGAAATGTCGCGCTCTGACTTAGTAGATAGGATGCGCGAAGCTCACGGAATCCGCCGACTAATGGGCTCAATCAGCATAACCGGATGTCATCCGATATGATTCGCATTTGGATGGAGGGAAAACCGGGTCGGGAGCGCTGCCATTCGAGATGCGAGGTCCGGAGCGGCGGCATCACACAGAGCCAAAGATTGAACAGAACGTTGGCGGGAAATGAGGCTCGGTCGCTCAGTCGCTCAGGCCTACTGTCTGCACAACAGACAACAGGACAGACGGGATGGAACGCCGGAAATAATCATCCAATTATTTTTATTTCCTAACACACTCACGGAATAATACATGATTGGGTCACCATTCCGCATTGCACCGTTACCTGATTCGGGTCTAGCTCCGAAGTGATCTGCTTCCTGCCCACCCGAGACCCCGAGAGTCTGGACTCTGGACTCTGGACTCTGGAGACGAGGGCGAATGGAGGCAAGGTTTTCCCACCACACCACCACACACGGTATCTCCAATGGTCTGATTGCTTGATTCTTCAACCGGATAGCAGCCTTTCCACTTTCTTTTGTTTTTCCTTAAAATTTCTTAGTCCGACTCTCTTTGGCACCCATAAGTCGTACAACAACAAAGCTCACGAGAGCTATCGCGTAGGCAAGGCCGGCAAAAAGAATCAATCCTAGGTAGTCCCCCTTTGCAACCTGAAGGATCTGCCCTCCGAGTGGGACACCGATCAAGGAACTAGCAATAGCAGCGTTGGTTAGTCCTGGAATGTGTTGCGCGGCAGTTCTCCGGGGGGAGGTTATTTACCCAAAACTTGCAAAACTATAAACTGCTGTAAACGTTTTCCCATAGTCTTCGGTTTTGCAGAGCTGCCCGATGCATACGGGAACAAGGCTGATGCCACTGCCACTTCCAAGTCCAAAGAGAATGACAAATGCCGTCAACCCAGGAACCTTTTGGCCGGCTGGAAGCCATATCCCAAATACCGATACGAGACATAGAGCCAGCGCAATGATTTGAGCATTGAACCGGCCTATCTTGTCGCCCATCCACCCGGGGAGCCAACGGCCAAGCAGCGAACCCACGTTCAAAAGCGTGACCATCCGGTATGCCACCTCGCTAGACATTCCGTGTGATATAGCATAGGATGCGGCATATGTCAATGGTATAAAGAGGCCTAGCTCGATGAAGAGCGCCCCAGTTGCCAAGATTGCCATCCGCGGCTTAAGCAGAATTCGTAGGTCCGGGACGAAAGCGAATCGTGAGCTTCCTGGTGCGGCGGTAAATCGGCTGCGCATAAGAAGAAAGCCCGTCACCACGAACGGCACCATAATGAGAGCCATGGCTCTCATCGTCCAGGCGAATCCTATTTTCGGCACCAGAGCGCTTATTATCAGCGGTGAAACGATGCCTCCGACGCTCCCGCCCGAAATGGCCAGCCCAGTAGCCAAGCCGCGGCGTCTTAGAAACCAATGCTGCACGGTTCCGACGGCAGGAGTGAAAAGAAGGCAGGTGGCGCAACTCCCAAGAACTCCGAAACAGAGGAAGAAGTGCCAATATTCCTGACAGCTCCCAAGCGCGAGGTAGGTAGCTGTCAACAAGAGCGCACCGCACAGGGAGAGGAGTCTCGGACCATGGGTGTCGAAAATGGGACCTAAAGGAAGGCCGGCAAAGAAGCTGAAAAAATTGTAAAATCCAAAGATCCATCCGATACTCCCCGGGCTGCTGGACTTGAGTTGGTTCCCCGAAATGTAGTCGCGATACACGCCCACCGAATTCATCATGGACAGAGCAGCAAACAGGGAGCAGAAAGAACCGAATAAGCATATCCACGCCGACTTTCCGCCGTCCGGGTACTCATCACTATCGCAATCAGCCCCATCATTCGGTCGGGGAGTGGGAGGTTCTAATCCAGGCTGGATTGCTGCAGCCGGGTTCATCGTGTTGTAGTCAACCGCGCCTGCTTCTTCTCCTCTCTGTTGTTGAAGGCAACGCTGGTCCATTTTCCATTGCACCGTGAATACGGACCAAAAGATTTGACCTTGAGATTCGGTAGCCGTTTGATTTCCAGGCAATCTTTTCGGGAAGATTCCAACGGCGCTGCAATATTGCGTCAAGAGGTGGAACGGGCGAGAATCGGAGCCATGGATCAATACACTATTGGCTCTGCAGCAAGCGACGACGTGTTTTACGCTATGGGCCTTCACTCTTCCTGGCGCAGTAGCTTGGATGTTGTATTTAAACCACCAGCGGGCTCGACCGAATTCCAAAAATAAATCACCAGACGTTTATAGCATCTTGAATTCTAGTATTTACGTGCCGTTATCCATCCCACAGTTCAATATGGTTTTCGAGTGGCAAGACGAGGGCAAGTTCCATCGAGTCCCCAAGCTCGAGCCCGGCCCGCCTAATGTCTACTTTGGTAAGCGGCATCCATGATTTCTTGGGTGTGGACCAGGCATTTACTTGATTCGCGCTTACTCGTGTTGCCAAAGGCGATGTTTTCTCAACTGCATCTAAGGATGCGGCAAACCCCTTAACTGGGTCCTTCTTTCTTCTCGAGAAGCTGGACAACCCCGACCCGGCTCCCAAGTATGACTACGACGAGAGTGGTGTGGTATTGAAGGGTGAGTCAGAACGATGCTAGAAAAGTAGAGATCTGTGGAAAACGAAGAAAAACTAAGTTCTAATGTCTCATTACACAGGCGAGTTGCACATCGCGGATGAAGCGGGCAACACGGCTAAGCTGTTGCCTGGTGATACCTTTTTCATCCACCGCGGAAGCACCATCGTGTTCTCCACCCCTCGTTTCGCCGTTGCTTACAAGGTTGCGGCTCGTCATACGCATTAAGGCAGCACGGAATGGATGGGGGAATCAGGAATTGAAAACCGAGCATATGGGCGTGAGTTGGTGATGAAGAGTTAGGAACAAGATACATAGACTACCTCTATCAAACTCATTGCATGAAAATTCCATTCACCTACTACCACAACTGCTATGTTCGATGTTTTTCCCGTCCGGCTCGCAATCGTCGTCCCCAGTCTCCATTAACTCAATAAATTGAGGTTAGATATACCTTTGACATATTGCTCTCAAATATTCTTGGATGTGTGAATGAGTTGAGGGATCGCGCGTATGCTGGCGTAGATGAGGATAGGTTTATTCACGCATCCGTAATGAGTCTCACATCTCGCGGGATACGAGGCATAACACAGTCACATCGGAATCATAGGATACGGACGACTTCATAGCCCAAAAGGAACCCGGCGGCTAGTATTTGTTACTCTGTAGGAAGAGTGAAATATTTAACCGTCTTCGTCGTTAGCCACCCATCGAGTGCTTCTTCTCCCATATCACGACCGAATCCAGATTGTTTAACTCCTCCGAATGGCGTATTCGAATGCAGCATTCCCCAACAATTAACGGTAACCTGGCCACATTCCAATGCCGAAGACACGCGCTGCGCTCTGCTCACATCGTTGGTAAACACAGCAGCGCCGAGGCCATACTCGCTAGCATTCGCCTTTGCGATAACCTCGGATTCTGAGGTAAACTTGGCAATCGACTTCAGTTGAATTCCAGTTAGCGATATAATCAGGGATACAAGGGGCGTTACGCAAGGATTAGTACTGACAGCCACAGGTCCAAAGATCTCCTCTTGCATAATGCGAGCATCATCAGGCACGTCCGCAAAAGCAGTGTTCGCAACAAAGTAGCCGTTTCCGGGAAGGTCCTCGCCTCCAGCCAGCAGACGGATACCGGATTCTTTAGCATATCGGATGTACTCTGTAATCTTTTCCCTCTGCCTCTGACTGATAACAGGACCCTTGGTGGTTTCGCTCAAGAGCGGGTCACCATGAGATGTCTTGGCCAGTTTCTCGGCAAAGGCAAGGAGGAAGTTGTCGTAAATGCTCGCGTGGACATAGATGCGCGATCCCGCGGCACATACTTGCCCGTTGTTAGCGGTTATCCCCGTGGTGGTCCAGAAGAGAGCATTATTCAAGTCGGCGTCGGCAAACACGATAGAGGGACCTTTTCCGCCTAGTTCTAGAGTAACCTTCTTCAAGTTCGAAGAGGCCGACGCTTTAAGAATCTGACGGCCCACCACCGCGCTGCCAGTGAAGGCAATCTTCTTTACATCTCTGTGCTCGGCGAGGGCTTGGCCAGCAACAGAACCGAGACCACAGATGATGTTTATTACGCCGGGGGGAAAGCCAGCCTCCTTCACAAGGGCCGCTAGCTTTTGGCCGTACAAGGGAGCCAACTCCGGCGTCTTGATGATTAGCACGTTTCCAGCGGCAATGGCAGGCGCGAGCTTCCAGATAGTAATCATGCTGTTCATCCGTATTAGCACGGCGCCAGAGTCTATCGAATTCTTTCTGTCCTCGAAGAGGAATCATGGAGGAGACTCACAGAGGTGCATTCCAAGGCACAATGGCCGCACACACTCCGACCGGTTCACGTCGGGTGTAGGCGTGTCCCTGGGGGATGCTCAGCAGTTGGCCAGTAATTTTATCGGCCCAGCCAGCAAAATATCGGAGCGTATCGGTCGCCTGGGTGATATGCAGCGCCTTCGACTCCCCAAACAAGATTCCCGCATCGAGAGCTTCAAGGCTAGCAAGATCGTCGGCATTGCTCTCGATGAGATCAGCAAGGCGATTGAGTAGCTTGCCTCTGTCGGAAGGAAGGATAGTCCTCCATGAGCCATAAAAGGCGGCCTGGGCCGCTGCAACAGCCGCGTCGACATCCTCTCTCTGAGCTGCTGATACCGAAGCAAGACGATCGCCCGTCGTTGGATTCTCCACATTCAACTCAGATCCTCCCGCTGCGAGGCGAAAGGCATTGTTGATGAAAAGCCCCGTATTGACTATGCTCTCGACAAATTAGTCGCGGTGTAACTGGTGCTTCACATACGGTATTGGGGATCTGTGGTAAGAGGAGAATTGAAGCTAGGCTGTGCACCTACCGATAACAGGCTGTCCGCCGAAGCCAATCACCTTGATTTCACTCATGGTTTATGGGGATGTCCAGGAATTTGAAACCGGCCGATGATGATAGTGACTGCCTAAACTACACAAGGGTAATTTTATGGGCTTGTATCTGTGATTCTTGATGAGAACATATAATCTTTGAAGTCTTTACAGATGTATACATACATATTTATATATATATACTATATACACACGTCTTGGTGATCGCTGACCCACAACTCAGACTTTCGGCCAGTCAGATAAAATTCCGGACCAAAAAGCCTGCTCAAACTAGACGCGTTCCGTGCGCGCATAGAGGAGGAGCTCCTGCATGAGCAATCGCCCGCCTCTAGGTGATCTTGAGAACTCATGACCCGCCTCATCGACTACAGTCAAAGTCAAGTTGCCCAACCCTACACGGACGGCGATGGTAGCGACGGTGACATCCACCTAAAAACCCGAAGCGAGCAGTTTGTCGCCAGCTCCCTTTTCATGTTTATCGAGGCGCAGATCGGCGCGCCTCATCCGTAGATGCATAGGGGCGTAGTAATGCCCTCCGCCTGATATCCTAGTAGAAAGGGGCGAGAGTGATGAATCGTCAACATGTCGCTCTGCTTAAGTCCAGAAGATATATTTAAGATAACCCTCACCAAAGATTGCCATGTTCAGGTATACAACATCTTTGTCCTAGCAAACCATCATCAAGGGTCGTGGCTTACTATCAGAAAACTACTATTAGTAGAGCATCTCAAATTTGGAGAGGGGTTACACACAAGTCAAGGTCCTTAGCAAGCTCCAAAATCCAGCCGACGAATTCGGCTATTTCCTACATATACACCTCGGGGATTTCTGAGCGGGCCGGCACCTTGACTTCGTAGATAGCCAGATAGTCCTTTGCCTCATAGTCCTATTCTTTAGCAAGGGTCCGTCGATGCAAGTTGTAAAGCCCCGGGCTGAGCGATGTTTGTCGTTGCGAACTCGTGGCTCTCCTACGCGGAAGGCCACTTAGTGTGCATGTGAGACTAAGCTCTTCTCCTTTGCCTTATACCAGAGCCAGAGACCCCCCTTTGGCTATAAATAAACACACACACCCGTCCGCGGATGTGTGGATGTTGGGAGCGTCTTTTTGCGCCAAGCGGCTTTAGTAGATTGCCCTAGGCGAGATAGGCGCCCCATGCCCTGCATGAGTGTGGAGATGTTCTAGTGGTATTGGATGATGAGTCCCTTGCTGCAACACGACTGCATATTCAGGCTATATGTACTAAGGCTCATTGATGTCATAAGTACTTCATAGTGTGCTTTAGGATTGTTAAAGTTGTTAATAGCTTTCTACCTATTGGATAAGGAGGTACTAGATCTGATCGTTAGAACCTGAAAGCCAGCTATCACCAGGTTTGCACTTGTCTGCCTGATATACGACATACCGTTAGTAAATGTACGAGAAAAGTGTCTAGTGCGTGTAGGCTATGACATAGGGAATGTGGTTAACCTGTTCCCTAGGCATAGGTATATATGTAAAGGGTAGGGTTGGGAGGAGACTTACTGCGAAACCTACGGCGATGCTGTCAGTGTTAGTACCCGATGGCTATCGCCCACCTATTCCTTATATAGTTCGATGGTCCGAAGGAGAACCGGGCTCTTTCCAAGGGTGTTATACAACACCTCCCCACGGCGGGATGGCAGTAGGCATAGGTAATCGCGGCACAAGATATCGAACATGTAACTCAACCCTCCGTCGATATCCGTCTGGACGGCGTGGGCGTGCTCCGCGGTCGCCGCCTTTGTAGCCGAATTTCTGGTGTTGGTAGGGTTAAATATATCGATGTTATGTGCATCGAAAGATACAAGGGAGGCGTGAGAGTATGTCGCGAAGTTGACCCGGGGGGGCGCTACCTTATCAAAGCGGCAGACTGGGTATCTTGGCCGGGATTCTGAGTTAATGATATCTCGGCGTCTGGGCCTCGGCCCAGACGCTTCCGCTGTTGCTGGCATACCGCCGGGACGGCGCCTGCGAGCGGTTCCCCGAAAGGCAGGTCTTCCGTGAGTATGGCGCAGGGGGGTACGGACGTTCCAGGGAAGAAGGTAGTACCGTCGGGTAGGACAAGCGGGGTTAAGAGAAAGGTTGCGCCAATCGTCGAGGCCCAACGCCCTGCAGGCCTCGGACAAGTCCTCTTCCTGCGGTGGGTTCTCTGGCACAACTGGCGGAAGGGCAAAAGCCCTTCTGGTCGATGCGACGGCCTTTTGACGTTCGTCATCGTCTTCGATGGCATCTGTCATAGCACTGGACTGTAATAGGAATTCTTGGAGTACGTCGTGGTCAACTAATGCACCAAGGCGTGAGGGCGACTCGGTGGGCGGCAATGACAAGGGTCAACGATTCCTCGTCCATAGGCGGCAGTCGGCTTAGATTCGAGTTGGTTGCCTTCTCTTCCAGTGCCGCCGGTAGGTTTGGGCCTGGCTGTAACGTGGTTATCGTATGAACGCGGGCCTTGATCAGGCGAAGTCTCAGCTCATCGAGCTGCTCTGGTGGGGTGGCTAATACGGGGGCCAAGGGAGGTGGAGAGGGAGCGGCGGCCCTAGACTTGAGGGCGGCTTGGATATTCGGGGTTTGGGGGTCGGTTACCTCGGCGGCGCTGATGAGGTTTGGGCGGTATTTGGGGTCGGCGTAGAAGACGGGTACTAGGGCATTATTGCTCCCGTTGGCGCGTGGGCGTATAGTAAGGTGTTGTACGCGTCGGGATGAGTACTTTCCAGGTCAGCTTGGAATTTTTTTTTCCCCCTTAAAAAAAGACTGACATATAGAAGTCCACTTTCACCTACCCCTATCACCACGAGCAACTGCAGTTTCATCGCGAAAAGATTACGCGTTTCCACCATTGCAGAAATAGTTCGTCAAAGGCCAGGGATTTCAATCCACTTGTAATAGCAGTACTACCATGTTGTCATGGCTTTTTGTGGCATCGATGCGTTCTAGCATATAGCACCCGCGAAATCCAATAGCAAATATGAAATCTGGTCGGATGGAGTCACCGGCTGGTTGAAGTTTATTGACAACCGGGGCTTGTTCCGTACCGCAAGTGATGAAGTTCTTCTGTAGAGAGTCTAATTGACAAGCGTCAGTCGCTAAAACGGTTCTAAATGGGTAACATATCCAGATACTCACCGATGCTCTCTGGGAGTTGGATGATTCGCCAAGACGAGGGCTCAGGACATCCTCCACCCATGTTCTACAGGAGAGGAAGTCCGCCTCCAGAGAGTCTAATTCAAAAGCGTCAGTCGCTGAGAAGCTTCCAACGAAGTGATAATCATCCTGATACTCACCTATACTCTCTGGGAGTTGGGTGATTCCCTGAGAGTCGAGGGCTACGGGGACATCTTTCACCCATATCCTGCTGGAGAAAAGTTCCCCCGTCCTCAGAATGCTTGGCTTCTGCCGGGATACTGCGGATTACTGCCTCGGCATCCCTGACTCTTGGTCAACGACCCGCTTCTCGTACTTTCAAGGGGGGTTCTTATCGTCATCGTGCATGTTACTCACAGAACCCCTCCGAATCAAACAGATAAAGGTCATGGAAGACTCTAGCTTGACAATCTTCTTCCCATACTGCCAGGAAGGGGACTCATTGGCCTCGGTGGCATGAAGCTTGCTGGTCTCCAAGGACAGGCATCGGTGTATCTACCGGATATATATAAAATAAAATAAAATAAAATAAAATAAAATAAATCAAAGCCGGCGCTAGAGCACTTCGGTAATTTCGAGTCAGAAAAAGCCAGATCGAGGAGTGCGTGGCGGGAAGGATGAACAGACCCTGATTGACAAGTGTGGCACTGGACCGGCCCGCCAGAGGGATTTAACTCGATTTGGAAACGTGTGGTTGGAATTGATCAATGGCTTTGTCATCTGGAACCCGTTTCGACTACACAATTGTACTAAGACATTGCTGGGGATCGTGGTCGAAACGGGTCCAAGTTACTTCGTAGAGCTTGGAGGAATGAGACTCTTGATTGTGAGGAGGTTTGGGTCAATTGACCATGCCGATGATGATGAAAAGTATAAAATGAATTTATTTCCAGCTCTGTGTGTGCAACCCTTTATATATTAGGTCTTGTGTCACGATAACATGCCAATTTCCAGCCTGGCATTTCAGGTTTCCATCGAGCTACACATCGAATAATTATAAGGGAGCGTCCCCTTCGGGTCTACGATCATGTTCAGCTGTTCGATCCATTCACAGTTTCACGTCTCAAGAGCTAATGTCAAGTAAAACGACCTATTGGGTATCACCAACGGCTACCTAAAAAGGGGATCCTATCTATTTTACACTCCTAGAAACAAAAACAGAACTGAGAAGAAAACGAGTCAAATCATCATTGCCTCTGCCGAAGCTCAAAGCACCGTTGAGCAATCCCAAAAGATATCGAACTTGATGGAGCCAATTATCCATGATGTCGCCAGTCTGTGTTGTTTCCACCTAATATCCGAATCCCATCCCCTTTTCTTTCTACTCGGTTCATATGGCGCCGAGGAAGCCCGTGGTTGATGCCAGACCAAGACGCAGGCATGCCTTGAGTACGATGAATCGAGCTTTCGGTAAGGCCTGTCCTCCCAGTTAGCCTCATGTCAATGCAGGAAGAGTCGGCTTTCCAAGTTGATAAATACCTTTGCTTTCAATCTAGTTACATCGCATTCCAGCCTGAAAAGGCGCGTTGGTAATACTCAGGAATCTCCGGAACAGGGGGCGCCTCGCCATCCGCAGGCAAAGGGGGCGATCCCGGGGCCGAAGCCGGAGCCGAAGAGGAAATAGCCGTCAAGTCATCTCCACGAGGACGACGTCGACCAATCTTCAAAGTGGGGAAATTCATGAATCGGGATCGCGGCTTAGTCGGGTTCTCGGCGTCCGAGGTCGATCGGAGTCCATGAGGCGTCTGGGATCGTTTAGGGACGTTCTCGATCCGTCCTCGGGCCTCGCCATCCTTCTCCTTACGACGCTCGCTGGAAGAAAGTCTAAGCTTAGTGAAGCGACCGGAAATCTTGTGGGCCTTCTCCTTGATCTGGTTCAGTTTCTCCCTGAAGGTGGACTTGGGGGGCGTGTCATCATCATCGGAGAAGTCAAAGTAAGACTTGACGCCGGGATGGTCTTGGGGGAGAATCTCGGGTTGTCCATCCTTACCGGCTACCATGACGTAGCTGACGGCGGGGTCGAGGGCGGCGGGGTTTAGCGGCTGGGGCTGGGGTTTGGGCTTTGGCTGGGCTTCATTGGGGAGCGGGATTCTCTGCGACCCGTTGGCCTTGTTACCAGCGCCCAAATGATCCGCGAAGGAAAGTATCTCGTCGGCATCTTGGCTTCCCTGGCCTTCTGGCTGCTTATTCTTAGCCCGGAGTCGGTGATTGGCGGGTCGGGACAGCACATTCGTCTTTCTAAGCGATGTTCCCTCACTAAAGGCGTCTTCGTCATCCACGAGTTTACTCGAAAAGGCCTTGCGTTCCTAATCAGGCCTCGAGCCCGTGAAGGGGTTAGAGGGTACGTCAGCTGCCTTTGAGGTCATGTTGCTGTCACCCGAGTTGACCTGCATGATTCCACAAGCCGTGGCCGCCCTGTTACGTTCAATGGCGGTGATACCCTCATCGGGGTTCTTGGCCAACTTGGAAGACGATCCGAACGACGGAAGGCGGTCCTTGGCTTGCCCAGAGGGTAAGGGGAAATCTCGCTTTATAACCTCGAGCATATCAACGGGAGGGTTTTTCGCCGCGGCCGCTCTCATGCATTCCAGAGGTCTATCCCCATGAGGAGTGTTCGCCAACTTGGAAGACGATCCGAACGACGGAATGGTGTCCGTGGATTTCACGGGGAAGTCTCTTTTTATGACCTCGAGCATATCAACGGTAGTGTTCTTCACAGTGGGCTCCCTGTTGCATTCCGTATCGCTATCCTCTTTGGGAGTCTTCGCTGGCTTGGATGACGATCCGGCGGTATTCTTCGCCATGGCCGTTCTGTTCCATCCCATAGCGATATTACCCTCATCAGGAGACGGTCCGGAGGACGGAAGGGGGTCCGTGGATCTCGTGGGGAAATCTCTCTTTATGACTTCGAGCAAATCAACAGTAGTGTTCTTCGCCATGGCCGCTCTGTGGCGTTCCATAGCGCTCTCCTCTTCAGGAGTCTTCTTTGGGAGGGTATTCATCAACGCGACTACTCTGTTCCAATCCATAGCGATATTGCCATCATCGGGAGGCGGTCCGGATGACGGACGGGGCTCCATGGTTTTCATGGAGAAATCTCGCTTTATGACCTCGTGCATATCAACGGAATTGTTCTTCACGGTGGCCGCTATGTTGTGTTCCGTATCACTATCCTCTTCGGGCGTCTTCGCTGACTTGGAAGACGATCCGCGCGATGGAAGGGGGTCCATGGCTTGCCTGGAGAAGTTTCGCTTTGTGACCTCGAGGATATCACCGGAAGTGTTCTCCACGGTGGCCGATCGTCCAGGGGAAGAATTAGCAGTCAGGTCCTCCCGCTTCTTTGGCTCAGATTCTTCACCCTCGATCTTCGGGGAGAGAAGAGGACGGCACTCCTCATCGTTGACCTTCGGGTCCTTCACCGGTTTGTGCTTCGGCATGGTTCCGCTCTGATAATCGCGTTTGTTAGCAGATGCGATTTGGGTGCGTGCTCTCTTAATTCTAAGGGCGTCCTCAGCCGTGAGATGGCGTACAGTAGGACGTGCTTCGGGAGTCGACGTCGTTAGGTAGACAGGCGTAACTGAGCGCAGGACGGAGGGAAGGTCTTTGTTTACCTGGGAATTGCCACCACGCAGGCCTCGAAGAGGGTTCTTGGGGGGAATTGGGGGTGGTGAGGCCATGGCAACAGTTGGGGGTGGTGGTGTCACCGTGATGATTGGGATGGTTGGGAACTGGTTTGGTGGAGACTTCGCTTTCCGAATCTCGAGCGCGGGAGTGACAACAGAGTCGGTTTGTGGGTTTGCTCCGCTCGAACGAGGAGGAGGGATTTGGGAATCCGTATCCGCCTGGTACTGGATTGGAACGTTCTGCGTGAGCGATACGTGGGAATCCACCGACTTGGTTGCTCTCTGTGGTGCCGAGGAGGAACTGCCTTCCTGCTTTGGCTGGATGGGGCGTCCTCGCTGAGGCACTGGGGGAAGTTCTTTAGTGGGCGGCGGGTAAGGGGACTGCCGGGGGAAGTATTTCAGACCAGCAGGGGTCAGGACAAGCACTCCACTCGATTGAGGAAGAGGGGATGGGGATTCAGTCTCCGCCTTGTGTTGGATTGGAGTCTTCTCCGTGGGTGAAGTGTGACAATGGACCAACTTCGTTGATGTTTGCGGCGTTGAGGGGGAACCGTTTTCCTCCTTGGGCTGGTTGAGTTGTCTCAGGCGAGGAGCTTCAAAAAGTTTGTTCGTGGGCGGTGGAGAAAGGGATTGCCCAGAAAGGTATTTCAATAGGGCAGGGGATAGGATAGGAGAGTCAGGACGTGGCTTGTCTGGTGTCCCTGGCCGACTTGGTTCATCAGAAGGTTCAGGGGAGAAAGAACCTATGAGGGACTCCGTTGAGTCAAAAGCGCCCAGTTGTTTCCTTATATCCTGCTCCAGGGATACCATGGTGTCATTGCCCAATTCCTCTTCTTCTCCACACTCCATATCAGCAGAGGGTTTGTGGAACTCGCAGACATGCATGCAAGATACGGTTGTGGAGGACGTGGTGGCTGTAGTAAGTGAACAGCAGTCTCCTCCTTTTGCGATCTTGTTGCTGAAAGTCTTTTCAATGACATTCGTTGGTGTAGATTCACCGTCTTGCTCCTTGTTGGCATGGAGGGGTGACAATGCAGATTCACTCTTCTTGAGATAAAGCCTGTTGTGAGAAAGGGGATGGGAATTGATGGGGATGTGAGAAGAATAGTTTGCAGGGCTATAAATGACCTCGCTTAGACCTGAGTTCTGCTTCGAGGGGCCAGCCATGTGCAGGTTTTTTTCAACCTCACTGCTAGCATAAACAAGGGAAGGAATAATGGCTTGTTGCTCGGGTACGGATAGTCGACCAGCCTGGTACCTGTTCCTTAGGTACGCGCTTGGGACTCGAGGCCTCCAAGGCGACGAGCTACTTCCACTAATGGAAAACACGCCGGCGAACGGGTTGTCGTCACCTAAGTCAATCTCTGGAAGCACGGGAGTCTCGTCTACCGTCGCGTTCCGAGCAGATCCTTCGTTGAGATTGTGTGGACGTGGCTTCGCCAGGACCTTCGCCCCCTTCAGCGACGTTAATTGAGTAAATCTCTTCCAAGTGAAGTTGGTGAGTGACAAGGACTTCTAGCCCTTGTCTATACCCTGCTCGACACTGGGTAATGGCTCGTTCGGTTCGTTCTTCGAGGGACCAGATTTGGGAATAATGTAGTGCGATGGAGATCCGTGGGGGGCGGGCTTGAACTGGTTACGATCAACCGATGGTGGGATTCGAGGGATAATGAGGAGGTTTTCCTCCTCGCTTGTCCATGCCCAGCGCTTCTCCGGCGCGGGAAGAGGGTTGGAGCCGCCTTCTTGGTCGACTCTGGCCTGTTCGATAAGGTACATTCGTGTATACTCCATTGGGCCGATTTTTGGGGCTGCGAAAGTAAACAAAGGGGTGTCGCGATCCTCCATTGTGACTGGAGAGGGTTCGAACGTCGCTGGTTTAGGGAGATCGCCGATGTCAGAGACCGATAAACGTCTGGCTTCCAGATCATTGGGAGAAACTGCACTAACTGCGGCGGCCAGAGTCTCGATGGAACTTGTGTCTGACGGCGCTGTCGGGCTGCTGGCACCAGCTTTGCTAAGATGGCTTGTGGGGGGATCTAGTTGCTCAGAGAGGCGTTCACCCTCTGGGTCCTCGGCTATGGGTACCAAGGTGGTCTCGAGTCGCTTAGCTGCATCGTACCGTCGAGGCCGTCGGTGCGTGGCTTCAAACCAAGAAGCCAGTTGGGGGCCTTCGTCCTGGCTACCAACCTCCGACTCATCGGTTGCAATGGAGGGTCCTTTGACTGTCTTTGCGCTTTGGTGGGATTTATCGGTGTCGTCGGAGTCTTTGAGTTGGATCTCGCCACGAGAAGGAACCTCGGTAGAGATGATGAGGCTCATTTGTGCGAGGGTTCGATCATCTAGACCCAAATCGTCGGCTAGTGGGTGTCGATGAAAGACCATGGTTGTTGACAGCGTCTCCTTATTGAAATCCATCACGACTTAAAACAAGGAGATCGTTTATGATTTGGAGGAATAAACAGTGGACAATTGATAAATATGAACTCGGGAGAGTAAAGAGTTGGTCCTGTAGTAGGGATGTTGATGATTGAAGGAGAGAGGAATGTCTTGAAGAGATGAAAGATGTAGCGCGACGAAGTTGGTGATGTTTATGAAAGAGAGGTGGGAAGAGGAAAAGGTTTGGTGCGTCACAATTTATAATGAGGGGAAACTCATGATTCCTAGCAGACGCCAGAGGTAGTGCCAGCTGAAGGTGATACTGGAGCAACGCAGATATCAATAAGAGATGTGAAGCAGAGGTCTAGAGGAACGATCTGGAGCAACGGCCTGGGGCAGCGGTCCGGATGAAGGGACTGCAAGAGATTTGATGGTCGTTGCCGGTAATGACGCTTCTCATACTCCAGACTCCCTTCGGCTGGCTTTAATACGAATGGTCCGGACGATTCTGAGTGATTCAATGAGAAAGAAGACTCGCTCTTGAATCACGTAGCTAGATATCCAATTCGACCTACCCCGGAGCACTGTCGTGTTTTCCCTCTTCAGAGTTCACAAAAGAGCTTCCTTCCCAATATTAATATCCTCAACATCGATAAGTGCTTCATATTGTATTATTGGACACCGTGTGGTCTTTCTTTTGTCAGTCTAGAATAGGCTATCTTCTAGGAAGCCATTAGACAGAAGCATGTCCCGTATTCCCCCAGCTCAAGGGAGCAAGAGGAAAGGAACATTGGAGACACACCGATGGGGAGTTATGGGCATTCTCATAGACTCATGGTTTCCGCATTAGCCCTCGACAAAGGCTCCAGCTCGATTCCCACGACCCTGATGAGCTACAGCAGTAACTTCGATGCTCCTAGCGAGCAGACGGCGCAAAGATTGAGGGGGGTCATCAAGAGCAGGTCTCCTGTAGCCGACAGACCTATTCAACTGAAGGACGAGGAACATCAGCCCGAGCATATCAGAACCACCAAGACACTGAAGGATCCGAAGTCGCAAAGTCGATTCCAAGTCACGACGTGTTTGTCAGCTCAAGCGGCTCATGGCGCCTTCCCTCGATTTCATTCTCATGTAATCACCACCTCATTCATTGTTCATATCCTTCAAATACGAGGACACGGCAAGAACTTCCAACCGAGCAGCTCAAGCAGTGGTGACACTTCGACCAGTGGCCAAGTGGTCGTTGGAGCGCTCAGAAGGTTAGAAAATTGCAATTTTCGTAGCTCGTGGGAAGCTCCCGGATTCGATCCTGGGGCAACCCGCGAGCAAGCTTTTTTTATTTTTATTTTTATTTTTTATTTTTTTTATAATCCATCCATTTGCCCGTCCGCTATTTTAAACTGATACTTTTTTTTTCCTTCCAATTATTTCCAATTTATTCCTTGTTTCGTTGACGTTTAAACTGTAGATGGGGTGATGTGTCGTTGTGAATCCCTTGAATGAAGACTTCATCAAAAGTCCTGTTCGAAGGTATTTGTACTGTACCTCGGTACCTTGGTACTTCGAGGTCGATCGGCTCCGCTGTCGAGGTTGAGCTGCAATTTGTGTCCTTGTTCCTCGTTCCCAGCAACTTGGTGGGCACCTGCAAGTGCTTAATTTCGTCAAGAATTAAGGTCGTGGAGATCCATGCAGCAATTGATCGAATTCGCGAATAGGAAGACGCGCTGTGGAACCAAGTTCAGCAGAGGTGGACAGCACAGCCCCGATGAGCACCAGTACCACAAACGAAGCAATTGATTCCCGTTACTGGGTGGATTGATTGGTTTCATCGGAGGCCGCTCTTCATGATAAACGACGTCGTCAGTTCCTCGACCTAACCAGATAATCAATCCCGACCCGAAGTCGAAGTACTCCCAGGGCAAATTTCCACGCAGCAGTACATCCGCTCAGCTCCTGACAGTCGCGAGAGTCGAGACCCTCGAGCGCGTCTCTCCTTTCTCCCTAGTCATTGACAACGAACAACGAGCGCAGCGCACTATTCCCCTGCAAGATTAGACTCTTCCCCAACTCCTTTTCCACCTTTAAATTCTCTCTTTGCCATCCCCTGACCGCCAAGTCGTCGATCTATTTTAAGGTGCTGACCCCCCTCCAAAACCCACAAGAAGCTCCCCGAATGCCACCAAGCACAAGCTCATTGTCTGGTTGCACATCATTGTCGTCAATGGTCCCGCTCATCTCCTCGCCATGGTCCTGAGGCTCGGTGGCCACATGACGCCCATCCGATTGCCTGCTCTGCCAAGTCGGCCGCTCCTCCAGCCCCGGTCGCAATGGAGCTCATCTGGCAGAATTCGAATCCGGGGGCAGCAACCGCGTCTGTTTTGGCGGACTTCGCGTGCGTTTACTACGCAGTCGAAGCGCCGGGTGCTTGACGGTATGTGTTAGAATTGTGTTCCTTTGTCGTCGCGTCTCCAAGATGCATGTCGTTGGGTTTCCCACCACCGTTTATTATCCCGGACACACCTTCTCCAGCCAGGTTTGGGAGAAGAAGGCGGCCGGCCCAGTGGCATGGAAGGGGCCTGCATCCAGACTCTTGGCTTTCTACATTGGGATCAAAGAACGCCACAGTTGGGACGAATCGATGAGCTTCATCCGACCAAGTCACAGCCATCCAAAAGTTGCCGCAGTTTGATGCGCATCGTTTAGATACCACTGTCGCAGCCTGGCACATGAAAACATGCAAGGTACCACTACTCGCTCATTTCAATTAAGTGCCAAGTGGTCGGGAATAGCTTCATATTACTGAGGTAGTCTTCACTTTATTCAACTACTATCCCTGCTCGAGACCACTTCTATACAAGGCCATCAAATTCCCTTCAACATCTAAAGCGAATACACAATCGCTCAAGTCCATATCGTACATCATTACTCCCTCCAAGTACTAACCCGACCAGACCGTCCAGACTTCGACAGACAGAGATATGGCTTCCCCCCACCAGAGGAACCAACCCTCCTCCAAAAAATGGGCGAATCCGCCGCCACAACCCTAGCATCCATCCTCGTCCTAGCAAGCGGCTTCGCGTTCGCCGCCTACGCCTACCACAAATCCTACAAACGCGTCGTCCTCCAAAAGATGGCCAACGCCTTCCAACCGGGCGACCCCGTCCTCGAACTAGCTGCCCTCGCCAAGGACGTGCCCTCCACGGGTGCACCCGACGGCCGCTGGGTTCTCCGCGATGAGCAGGTGCACGTCGACGAGATCATCGATGGTAAAGCGTCGGGGCATTATTACCTCTTAATAGGTGACAAGGGCACAGGGAAGAGCAGTATGCTTATTGAGGCTATGCGCAAGATTGACGGGGAGGGCGTGGCTATGTTCGAGGCCCATTCCGATCTCGAAATCGTGCGGATACGTCTCGGCAAGGCCCTCGATTTCGAGTTCCATGAGGACTACATCGGCGGATACTTTAGCGAGCGTGGACCGAGGGATTCGACGGCCCTTCTCGATATCGAGAGGGCCCTTAACAAGCTCGAGAAGGTCGCTCTCGTCAGTAGGCGGAAGCGGGGCAAGCCCCTCGTGCTCATCATTAACCAGATGCACCTTTTACGCGACGACGAAGACGGAAAGGACCTCATCGAGCTGCTACAGCAACGCGCCGAGCAGTGGGCCGCGGCTAATCTCGTCACCATGGTCTTCAACAGCGATGACTACTGGGTGTACGAGCGGCTGAAGCAGCTTGCTACGAGGATGGAGGTTATCCCTGTGATGGATCTTCCGAAGCAGCAGGCGCTGTCTGCCCTGCAAAAGTACCGACATAGGTATTTTAAAGAAGATGTGGAGCATAGTCTCCTCGAGGAGATTTATGACATGGTCGGCGGTCGGTTGAGCTTTCTTAACCGTGTGGCCAAGAGTAAGGATATGCTAGGGACGTGCGAGACGATCATTGATGTTGAGAGGAAGTGGTTCTTGAACCAGTGCTGGATCCTAGGTGCTGAGATGGATGACGACGTTATGGATCAGCAAAAGTGGGCGGTAAGATTTTTTCTCCTTTTTTTTTCTTTATCGTTGAGCTTCCTAATATCATTTCTCTCACCTCGATCACGACTAAATCTCCCAAACCAGGCCGCGGCAATGGTCCTAGCCCTCGCCCTCGTCGACAAAGAAGAAGAAATGGACAAAACCTACGACCCCGAAACCGGCCACATCCTCCCGACCTACCCCTTCCACAAAGCCCAAGAGATCATGACGCGCTGCGACTTCATCCGCCGGCTCGACAGCCTCAACCTCTTCTCCATCACGGCCTGGGCCGACGTGCGCGCCAGCTCCGTGCCCATGCACCGCGCCTTCAAGGAGATTTGTTCCGAGCCCGGGTTCAGGGAGCATCTCGAGGCCACGATACAGCGGATTGCCGATATCGAGAGTCTTGGGAGGACGAGGGAGTTGGTGGCGAAGGATCTTGTCCTGGGTGGGGAGTATCATATTGGGAAGGGGGATTGGAAGACGGGTGGGGTGGTGGTGAAGTTGAAGCAGGCCGAGGAGAAAGATGACGACAAGAAGGATTGAGCTTGGTGAGGGCGGACGGGGGGGAAGAGCGAGGTCGGGTTTTCTCTCGCTTTGTGCTTTTTTTTTCCGAGTCCGGGGATATCCGCGTATCTTCTGGACCTGGTGTGTATACTATCTCGGACGTTCCGGTTGTGTCCATCTTCGGGGACTTCTCTCTTTTCGGTTCGATGGCGGCGACGGCACGATTCCAGGCATAGACGATCATTTCAATACATGTTTCCTTCTTTGTCCAGCACCACCGCCTGCTCCTTTTCCCATGAAGACTCGAGTCCTTCCTACTTTGTTCCCCTTCTTCATTTGACAAGAGAGCTAATTAGGCAGGAGATGCGATTCAGTCTACCTGGTCTAAGTGGACGATCACATACTTCTTTCTCCCAGGCCCTTCCTTCATCTCCAAGATGGATATCACAAGATGTCTGCCTCCCTAGAGCACTCATCCCCATGATTCGCTTCCATTCTCAGCCATACCATCCACAGATACTGGGGTGCACTCTCCTCCCAGGATTCCTGCTAATCACTCCACGAGCCAGCCTAATCAATAACAAAAAGGTGATCCACGATCTCATTTAATCTGCCTATCAATCAAGAAGGAACCGCAAAGAGCAACGATCGCTAGAGTTCGACGCCCATGGCAACAACTCAATCACCTGCTCCCAATGCCTGGCTATATCTAGCCCTCTTCTTCTCCCCATCCTCCCAGCTCTTGAAACTTCTTCCTCTTTCAACCACATCCTCATTCAATCACTCGACCCAAGGTGACCGAGCGAGAACCATCAACCTCCAACAGTAAGTTGTCCTTTATAAACCCAGCCGATCCCTTCTCCCTCATCATCAGAAGTCGAATCCAAAACGCATCGAGCATCCAACTAACTCTCCTCCGCAAAAGAATCCAAACAAACCACATCGATAACCAACAACCTGACCGAACAAGCAATGCCTCCCAAGACCCCCACGAACAAGTCGCCTGAGAAGGCCTCGGCCTCGAGCTCCGCGGTCCCCGAGTTGACGGCTTCGGAGACCAAGCTAATGGCCCTCGCATTCGTGTGTCTCAGGGAAAACCCTAGCGTAAGTATTTTTCTTCATTCTGATTTTTTTTCCCCCTTTCATCCTGGTTGTTTTCTCAACTCCCATCCATGCCTCTCTTCCCCCATTCCCAGTGTGGACATGGCATATTAGCACTGTACCCCACCACCACCACCACCACCACCAGAGGGAAGGAACGAATTTGGCTAACCACCAACCCCTTCAAGCAGATCGATTTGGCCAAATTTGCTCAGTTGGGCAATTACAAGAATGTCTCGACCGCAAGCACCGTCTGGTCGCGCATCAAGCGCCGCGCAATGGAGGTCGGAAAGCAGACCTTCCCCGACGCCGCGGCCTCGGACAACGCCGTCGCTACGCCTTCGACGCCCGCTGGCAAGGTTGAGCCTAAGGCTACTCCCGGCACGGCCGAGACTCCCACGAAGCGTAAGCGTGGAAGTGCCAAGGGTAAGGGAAAGACCAAGGCCGGTGATGGTGAGGAGGCCGATACCGATGGCACTCCTGTGAAGAAGCAGAAGCGCACTCCCAAGAAGAAGAGTGTCAAGAAGGAGAAGGAGGAGGAGGAGGCTAAGCCCGCTGTTGAGGAGGAGGCTAAGGCTTCCGTTCAGAAGGAGGAGAACATCCTGCCTTCTATCGAGAAGGGCCATGGCCAGACTGTTGTTGCCGATGACAAGAGCGGCGAGAAGTCTGTCGTCGAGAAGGCCTAATTCCTTTTTTTCTTCTTCCAGCAAGGATGCCGATGTTAAGCAGGAAGGGTTTCTTTTTTTCTTTTTGTTCTCGACAAATGGCGAAAAACGCCCCGGACTCCCTCGCGGTTTCGAGTCAACATGTTTATCATTCGGAGATGTTCCTTCCCTGCTCCCCTTGTCCGGGTTGAGCCACCCTTGTTTTTTTTCCCCCTTCGCGCTATAGTTTCAGACGATCGATGAGTGTGAACAAGGAAAGCATGTTTGAAAGCGCAGTCGGAAAAAAAAAAAAAATGGAAAACATAAAAAAAGGGGGTATATGAATGGTTCTGTCGCGTGTACCTAGATAAAATCTTCTAGTTGTCTCGGTCAATCCAAGTCTTTTACATCTCCAAACAAGTTGTAGGTGCTCGTACTCCTGCTCATTAAACATTGTGCATGCCTCCGTTCTAAGAACCGGTACTATCCGAGTGAATGTAAAATAAAAGAAAGAAAAAGAAAAGAATGGCCGCCCAAGGGGATATCATAAGTGCTCCAAACTCCAAAAATCCAATCTTCAAGTCAAGTTCGAACCTCCCAGTCAAAACTTCGCAGAAGAAAACCCCCCACTTCGGAAGTCATCACGACCTCGACGCCCCCTCCGCCCCCTCGGAGCCATCCCTCCCTCTACTCCCACTCAACTCCAACCGCTCCCCAATCCCCATCCCCGCCGCCTCCCCCCCTTCCCTCGCATCCTCGCTCCACCGCTTATACACCTCCGCGGGCAACTCCACCGGCTCGACCCTCACATCCTCGGGCGCCCACCCACTAATGACTCCCTCGGGCAACTTATCCAAATCCGCCATGCCCTCCTCGCCGGCTGCCGACCCCGTCTCGACCATCGTCGAAGGCGACATCGAGAACAGCCCACCGCCAGTGGTACTAGCGGCAGCGGTAGTCCCCGCCCTGACGGCATGCCACTCCCCCAACCCACCCCTCGGCGCATCGTCGTCGTCGTCGTCACTCCGCCACGCGACGCCGTTGCCGCCGCCGAAACGCTTCTTCGCGCGGTGTTTGGAGTGGCGCCAGGCCCAGAAGGCGAGGACGGCGACGAGGAAGGCGACGGAGAGGCCAGTGGCTAGGCCGGCTATGTCGTCGGTCGTGAGGCCCTTGTGGGATGGGGTCGGGGGTGTCGGGTTGGAGGAGGGGGCGGGGGCGGCATGGATGATTGTGAAGATGGAGGAGTCGATGTAGGTGGAGGGGGAGGTGGAGTTGGCGAGGCGGAGGGCGTAGGAGCCTGGGGAGAGGCGTTCGGGGATGGTCCAGTTGTGGGATTGGTCGGTGTATGGGATGTCGTCTGAGATGGGATGGGTCAGTAGGGACGAACATATGAGATCTGCGAGAGCGCATTGGGGGGGGACAAAAGAAAAAAGAAACGAGGTAAGAAAAGCAAGCAACTCACAGTCAACAGACACGAAATTCGTCAAGGGAACATGTCCCGCCTCTGCAATCTCCATCATAACATGGCCATCCCAATCACGATTGTCCCCCCTCGTCTCCCACCTCACCTCGACAGTCGAACCCGTAACCAAAGTGACCCCCTCCGCCGGATGCGTCACGACAGCAAACGAGGAGGACGCGCCGCCGTCACCGTCGCCCTGGTCGCCCTGGTCGCCATTGGTAGTATCGTTTTCGGCGCGGCGGAAGGATGCGACGCCGGCGTTCACCAGGGACGTTCGGAGTAGGAGCAAGAGAGGAAGAGGTAAACTGTGGAACTTCTTCATCGCCGACGTATTACAGTTATTATGTGGAAGGAGGGAGTGTGGATCGAAGCAAAAATCAGGGAAATAAAAAAGGGCCGTTTGGGCTTCTGCGATGCAGTGGGGTGGATTGATCTGCTCTCAATATCGGGCAGCAATATAATCCAATCGGACGGGTTGTTTTCCAGGTTTCTCTGGGGAGGGACCTTTTGATCTTCCTTTTTGTTTCTGGAAAAACCTGGTAAATTGAAGTTGGATCAATCTGGCTTTTTGTCTTGGATTAAAAATGGAAAGTAATCCCGCGTTTCGTTGCGTTGGGGGGAGGGTGTGTGTCGTCGGGAGAGCGATGATTTTGTTCGATTGGAGATTATTTGAGGCGATGGATCCGATCTTGATCTTTCCCCCAAACTCCCGAAATATAAAAGGAACTTTAAACGAAGAAACGCTTCGCTTAAAGCTGGTTCTCATTGACGCAAGGACCCCCCATTAGTTCAGTTGAGACTGCGTCAGGAGAACAAGGCAAAGAAGAGAAGGGAGAGAGCGCCACAGACAGAACAGAGAGATACAGAGAGAGACAACGAGACAGAGAGACAGAGAGAACGAGACGGAAGAGACCAATAACACCACCCGCATCGTGCAATGCAATCAATCAATTCGTGGTAGTAAAGAGTAAAGAACAGACGCTTTCCCCCATTCCGCCATCCCTCGTCCTGCGCCTAACACGACCCAGAACATCGTCACACCCCCCCAAAAAGCATCCCATGAACCCATGAACCCATGAGCTCCCCAATGAGCCCATGGCTGGTATCTCCAATATTCGATTCGCATCCCAGCAGAGCCTAGTTCGATCTCTTTTCCCAGTGCATCACACCCCCACCGAATCCGTACTCCGTGCTTCTGGCTCGAGATGCCAACTCTGGGCATTTTCTTGGCCCCAATCCCACCTCGCCCCCGGGTTGCGCGTGCGTCCACGACGACCTCTCATTCGATACCGCGCTAGTGGCGGCGCCCACTTCGAGAGCTTTCAATCTTCATTTGTGCTAACCCAAAGCCGCTGACCTTTTTCCTTGGGCAGCGGACTAGTGGACTAGTGTAGGGAGGAGTGGGGGAAGGGCCTGGACGGTCGCCAGCTGCACGTTTTCGTTTCCATCTTCACCGTAGGGTGGGATCGAAAGCCCGAGGAAATAGACTTGTCACGAAGTATTCGGGAAGTCTTGAGATGTGATCGTTCTTCGCTTTCCCCCTCCTTCCCCTTCCCGTTGTCTCTCCCGCCCCCGGGTTCAGGAAATTAGGGGGCGGGCGCGGGAGGTGGAGGGGGACGGACGACGTGCGTCGAGTGTGAGTGCGCAATCAAAATCGATGCATTGATGGATCGTTGATGATGCTGGTCGCTGCGACCTCGCTTGAAGCTGCTTCCTACTTCGTACTTGTCCTCTTCCTTGCACACTGCGGAGCGCATATACGCTAGATAACTCCGGCCTGCACAGATAAAACCAGCCCTGCCATGCTGGCTCCTCACGATAGAGACAAGACGCGATGGAAATACTCGAAGAATTGATAAAGGAACCCAAACCCTTCAATCACCGGAAATCCACTGCAAATATTCGGCAAGTGGGACGGTCGTACACGAAGGATCAAGTGGGTTCGGCATTCTCGCCATCACAGCCCTTCCATCACAGCCCTTCAAAGCTCGGGGGGGGGGACAACAAGATCAATTGCAAATTCCCACCTCCTCATTAAACATCTTTCCGGAACATGCATGGATGCACAGATCCATGCCGCCAAGCACGTCTTGCATGGCCCTCGGTGAGCACGAAGTGTACTCGGAAGCGGAAAATCCATCCCGACTAATTACCTGACTTGCCATTTGAATGCTGTATGCATCTCGATCCTTCGAATGGAACAGAACCAAGTCTGGGTCTTGTCGTAGAATTTCAACCACTCCCCCATGTCCTGGCCCTGCCCAGCCCGGCACTCGAACTCGACGGAAGAATAGCTCACATCCGAAAGGCACAAAAGTCACACGATTAATAACTGCCATTTGAACATTTCGAGCTTTTATTCGTATAGCTCATCTACAAGAGTACTCTCGTACAGCGTACAGCGCCCGAATGTCACCGTCATCCATGACGATACCGTAAGATACCCTCAGTCTGTCAGGCTTGGCCCACCAACGCCCAATGCGCCCATCCTCGTAGCTCCGGTTTTTTTTTTTTTTTTTTTCTTCTTTTTGCTTTCCGTCACCCCGTTTACTTCTTGAAAGTAGCACTCCTTCCACCGTGAATAGGAGGGGCCTTCCTCGCACCCTTAACGCCCTCCTCTCCCGTCTTCGCATACGGATCGAACAAAGCCTTGCCCTTAGCAGGACCCGCGCTTGCGCCCGCACCCGCACCTTGCTGGGGACCTGCGCGCTTGCCGTGCAGCACAGACTGGGCCTTGGAGTAATCAAAGGGCTGCACCTCCTCCTCCGCCCCTGCGCCATTCTTCGCTTTTTGGGCCTCGCGCTGCCTCTTCAACTTGGCCTTCTTCTTCTCCCGACGTGAAGTCCCCTTCTTAGATTTCTTGCTGTCTCGGGATTTCTCCTTGTCCCCAGATTTCTCCTTGTCCACCGACTCCAATTCGATTGTCTCCTCCGTGCTCTCGGCTTGGCCCTCTGAGGAGGATACTTCCTTGGATGAAGATGGAGAATGCGTCTCAGCCTCGGTCTCGCCCTCGGTCACGGGCACGCCCCCGTCCTCCCCCTCATCCATCTCTTCATCCTCATCGTCCTCCTCCTCCTCTTCATCAGCACTATTCTCAGCCTGACTAGTGGTGGCCTGCTCGCTGTCTGCCTGTCTCTTCCGCTTCAATCCCGCCTTGAGCGTAAACTCGCCATCCTCAACGGCCGCCTCCGCCTCTTCTGCCTTCGCAACAGGTTCGACAGCAACCTCGGCACCATCCTTCGTTGCGCCGTTCGCATCTTCTCGCATTGCTGCGCGTATCTCCTCGGCGCTATAGAGCCTCTGCCACGGCAACTGGATGTACTCGTCCTGATCCCTCGTCGACCCGGCACCTTCCTCCCAGACACTGCTCACCTCCATGTCGCCGAACAGCTGTGACCTCGCCATGCGACGGACCTCCAAATCTCCAACGTCGAGCGAGTAGTCGGTGTCAAGCGCCACGCCAGATGCTTTGCCTCCGCGCGTCGCGCTTCCATCCTTCAGCTGAGCACCGCCTATCAGGAACTGCTGCAGAGTCGGCCCGTCTGTGCCCCTGGCTTGCGCCTCCTGCACCACCTTCCAAAGGTCGTTGACTTCGACCTTCGCCTGCCAAGCATATCGGGGTAGAAGGCTGTGCAGCGCCTTGAGATCGGGCGGGAGAATCTTAGCAATATCCCATACGCCCTGCGTAGGGAGCACGTAGCCGACGCTTTCGTCGTTGCGGCGAGCCGACTCGTCTCTCCATTTCCATACCGCGCGGAACACGGAGAACTGTTGGCTGTTGAGAGGCGTGGGCTGCCTGATAACCATATTATACCAGCCCTTGGTACCGCCGCCCGTCTCCTCGATGAAGACGGGGTTCTCGTAGCGGCTCAACGCCTGTTCGCGGGACTTTTGGAGAACCGCCCCGAGTAGGTCCGCCTCTGGATCGTTTTTGTCCGACTTTTCGATCAGCTCGTTGCGCATCATGTCGTAGATGTAGAGGAGGAAGTGGGTATCAGAACGAGCGTAGAATAACATCTCCTCCGACAGGGGGCTAGAACAAGAGGCCACCGAGTTAGTTGCGGCTCATCCCGAAATGAAGAAAGGTTACGAGACATTGCAAGTTCGTAGATGTAGGCCTACCGTATGCGCCAATCCGCGAGCTGATATTTCTTATCGGCGTCAAAGTCGATAAACTTCTTGAGCAAAAACGCCAAGCTATGCGACTGGTAGCTGAGTGCCTTGGACGCAAAATGCGTGTCAAAGTACCCCACCAGATACAAGCCAAGATCTCGCTGCAGCCAGATGACGTCCATAAATGCTCCATGCAGGACCTGCACACGCGCAACGTTAGTTTCACATCTGAAAAAAAGGCGTGAGGAAGAAAAATCTCCAAAATACCTTGACAATCTTGGGATCGGCAAACACCTCATTGAGAACCTCAAGCCTGTGTCGCCATGGCCTCAGCGTATCTATAACCCAGTCGCGGTCCCTTGTGCTAATCTGCATGAGACTAGTAAGGCCCTGATACGTCCTGTAGTCGTGATGCTCCAAGTCAATGGCAATCTCCGAGGCCTTCTTTAGTTCTTCCAACATCTCAAGTACCCCCTCGTACGTATCCACCCACGTAGCCTCGCTCTCCTCCATAGGCCGGTACTTGATCGGGTCGGCCTTCTCAAAGACGCGCTCTGGGTAGTCCATTTCGCAAATTTCAGTCTCATAAGGATGCTTGTATCTAGACCTCCCGTCCTTTGTTAGCATTGAACTAGACTGCCACAGTTTCCTGCGCCGTCTGTAGGCACATCTCTTTCCAATTCCCGGGGGGATAAGGAGAGGTAGAAAATGTAAATAATCATACTCTGAGGACCCGTTGTTAGACTCTCCACCAGTATCAATACGAAGGCTCTGTTCTAGGGGCTGAATAGCGTGGGGTTTCTTTGTGAGAAGTGGCTTCCAGGGGCCGGTGGGGAAGTTATTGGGGGCGCGCTCGAAGAGGAGCTGGGGCTTCGAGATGTTCGCCTTTCGCTGATTAGGTTGCAGAGTGAGTGACTTTGGCTTCTTGGCAGGAGGCGCCTACGAAAGAAAAGAGGTTAAACACATATCACGAAGGCCAAAATACATCCGATGGGGAGAGACCCCAAGATGGGACCAACGAACCTTGTCGGCATCACCAGTCGGAGCTTCCTTCCGCTTCACCAGTCCCGTATACTCGTCAAGGGCAAGGTCGGCTTGTTCGAAAGTGGCATCGACGACGTCCACGATACGGCGCCAGTTCATATCAATATCCTCAATTTCTTCGAGCTTCGGCGGCGCCGCACGGCCCGGTCGAGGAGCGGCTTTAAGCAGCTGGGTCGCGAGACCCAGGATCCGGCTGGTGCTTTCATCGAGACGACGGTCGATGTCCGAGTTCACCGTTCGCTGGAAGGGAAGATCTTGGGCTGCTAGTTTATTGGTGGCTTTTATTGTCGAGACCAGCGCCGACTGGAGGTTGTCCTTGACCGCTTTGAAATCCTCCATCTTTGCGGTTATGCTGGGCGTTGGGTGGGAATGAGTGCGGTGGGATGAAGTCGCCGAAAACCTGGACTGAAATAAATTTCGGAATGGAGAAGAGGATTTAAGATCCAATGGTGTGGATGTAAAAAGGGTGGGGTGCAAAATAAAGTTAGTACAGGTACAGCTGAAATGTCATATTGGGCTGTAAATGTAAGAAGAGTATGTGTTCCTGGTACCTATAGAACTTAATCCATTGGTTGTTGAGAGAGTGTGAAATTCTTATCGATAAGGACCTGCAATTGGCAGGAGGACTGAGAGAAAGTGATGGATCACTCCTGCCGATTTGCCTCCCGTCTTACAAGAGCCTTCACCTTAACATATTCTCATCATCACCATTGCAAGTTGCAGCGAGCGTACTTTATCAATTTTATAACCTCTGAAAGAACTCGAGTTTTTTGTTCTCTATTAAAAGGAAATTCCATTCAGATCATTCAGTACCTTCTTCAAACCCCAGCCAACTTCCATAATGTCAGCCTCTCTAGCATCTGAGTGTAATGAAGTGAAAGAGTAGGTCGACTCCAGTCTTCCTATCTCCCTCCTCTACTAATACTTCTCAAGGCGCTACGATACTTGTTTCTTAAAGTGGTATAGCGATAGTGAGTACAAACAGTCCTCGATCTCCCGCCTCTCATTGCCAGAGTCATTCGAGTGCGTCAAACTAACCGAATGGGCACTTGAATAGAATACTTGCGTGGGAATGGAACCGACAACAACGAGTGCGCCGGCCTCTTTAAGGAGTACAGGAAATGCTTAGAGGTGAGATGCCTATGCCATTGACTTCAGATTCCCATTGATTCTCCGAGTATCCGTAATGCTCACCAATTTGTGCAGGTCGCCCTCAAGTCTCGAGGCATTGACAAGCTATTGGACGAGGCAAGGGAAGATAACAAAGAAAACGACACGACCTATATGGGGAGAAAATGTAAGGTCTCCCTGACCACTCTCAAAGCTGCCATCTAGAGGCTATACTTAGAAACATCTAACAATTCGCCAGAACGAACGCCTCATCCTTTTACACATCTCACCCCATCTCGTCTCTCCAAGCCAAGGGCTAAGAGTACCAAGAGTACCCCCCTTTGCTACATACGAACTTTTAGAATCGCGTCAGAACATGATTCGCATCTCTCGGGCAACCAGTCGAACTGAGCAATGGCTTGTATCACGCTCCAGATGGACGTCGATGGCCCTCGCAGTGGCTCTTCTCCCCTCTGGCGCACTTGTAACATTACTATTTAATGGGAACCCATCTACATATATATGCGATACCAGTACTTCTTCTTTTCTGGGAAATAATGTCTTTTTTAGAACAGTTTTGGCCACCCTCATCATCTCCTCCATTTCTTCCTTGCCACCATTTCGTGAAGCAGCGCTGCCTTTGACAATGTTGAAGCGCGGATTAGTCGACACCACCCATGTGCAGCTGCTGACACCTGTATCAATTTCCGCCTGCATCTGCTCCCTGAATCTGGCTTTGCTGCGCCCCTGTCCAAGTCGCTTCAAACAACCTTGCAATTAGTGACGATCCCTGAACCAGAAATAGCACGACGTACCGCAACATGCTCGCCCTCGGGTATCCACCTTCATAAAAATGAATCTCCCGCCGCAAGAGAAAACAGCGCAAAATGGACATCTTGATCGATGCTAGGGAATCCGCCGAATATCTCTGAACTTTCTCCGCCGCCCGATTTCTACTACGAAACGAAATAAACCTACCAAGGACGACACAATCATTCCCACGACGACATTTTCCCTTCCCTCGCCCCAAGTGCAGAGAGGCGATGAGACGACGCCTCGAAAGACGACATAGTCCATGCACGCCTTTTCGATCTTCGCTTGGGCAATCTTTGTGGCCGGATACATAACTGCGCGCTGGGATCTCGTTACCCGCCTTTATGAGCTTGCCATCTTCGCCTGGGAATACGGAGTAGTTGCAAGTAGCTCCCGCATTACCTGTCCTTTTTTCCTCCGACACTTTGGCGGGACATGTCTAACAGGACGTACACTCTCTAGACTCGGGCAGCTGGGGGATTCCTGATCCTCACATTCTTCTTTCTAGTTCTGTTGATTCCTATACAAATCATAACAAAAGCAGAAGCTGATCTGGTGGGTTCCAAACTACCTGGAGGTCGGTGGAGGAGCGGGGAGAAGAAGGCGACGCGTTTTCCCGATCAAGTGGTGTTAACAAGGACTTCTCTTCCAGCACGTTCGAGGTCCAAGATTCGGCCTGTCTGCCCGAGAGCAACTGCGACGACGAGGCTCCTTCTAATTACCCACGCATATCACACAAACAAGACGCTTGATTCGAACGACACACGAGTACACCTCCTGAGCAGCACTCGCTGCGATGCCGAGATATGATGGTTTGATGAGGATCTTCTGGCCGGCAGACATTGCCCGATCAGAGTTTCCCGGGGTCATAGTGGGATGGAAGAACTCCGAGCTCGACGTCTTTGTCGTGGCTGTTCTAGACGTCGCCGATGTTCGTGCTCCCCAATCCACAACTCTCTGAAGAGTGGGATTTATTTGCGCTTTGTGTTGCGGCTAAAGACTGACCTTCTGGACCGTTTGCAGCCCAATAATGTCGAATACCATTTAAAGATAGGAACCCTCCTGCGAAACTCCAACCATGCGGTCAATCGAGTCTACGAGCTCTGCGGACACTTGTCAATGCATGTCCTCGGCGTCATAAATGCGCCCGAAACGACCAGCGTCGACCCATCATGGGTACGCGCAACAACGGGACCGAGTTACCCCGTCCCCATCATCCGCTGCGCCCGAGCATCCAACGTCCAGATCGTCCTCTTCAAGAGACCGCAGCCTCTCCGCATGCAGTACATGTCGCTCAACCCCATAGCACTCGACCTTGAGGACAAATACTTCGACATGCCCACAAGCGGCATCGAGGCCGAGCACGAGCAGCAGGAGCGCGAGAAGCGTGAGGAAAAGCAACGATTAGTCGAGAAGCTCAAGCAGCACAGCATCATAAAACGGACGCTCTCGCCAAAGGAAAAGACGCTGCCCCGCGTCATTAATCAGATTAACTGGGCGTGGGAGCTGGAGCAGTTGCTCCAGAAGAACCTACATCTGGTCGGACCCCGGCCGAAGCGGCGTCTTAGCGTTTCTGAGCGGGTTGTGGAGTCGGCGAATACCGTCAAGGATGCGGCGATGTCGTGGTTTTGGAGCCTGTTCATCGTCTACGTCTTCCCCATTATCCAGCGGTGTTTCGCGCTCATCCTCCTTGGGCATCGCGTGATGACGGAAGTAGTGTTGCGTATATTGGAGTTCCGAGCGCGACCTCATCATGCCGCCCTGAAGGATCTGTCGGCCACGGCGCAGCAGGTCGAGATAAGACTGCAGCAGTTCTGCTACTGGCCCATCCAGCACATGAAGCTTCGGCAGCGAAAGAACGATTGGGCGAGCGTCACGACGAGCCATCCGGACTATATCCGCTTCTTCAATAGCTTATGGCTCGTTGCCAATGACGTTATTATTGGAATAGCCATGGGATCCTATATCATTGAGCATGCTGATTGGGTAGGCCAGCAGATTGGTATTTTGCTGAGAGTATATACCGTGGAGGCGTTGCAGACTAGTATAACATGGCTTATGGGTTGGCCCGCGGGTTTGAAGCTCAATAATGAGTTGGCTGCATTCTTGGGCGACCTTTTCCTTTGGGTTATAGACTACTGGTCAGGTAGGTGCAGATCTTGAGGCATTAAACAGTCGGACCAGATCGGACAGACACTAACTATCCCTTCCTTTCAGGCTTCATCGATTTCCTTCAACCTATGCTACCGCACATAATATGGTTCATCGGCTTCTCCAGCTTCGGCGGCGCCAGCATGCCCCTCGCCATGTTCTCCGACCTCCTCTCTGCCCTCACCATCCACATCTACTCCTTCTACCTCGCCTCCGCGCGCATCTTCAACTGGCAGCTCAGCATCCTCATCTCCCTCTTCCACCTCTTCCGCGGAAAAAAGCACAACGTGCTTCGGAACCGTATCGACTCGTGCGACTACGACCTCGACCAGTTGCTCGTCGGGACCATCGTTTTTACGCTCCTCGTCTTCCTGCTGCCGACGGTGCTTGTGTTTTATCTTAATTTTGCTATTGCGAGGATGATTATTATCTCGCTGAAGGCGGCCTTTGATACGCTTCTTTCTTGCTTGAATCATTTTCCTCTTTTTGCTATCATGTTGCGTATCAAGGATCCAAGTCGACTCCCAGGTGAGCAAGCAGTCTGAGGGCCCTGGAGGCGGTTTTCATCTCCCTCGGGTTACTTTTGGACATGAAACTGACACTCGTTACAGGCGGTGTCCGATTTGAACTTGGCAAGAGCCATCCTGTCGTATGGTCACCGACAACCCTCTCATTGAATCGGCCGCCTACCTCCGTCATCCATCTCAAGGTAGGCAAATATTCCCCTCAGGTTACCTAGCTAGCATCTGGCTAACCCCCTCTCCGCAGCCGATTCCTTTAACTTTTGGCGCCATGTTCCACCAGTACCTGCAAATGGCCCAACGCATCCGCAAACACTACCTCTCCCCCACCGTGCTCCTCTGCCTCGTGACGGGCAAGTTCGTGCCCCCCATCGACAGGAAGAACCTCTACAGCCTCCAGTACAGCATGCTTCCCGCGAAGCGCCCCGGTATTTGGGAGATGTGGACGGCGCTGAGCTCGTCGACGGCACCGGCGAGGAAGCCGAGTTGGGCGGTGAATGGGGTGAGGAGGCATCCTTTTGGGGGGTTGCCCGGGAGGGCGAGGAGTGGTGGGGTGCATGTGAAGTAGAACAGGGGAAGGTGGAAGTGGATAGTAATGTTTAATGAGATTTTATTAGATTTTCTTTGTTGAATTAGACGGCGTGTTTTAAGGCGAGACATAGATGTCAATATGGTGGTAATGTTGTGCTTCAAGAGACCGTCTCTCAGAATAAGACTAAATGATTCAAGCCATAAATGTAGATATCACCATACGCCCTATTCTCGGAGAACCTGAGCTGATATGTACTGTTCCGATGAGGAGCAATTTTGCTACAAAATAAATATCCTGGGCTTTTAATACGTTTTTCTATTTTCGAGCCAAGTTCGGGGTTCTGGTGAAGATGTTGGTGCAGCGAAGATGAGTGGACAGCTTTTTGGCACCCCGCCCCCTCATTCCCGGCAAGCCTGTTTAGCCCAGGCAACATCAAACTCTTGTCGAGACCTGAACTTCTTCCAGAGAGATATTCGAGCGGCCGCAGCTTTACATATACCCTCACACAGGGACCTGGACGGTCTCGACGACATAAGAGAATGAGCAATAATATTCCAAAGTTCTACCAGCACTTCCAGGCTGAAGTAGCGAGTATGGTCCCACCACCTCAGCACAACGAGACCCCAAAAGGATCTCTCACCATCACTATGTGAAACGAGTTTACGATGACATTTTAAATTTTAACAAAATTCTCTTTGTATTAGACCTAGATACCGAAATAGTCCAGCTTTCCTCCGCCTCGTCACGACAAGACGCAATAGATAGCATCCGCGTGGGAATCACACGCCTGTCGAACGAACTGGCAGATGCAGCCGAGTATTTACCTACTTACGACCAGAAGTCATACACAGAGGTATGTTTCCAATGTTTGCCTCGAGAACTCTTTTACTCTGCATGTTGCGAGGCTACGGGAAATTCTAACAGCGAGTGGACTCAAAGACGATCAAAGGCTTGACCGACAAATTAGACAGGGAGGTAGACAAGGTCGCGCCGCGACAACGCTTTCAATTCAAAGCCCGGTCCAGAAATGCAGCTCAAGCAACAAAAGAGGACCGGAGACACAATGTCGGGGTTCTAGCTAGCTACCCTGAGACCCAAGAAGGGTCAGCTCCTCCTCCCAAAGAAGACGCACCCAACGAGAAGGACTACAACCAAGAGCTCAAAACCTCCCCAAGCACAGCTCAAATCCGCAGACCGAGTTTCTCCGCCGCCAAGACAATCTCGCTATCAGGCCACCGCAACCTGCATATCGTCCTCCCAGCCTCAGCCGCGCAGGCCGCCACCTACGGCGACCTGACGGACCTCGAGGGTTGCGTCGTGGACATGTCGGTGCCAGCGAGCGGCGCGACGGCATTTTCGGGCCTCGCGTTGAAGAATGTGCGAAGATGCGTCATCATTACGGGGAGTGTTGCGGGTCCCGTTCACGTCACGGGGGTGTCGGATTCGATTCTCGTGGTGGCTTCGAGGCAGGTGAGGATCCATGAGTGTAGGAATGTAGATTTTTATCTGCATTGCTCGAGTCATCCGATCATTGAGGATTGTACTCGGGTTCGGTTTGCGCCGATACCTGAGTGTTATGTATGTTGTTCCAGTCCGCCCCGTTCCCCCTCCTTTCTTCCGAGTAGAGTAGCAGAAGCTAACAGCGGCGAAAGACGCCTGCGTGGTCGAGTACCCATGAGAATAAGTGGGATCAGGTCAACGACTTCAAGTGGCTTAAAGCTGACCATAGTCCCAACTGGAGCATCCTTGCGGAGGACAATAGGCTGGTAGGCGATTTCTGGACGGAATCGGTGGCTGGCAGGAGGGATACTAGCGTCGCGGAGGTATTAACATATGGGGGTATCTCTACATAGAAACGTGAAATAAAAGAAACGTGCGCCGGCAGAGAGGTTCGACTTAGAACAAGCCTCTTACATCTCCCCGATCAGCTCTCCTTCTCTGACGTCGACGACTCCTCAGCCGTAAATTGCGCTCCCCTCTGTTTCAGCTTCTCGAGAACCTCGCGCTGCAAGCGTATCCGCTCCTCCAACTCAGCAATATCCTCCTCCTGTTCCGCGATGGTACGGTCCATATCCGGCAAGCTTCGCACCTGCACCCTTGCTTTTTGCAGCTTATGCTTCAGATGATCCGTGGCGGTAGGGACATCCTTAAGAGAGAGACTACCGCTGGCAGGCCCCGGGCCGGGCGTGGCGCCAGTGGCCATGGGTGTGCTGCCGGGGATACCACTTGGACCGGCCGAGGACTGGATGGTGGCTCGAAGTCGGGTGAGGAGAGTCGTTAGTTCGGTCAGGGCATCGAGGGAATCTGGTGAGAGGGTCGGTGGGAGCGCTATGGGGTCCTGTTGGGACGAGCTTGGCGTAGGCATTTTTTGGGGGTGGCGGTGGTGGGTTGTTGGGCCGATTCGGGATGGGGGGGGGGATTGCTTGTGATTTTGGGCTGGAGATCTTGGATGCTGGATGGCTGAATTTTTGATTGAGACTTCGGGCCAAGTTTCCGCGTTTGGCACAAGCCTTGATCGATGTTCAATGCAACATGCTCTTAGAGCTTATCCCTGCAAAAGCATCAATTACGAGACGAAGCAAGAATCGTGGGAGGCGATTGGAGTGTTGAGAGGTGCAGCAAACAGGAGTCGGCACTGTGCCGCCTGCAAAAGATGCCGCGGCAGGAACAGTGCGAAACGTGCATGATACGTCAACGTACGAGATGCGTTGTCCAATGGAATGACATAATCTCGGTTGCTGCTGCTGCTGTGGGAACCCCGCCGTCAACAATTTTTCTGGGAAGGAACTCCAAGTGGGATGAGTTTGATTCAATCCCGCCTGCCCGCCTTGAAATCCCTAATAATACCGCAGAGCTCGGGTCATTTCGCAGTCTGCTCTTCTCTTGTTTCACTTTTCCTTTCTCAACGATTTCCCAACTTTTTAAACCCATCCGGCAGTATAATTGTCCAGGCTTTCTGGCGAACCGAGCCAGTCTTCTTCTCTATTCTGGCACTTAAGCTCCAAATTACCCCTCCAAGATACATCCCACTTTTATCCCACCATGGCCCAGACAGAGCACAAGGCCTGCCTCAGTACGTCGTATTCCCAGGTCCCCTCTCCTCCGGATAGCCCCAAGGCAGAGGCGAAGATGGAGACTGTGATGGGGCTTGGGCATACCGGCGGCGACGAAAAGGCATTCGACCTCGATCCCAGCCTTCCCGCCCCTCAACCCGAGTCTGCGCTCAAACCCTCAAGCCCCCCCGCTGTTCCTGCTTCTGCTTCTGCTTCTGCTACTACCCCTTCTTCTTCTGCTGCTGCTTCTTCCCGTCTCAAACCCGACTACGTCCTCGTTCTCTGCTACATTCTAGTGTACCTAGAGGTTGGCTGGCTAATCTTCATGGTATTACGCTCGTACAGTCGTGATTGACGGATGGGGCATCCCCTCCGAAGAATCCCCCAAAAATGGTGACGCCATCGCCGCCGCCGAAACCCCCTACATGGACCAGTTCGCCCGCGACGAGGCCGGATACACTGAGCTCGACGCCTCCTCCCTCGCCGTCGGTCTCCCCGAGGGCCTCATGGGCAACTCCGAAGTCGGCCACTTGAACATCGGTGCCGGCCGTGTCGTCTGGCAGGACGTCGTGCGTATCGACCAGACCATCAAGACGGGCCAGTTCAGCAAGAACCCCGTCGTCAAGGAGGTCTGCGAGTCTGCCAAGGCCGGAAACGGAAGGCTTCATTTTTGCGGTCTCGTTTCGCACGGCGGTGTTCATACTAAGCAGACTCATCTCTACGCGCTGCTCAGGGCCGCCAAGGAGTATGATGTCCCCGAGGTTTTCGTCCACTTTTTCGGAGACGGCCGTGATACCGACCCCAAGTCCGGCGCCGGATACATGCAGGAGCTCGTTGATACGATGAAGGAGATTGGTATTGGCAAGATCGCTACTATTGTCGGTCGATACTACGCCATGGACCGTGATAAGCGATGGGAGAGGGTTGAGGTTGCCCTCAAGGGCCTTGTTCTAGGCGAGGGCGAGCAAGCCACCGACCCCGTCCAGGCTATCAAGGACGCCTACGCTAGGGGCGGTGATAGCGACAGGGATGAGTTCCTGAAGCCCATCATCCTCAACGGCCAGGAGGCCCGCATCAAGAGTATGTGAACTTGGGGGGGAAATGCTTGCAAAGATGGAACCTCGGCTAACTTCCCATAGACAACGACACCGTCTTCTTCTTCAACTACCGATCGGATCGTGTCCGACAAATCACCCAGGTCCTCGGAGACGTCGACCGCTCCGTGCTTCCCGACTTCCCCTACCCCAACGTCACCCTGGTTACCATGACGCAATACAAGGCCGATTACCCCTTCAAGGTCGCCTTCGAGCCCCAGAAGATGGACAACGTCCTGGCCGAGTGGCTCGGCAAGCAGGGCGTCGAGCAGGTGCACATCGCCGAGACGGAGAAGTATGCCCACGTCACCTTCTTCTTCAACGGTGGCGTCGAGAAGGTCTTCCCTCTCGAGACCCGCGACCAGAACCAGGACCTCGTCCCCTCCAACAAGTCCGTTCCCACCTACGACAAGGCCCCCGAGATGAGCGCGGACGGCGTCGCCAACCAGGTCGTCAAGCGCCTGGGCGAGCAGAGGTTCCCCTTCGTCATGAACAACTTTGCTCCCCCGGACATGGTGGGCCACACGGGCGTGTACGAGGCCGCCATCATCGGCTGTGCTGCTACCGACAAGGCCATTGGCAAGATTTACGAGGCGTGCAAGAAGGAGGGATATATTCTCTTCATCACTGCTGACCACGGTAATGCTGAGGAGATGAAGTTCCCTGATGGCAAGCCTAAGACGTCACATACGACGAACAAGGTCCCCTTCGTCATGGCTAATGCGCCCGCCGGCTGGAGTCTCCAGAAGGGAGAGGCTGTCCTTGGTGATGTGGCGCCTACTATCCTTGCTGCTATGGGCCTGCCTCAACCTGAGGAGATGACTGGCAAGAGCTTGCTCCAGAAGGCTTAGGCGATGTTGAGGACAACAGTCACCCGACAGTTGAAGGAAAAGAAAACCACTTGTGAAATGTATTAGAAGGGAGGGCATACGGTCGGTGCGTTGATTGAAGAAAACAAAATCTTAAAGAGAAAAAAAAAAAACATGGGAAAGATCAAATGGGAAGGGGTTGGTGTTGTGATGATTGATATGAACATGGGAAAAGCGAGTAGACTATTTGGGTTGGTTGGGTAAACGGATGTAGACGGCTAGCGGATAGATGAATGATGATACTACTTTGAAGCGTGGCTTGCTGTTTCTTGTCCTTTGTGATACCAAGTTCTCGGTATTCACATCCAGCCCTGGGTAGAGATTGTAGAGTGCATCCCTGCAAGGTACGGGTGGCGAGGTTCTCATAAGGGTCTGGGATATGAAGCCATGATCTGATGTCTTCCCGGCAGTTATGGTGAGGAACAAATCGACGAGTCGTTTGCATGTTCCCGCTGTGCTTCCGCCGGGAATCGATCGGGAGGGAGGCAGGCAGGGACAGAGCGAAAGACCCTGCGTATGACGTGTGCTTGACATCACATTGCAATGGGATTTGATATAGTACCTAGATTATAAACCACGAAGACTTGGGAAAACCAGGGGAGGAGAAGAGGGTGGGTGTGAAAGGGTTTGTGGGCATTTCGGGAAGAACCCTTCTTCGACTCTGGGCATCATAAACCGGGCCAGAGCGGGGGTGACGCCTTCTTTCTCCTTGGTTTCCTTTTTCATATTTCTTTCTTTTTCTACCCCTAGCTTACCCTTTTCGGCCTTGTTTTTTTTCGTTCTTCCTTGCATTGAGCAGCGTTACTTCGTCGAAGCTCGAGGATCACGACTGTGAAAGGTTCGGTGCTTGCTGCACCATTACATCATCAGGGAAACGTCTCCGGAAGTTCTGTGTGAAGATCGTCTTCGCGGCTATGACATCATCCTTCCTACAGGTATAGCAGAGACCTGGAAGGGAAGCGCGCTGTGGGCTTTGATATCTTGTTAGATTTGTCCAACGTTCCATTCTCGGGTCCGTAGATGTATGGGAGGTGATGTGAAAAGGTGTCGGGACTGTCATGACAGAACTGACATAGTTAGGCTATAGCAGATTGTACGCATACTACTTCGTAGTAGTGTATACTTTACGAGGGGATATTCGGGGCGGGCCGAGGGTCAGAAATGACTCCCAAAGACATCTGCTAAGTACGGAGTAGTAAGTAAACTAGTAAACTAGTTGATCCCGACAGGACATCCTCAACCTCGTTGGCAGCAATTCAGCTACTCTGTAGATGGGGAATAGGGCAACCAACCCCTACGGAGTACACTACCCAGCCCGATGCCCTATACGGAGTGCAACGGTTGGCGAGGTTGGGTGAAAGGGCCGGAATATCTAGTTTAGATTTTTATTCAAATGGAGGTTTGTCACCCTCCATCGGCCGGTTGCGATGCTGGACCCACCCCGAAATGCACGCATGGCGCCAGATGCGAGATGGTGGAAGGCAGAGGAAGGAATGATACGTGTACATCTTCTGGTGTCTAAAGTCACCCCCACCACGCCATGCCTGCATCACACGCCCGAACTGGGAGCAGAGAGAAGACTCGAAGTGAGTCAAAAAATGTGTTGGCATGGGTATGGAAAAATATCCGAATAGCTTCACGATCTTGCACAAGTATCGATCAAGGACGGAGAGGAATTGCTTGAAGTAAATACTTGTACTTGTCGTATATCGGCCAGGCATCGGAAGGTTTCGTACCGGGAGTTGACATCGTCTGCTGAAGGAAGGGGGGACGCCAACCTGAAATGGAAAAGATGATACTCTAGCAAATCGAACCCTATAAAACGAAGGCCATCAGACTAGCTTAGCACGGTATGTTAGGGTCTCGTGGACCCAATTTTGGTGGGAGACAACATTGAACTTGTGTGCCTGAATATTGTTTTCTCGGGCCTCGTGGATTGATGAGACAGTGTGGACTGATGCTGATGGCGTCGACTTCAGCCAATGACGAAGGGAGAGATGCAGCCCAAGCAAGAAGAATTTAATCTAGAAAAGAAGAAAAGAAAAATTTTGATGGGATCGCACTAGTGCAAATCTAGTGACCACGATCATTAATTCTTGGACCTTCAACTTTGGTCTTGCCTGGGTCCAAAGAATACGAAGTCGGGAGGTAGTTGTAGACACCGAGGATAAACTTCAGTCAGCTGTCGATTGATCGAAATTGCAGAGCAGCTCCTCCCATGGTTAATTCCTGCATCAAGTGCATTGCTACGAATTACTCGGTATAATGATGGAAGTACTTCGAACACGATGAGGAGTGGTTTCCCCAGGAAAGACCAAGGCTAGAATTGGTTGGTGCTTTGACGTTGTCTTGCCTCGAGCCTTCCCATGTTCCCTTCACCCCACATCTACATAAGCTCTGCCCCACTCATTTCTCAAAATGTAAATCGCGGATCGGAGCAGTTAAGAAGGCATTGCCGTCATATTAACCACCTTGTTAGCCCTTTTAACCCTTTTATTCCCCCCTTCCTGAAGCTCTCTCATGACATTCCCTAGCTGCCGGCACCCAACCGAACCCTTTCTCGACGACTATCAGTGACCCCGATGTTAATTTCAAAATCCTAAACCGCCTCGGCGGATCGAATCCCTCAGACCTCGTATCCTGGATATAAGCTGTAGAGGGCGGAAGTGACTGCGATTTCGTCGACCGATACTTTTTTTTGCCCCTCGATCTCGATCTCGATCTCTATTTCTTCTTCGCCATCCATCCCTTGCGTGAGAGTAGCAGTTTAGTACCTCTCCACATAAATTGTTCAAATTATTCGACAACGCATCGCATCGACATCCACTACGAACCCAAGTCTTCCATTGGCCGACTGAGCGTTATTGTTCCCACGGTGCAGGGACACGGAAATACATAACCCTCGAGTTGAGCTTCAGTGCCCCCTCTTCACGAGACGGTAGTTCTCCCCGAGCCGAGAGCCTGCGTCCAACAGGCCGCATTTCCCGGTTCCGATATTCTACGATGAGGGTTGACCCTCTGTGACTCGGGATAACACTGCAAACGACAGCAGAATAAGAAGCTCACGGGGCCCTTCTGAGGAAGGGAGCTTATTTTTTATATTGCTCTCATCAAAGTTTTCATCATCGGCTGCTGGCGAGGTAAGCAGGTCTTGAGTTGCCACTACTGTCCGAGATATCCAAATGCGTCAATCTACCCCGGGGCTTGGCGGGTCGCGTCGCTCAAACGACTACCCACCCGACTGGTTGGCGCCTTTTCTCCAAAATGATATGACATCAATGTTGACACTGGAAATTCTCACAGGTCGCTTAATTTGTTCAGAGAAAGAACGCACTTTGCTGCAACGATCCCCTTTGTGATATTATCCGCCACGAGCCAGGCCACCGATCTGAACAATCGAGACCCTCTGGAAATCGAGCCGTAGAATCCAAACCACCGTTTCGACGGGTCGAGAGCAACCTGTAGCCCAACCGAACTGTACAAAGTAGAGAACCACGATTCCCGGATTCATGACTAAGGCCGCCCGTGGACGCCCGAAAGTAGCAGCTGCATTGTGCATTTGATACATCTTGATACTTTACTACTTTACCGTACAACGCCTTCGTCCATATACCGCAACGACTTAAGAGCCCTCCTCTCTCTCACGCAGTGCACCCCTCACCAGCTCGATCCTTCATTCGACATCATCGGGATCGACCAGCTGGAGTGCGCGGGCGAAACGTCATAACTCTACAGCAGAACCCTCTCACAATCGCCAGACCCGTGAGATCATTGCTCCTTTATGCCTACGTCCCAGACGATCGAGAACTTTTAAGAAACCCCCCACCTGAATCGAGTTTAATCTCGATCGACCACTCGGCCGAATACATTTGTCGTGAGAATATGGAGGGTAGCCACCATCACCAACTCGCCAAGCAACCAGGCCTTACGATCTGACACTCGCGATAATCGAACCATGCCAGGACACAACAAGCAGTCTTCTCGCGATGCACATCATTCCCCACGACGAGGCGGCCGTCATCACACTCACTCCCCTTACGATACTCGAACGGTTCCCCTGCGATCAAACCCGCGCACGCAAAATAGTCCGCCCTCTGCCCGCCCTGCCGCCATCGCCGCGGTCGCCGCGGTCGCCGAAAAAGAGGCTACCGCGGCACCACCAGATATCTCCCCTGCGGATGTGTCGGCCACGACCACAGCACCACCAGCTGCTAAGAAACCGCTATTACGACACTGCGATTCATCTGCAGAGAGCAACGATACCGGCAATGTCAGTAATATCAGCAACCCCAAGAACTGGTTTGACCAGTCGAACCAGAACCCCTCGGCCAGTCCCGGCCAAGCCATGGATGGTAAGAACCTCGTCGTCAATTGAGCCCTTCAATTCTAGACATGCCAGTTCAGGGGTAGAAATAAAAAAAGCTAACCTGCTTGCTTTCCTTTTCTTTTACTCCCTCTAAGTCGACCCACCATTTTTTCAAAAGCACCACAGTTCGCCATCCGACCAGGATGTCAAGGGCTCTCTCCCCCTTGACATAGTGGCTCCCCAAGACTGCGAAGTCCCGCCGCCGGCTCCCACCCACAGCAGCGCCGAAGACTACCGAAGCGTCATAGACGACCTCACCATCGAGATCAAACGTCTCAAAGACGAGCTAAAGCGGTACAGACAATCGGGCCCCTCGCCGCTCCGGAGCGAGAAACTGTTCGAACTCAAAGTCCACAGTCTGCCCGCGTGGAAGAAGCGCGAACTCGAGGCGACCCTGCGAGAGTTCGCGTCCGGGCTCGAAACCACCTCGAACCCCAACGCGTCGTCGTCGCCGCGGAAGAAGTCGTCGAGGAACACGAGTCGCATGTACTCGGGCTCTCAGTCGGGGTCGAAACAGGCTTCCTCGTCGTCCGAGTCGCAGCGGCGGCCAGTCGATTCGGCTTATGCGTCTATGTCTACGGGTCATGCGTCGGCCGGGACGTCACAAGGGAGGCATTCCGGGCGGTCACGGGTCAAGTACTCGGAGCAAAAGGTGGAGAATTATCTCAAGGAGATCCCCGAGGGGCTGTATCCTCGTCACATCACCATGTCTGAGAAGCAGAAGAAGAAATTAGTCGTGAGGCGGCTAGAGCAGTTATTCACGGGGAAGCCGAACAGCAAGCAAAGAGCTAAGCACTACGAGGTGTCGCCGATGTCGGTGCCCGTCAGCGAAAATCAGGAGCCCGCACGGGAAGCGAGGATTCTTCCGAGCCTTGCTACGAATAAAAAGGGCGGGTCTCGGGATAATGGGGAATCTACTTCGAACTCGAACGGCGACCAGACCTCGTTGAGCGGGAGCGGGAACGGCAATGGTAACGGCAGCGGCAACGGATCTAACAACTCGTCCCCACCGACGATTCCGCCTCCCGAGCAACGACCAACCCGGCCCCGCGATCTAGACCCCGATCGGCCGCAGAACCCGTCGGAAAACATCGAGTATCTGCGACATTTAGGAATTGCGCCACCCGACATTCAACGCACTGAAGTGGGCAACGGCAAGGCGGCGACCTTGTCTCCGGACGCGGATGGCTGGGTTTACCTGAATTTGCTCTGCAACCTCGCCCAGCTGCACATTTTCAACGTCACCCCAAGCTTCATCCGCGCCGCGGTCTCGGAAAAGAGCTCGAAGTTCCAATTGTCGGCGGACGGACGAAAGATTCGCTGGCGTGGCGGTACGGAGGGCACCAAGTTTAGTAGCGACAGCTCGGGCGATAATTCGTGCAATAGCAAATCGCCTGACGACTCGAGTAGTCCCAACGACGGGGGCAGTGGGAACAATAAGCTTGACGGGGAAGAAGGGTGGGCGACGGCTCATAAGAGGTCCAAGTCTAAGACTTCGGGCATCAAGACGTCCTCCGGTCCCTCTGCGGCGAGACAGACGTCCAAGACGGGACCGCAGACGTTATCGGAGGAGGCGGCGGCCGCTAGTTTCCAGTACAAACCGTTATTCTTCAAGCACCGCACATCCAACGAGCAGACGTCAGAGGACACGGGTTCTTCCCCCGAATCGCGAGAAGAGAGCTATTTCACGGGGTCCGGGTGGGACGCATCCCACTCGATGTCCTCAACGCGGAGGAAACGCCGCGCCGATGGCGCGATTATCTACTACAGCGGAGCTCCCTTCTGCACGGATCTCTCCGGTGATCCGGGTCATCACCAGCAGTCGTCTAGCCCTTGCGTCGAGGGCTCGAGCTCGCTGATCCAGGAAGAACCGGCCGACACTGTGGATCAAGGCATCGAGGAGGTGTTTCCCGCGGTGCCGAGGCGCACGCTCTCGGGCTCGTCGCTGCCTTATCGCCCTCTTAGTCTACCCCGGCAGGATCTCTTGGAGGCGGTTGGGGCAATGGGCGGGGGTACGAGCGATTTGGGCACGGATATGGTGGTGGGTGAAGACGGGGAGAGCGATGGCGACGCCGACGAGATGGCGTGCGAGTTCCCGTGGTCGAGGTCTCCGCAGGCGGCGAGGGTTCCGCGACCGCTCGAGTCGACAGGCCTTGGTGGGGTGTTGCCCGACGATCACTTCTTGGTCACGGTGTCGACGAAACGTGCTCGGGAGGAAGGGGAATTCGATGACGTGACCAATCCCGAAGCTAGATTTAACTCCATGGTCGAGCAGCTCGGAAGGTTACACACCGCGCTACCGCCCCAAGGCTATTATTACCCCGTACTCCCCAGCAGATCCCCCACCAAAGACATCGAGTACCTCTCCGGCCGCATCAAGCGCCTCAAACCCACCTCGCTCCCTCCCCCCGCCATCTTCTTCCCACCGTTTAGCACGGACGAATCGAGCTGCTGCGCCGAGGAGCTAGAGTCCTCCGAGGCGGACGACGAGCGCGTCACGAGTTCGGAGGAGGCTGCGAGTCGGCGCGTGCATCGGCATCATCAGTCTGATCTCCTCTCGCTCGAGGATAGCAAGGTGTCGTCGGAGCCGGCGGCCGAGGATGATACTGGCGATGCTATGCTTGTTGATGGGGAGTCGAGTGAGACGAGTCGCGCGGGGAAAGCGGTGGCGGGGGCGGTGGCGGGGTCGAGGAGTTCGTTTGCTACAGCGGGGGGTGGCCCGAGTGGGTTTAGTAGTAGTAAGGAGGAGAGTGATGATTCAAGCGATTGATGGCTCTGGGTTCACTCCCTCTCCCACTGGCGCCCCTTGTCCCGGAGCAAGCGAAGAAGAAATTCAAGAGGTATGAGTAGAGTTCTGCGTGGCCAAGAATCTCCCCCTCTCAGCCTGATACATGACTTGGCTTGTCTACATATTTCTTTTCCGTTTTTCTTTTTATACTCTTTCTTTGGATACCATCTGTCGGGTGTATGTTAGGACCCCTGACACACACCGATAGAGTCGATGTACTTCTTTGACGGAAAAGTTTGGGGTTTATTTCGTTTAGGCGCAACGATTTGGAGGATACGGGAGTGAGGAATCAGTCCATACGAGGGAAGACAGGCAGGAAACAGTTCCTAAGGAACAAGCCGCGGCTGTGAGAGAGCGTGTTGCTTGATCAGTGCTGGAGGCCATGTTCTCTTCATGCTCTTGTGTTCTTCCTTTCTGTTTCAGTTTTTTTTCTTGGCCTTTTCTTGTTTTTGCGAACGATACCTTTGTCTGCATTTTTGCTGCTTTGGATATGACTAGATGATTGAGTTTCACGGCTGCGTTGCTATTAGGATGAAGGGGGTTAGGGGAGATTATTGTAGATTGAGGGAATGAACTATGGTGCTGGTATTACCTGCCTGGGTATGCCTCAAGAGAGTAATACTCTCGAAGCTATCTAGCTTGAGGTAACCTAGAGATGAAGCAGACTTCAAGAAACTTGAAATTGATATAATCTGGAAAGAGACAAGGACACTCCCGCTGTGTTGTCTGCATGGAGCTTGAAGCAGTCGAATCCCCAATGTCTATTTAATCGAGTCAATTTATGACGCTGAAAGTAAAGCTTCAAGTTCAAACCTATGCTGATTAATATGTACGCCTGGTCTGATGGTGGGATATAACTGTTCGGGCGTTTCTGTTGATGCTCTCGATTTGAAGAAGGCTGATGATGGTTGTGGACATTTGATCTCAATTACCCCGCCAAAAAATTACCTTGGCTGCGCTTGCTTTGACCCGCTCACTCGAACAAGCTCCTTTAAACTCGATCCAAACCACCCGAACGACAACCGACCCTCTCCCTCCACGCTGATTCCGACTCTCCATCGTTCCTACGATCCTATCAAGCTATTTTTACGCTCGTCCCGCGAAATCTCTCACTGCCTCTCCACAATGTCGGCCGACGCTAAGGTGGCGTCCTCGTCGGCGGCCCAGTCGTAAGAGCTCTCGTGCTCCCCCCCCCTTCGGTTGGCTCTCGATTCCTGCAGAAATAAGGAAGCCTTATTTATTTTTAATTTTTTTTTCTACAATATAAATGCTAATCCCTTTTGCATGCGACCAGATCGAAAGGCCCCCCGACGAATCCCCGCGGTATTCCCTTTGCGCCGTTCGTAGACAACGTCGAGGACTATGTTGGTTCGCGAGAGGAGGTGGAACCTACACTGCGGAGTTTCCAGGAGATGATATCGTACGTTCCTTCTACTTCTCCTTTTACTCGATTTTCCCGTCGCGACCTCGCATACCCGGAGAAAGGGGGGCGTTCTTGGGTGCTAGGGCTACTAGGGGGGAAGCTCCTTTTGGACTCGTTTGAAGGACACCCTCGCTGATGTGAAGTCTGGGCGAGGGCAGAAAATACCAGTTCATGGAGATGAATCTCCAGAAGAGGGCGGGCGGACTGAAAGAGAAGATACCTGAGATAAAAAAGACTCTTGAGACGGTACGATTCCTCAAGCTAAGGAAGGTGAGTTTTCTTTCTTCCTCTTCTTGTTTTTTTCTCCCCTCGAGTTCTCAAGGCGACTGTGTAGAGAGACTAGATCGCTAATACCTGAGGAAACCCCACAGGACGACGAGGAACCTTTAGAGACAACATTCGAGCTCAACGATACGCTATACGCCAAGGCGCAGATACCGGCCACCGAGGAGGTTTACATTTGGCTGGGGGTAGGAACGATGCAGCCCAGCTTCATTACGGACATAATGGGGGTGGCTGACACGAGAGAAATACGTTACAGGCCAACGTTATGCTGTCTTATCCCATCGACGAGGCGGAGGAGTTGCTCGAGGGCAAGCTTTCGACGGCGACGCAGACTTTATCGAATTGCGAGGAGGACCTGGACTTTTTGAGGGAGCAGATTACGGTAAGATTTCCCTTCTTCTTCTGTTGCTTGTTTCTCTCTCTCTCTCTCTCTCTCTTTCTTCTCCCCTACCCTTCGTGGCAATTACTCCGAGTGTGCTCCTGATCGACATTTTACAGACAATGGAGGTGGCGCTGGCGCGGGTATACAACTGGGACGTCGTGCAGAAACGTAAGGAGAAGGCGGACGAGGAGAAGACCAAGGGCAAAGGCAAAGGGAAGGAAGCGGCGTAGTTTCTTGGCGTGTGTGTGTGTGTCACGCGTCTGGGTTTTTTTGATGTAGTGGGATTCTGGGAGCATATACCACTTTTTGTGTTGGGAACTCTGGTAAAAGGAGTATAAAAAGATGCCTTCCGTATTTCGCTCGTTGGGTATAAAATCAGGAAGTATGCAGAAGATGGATGCCTAGTATGACTTGAGGCTGAAGGTCGGTCTAGATGCTGTGGCGCTGATTCGTGTAACGAGGGCGAAACGTGGGTTCGTTGGCGATTCGATTGGAGACGCCGAATGTAAGCTGGCAGCAGATGAGGGATGTTGCCGTGTCTTGGGAATAGACTGCAATCTGCATCTGCGTCGAGTCTACGTCTACGTTTGTGGAGCCTGGAATATTCTTGTCAGAAGGAAATGGAGGGGCTCAATATTCAATGTTGTTGTTCATCAAATGTTGATCATGACGATGCGAGATGTACGAGGTACCTGTACAACCGCGACGGTTCCAGCTGGAGTCAGGTACAGCATAACGGGAGCGAGGGAGATCGTCCCGTCGAAGTCTGCACAAGAGCAGATTCGCGAGTATGGGGAATCTAAAAGTTTCTTCAAATCTTCGAGGATATCTGAAACTAACAAGCTTTTCGTGCACCCATCTTCTTTTTCTTCTTCTTCTTCTTCTTCTTCTTTATTTTTTTAGGCAGTTTTGGCCTTGACATCTCAAACAAGAGGATCCATCAATATTGAATTGATGTGGTGTACTTCAGGCATGGCCTTCAATTTTAGCGGGACCCATTGATCCATCCACTGCTGACGGTGCCCGGATCCGCGGGATCACAGGCTCGAAACAGGCTCTCAACGCCCCAAATGAAAACGGAATGAACACTGCCAGCCAGTGCCAAGTGGGCGGAACTAGGGACCTTGGACAGACGTTGTCGTACCAGTGACATTCAACGTTGTGGGATCCCGGCGAGTTCAGGGACCTCAGGACCTGTGCTCGTCCAAACTCCGCCCCCTTTCCTTGGGTAACAATTCATCCAGTTGTAATTGTACATTCGTAAACTCGTACACTACATCAATTTTACCCCTCCCTTCACTACTCCCTACAATCAAAAGTATTGAATCCTCACACCGATCCAAATCCACCTTTATCCCATCAACCCAAACATTTTTTTAAGCAATTTCTCTCCTTTCTTTTTGCCCCTTCTTCCCCTTCTCCTCGCCCCCTTAAAGTAGAAAACAAAACCCCGAGATAACTTTCCCTTCGTTTCTTCTCCTTTCCGCCTCTCCCCTTCTTTGCTACTACGCCCCCCGCCCACCATGGAGCTCGATCCCAAGTACGACGACTACGACTTCCCAACAACGGCCCCGACGCCTGCGCCCGGCCACCCGGGGCACTTGAAGCCTGAGGAGCAGGCGCAGGTGCATCAGTTGCGCATGTTGCTTGAGGCTGAGGGCTATACTAAGCGGCTGGATACTCTCACTCTGGTAAGTTGAGATTGGATGAAAAGGGGTGGAAATACCAGGGGGTGGGAGGGCCGAAGGGGGATGTGGGAAGGGAGTTATCATGGCTTTGGTTGAGGTATACGAGGGAGGAAGCTGGATCGTTCTTGAGTCGGGCTCGGTGACCTCGGGGGCCTTTAGTTGATAAGGTTTTCTACGATTTTTTGCGTGAATTTTTTGGGGCGCTTTGGCTAACATTGCTTTGGTTTCTTACAGTTACGGTTCCTGCGCGCGAGGAAGTTCGATGTCATGGCCTCTAAGAAGATGTAGGCTCTCTAACCCCCCTTCTCCCATACCCCCGACTCTCGTGTCCGATGGCCCGGAAACAACACCACAAAGGAGGACTTCGAAAGGTCGCCAGGAGCTAACATTTGGGCGGTCTGTTTCTATAGGTTCATGGACTGCGAGGCCTGGAGAGCCGAGATCAACCTCGACGACCTCGTGCCCACCTGGGACTTCGTCGAGAAGGAGGAGATGTTCAAGTACTACCCTCAGTACTACCACAAGACGGATAAGGTAGTGACATCTAGTTCTCACCCCCTCCCCCTTTTCCCACCCTTTCCCCTTATCCCACTTCCGTCTAAACACACACCTAACCCTCTCCTCCCTCACAGGACGGACGGCCAGTCTACATCGAGCAGCTCGGCGGCATCGACCTAACCGCCATGTACAAAATCACCTCCTCCGACCGAATGCTGACCAACCTCGCCGTCGAATACGAGCGCCTCGCCGACCCCCGCCTCCCCGCCTGCTCCCGTAAATCCGGCCACCTCCTCGAGACCTGCTGCACCATCATGGACCTCAAGGGCGTCACCCTGACCAAGGTGCCCCAGGTCTACTCGCACATCCGCCAGGCCTCCGCCCTCTCGCAAAACTACTACCCCGAGCGCCTCGGCCGCCTCTACCTCATCAACGCCCCCTGGGGCTTCTCCACCGTCTGGTCCGTCGTCAAGGGCTGGATCGACCCCGTCACCGTCCAGAAGATCCATATCCTCGGCGGTGGGTACCAGGCTGAGCTCCTCAAGCAGGTGCCCGCCGAGAACCTCCCCGTCGAGTTCGGCGGCACGTGTAAGTGCGAGGGTGGCTGCCAGCTTAGTGATATGGGACCTTGGAGGGAGAAGGAGTGGTCGAAGCCTGCTAAGTGGGAGACGGATGTCCAGAAGGAGGAGAAGAGCGATGTCCCGGCTCCTGCTCCTGCTGAGGGTGTGGTCGAGATACCCGTCCCCGCTGAGGGCGTTGCCCCTCCGGAAGGCGCCAAGGCTACCGCCCCTGCTTAAAGCTGCGAGAGGAATTGTTCAGGGCTAGCGGCCAGGGTTAGAAGAAGTTGTTGGGTGTTGTCCTCGTGTGCGTTTGTTTCTTGTGACGAGTAATTTAAGAAGCTGGAGAAAGGCTACGGGCTACAATGGGGTTCTTTCTTTAAAGAAACAAAAAAAAAACGAGTAGCCGCCTTTTCATATTTTTGAACATGGCGTAACGTGTCATGGCTTGTGTTGGATTGAATACAATCGCGCTTATCTTTTCTCGGGGTTTACGGTTTGGGGGAACTTGAGGGCGAGAGTTTTTTTGGGGAGCGGGTGCAATTTCGATAGGAGGGATATTGAGGTAGTTTATACATATAAAGAAGATTTTATTGAGGGTATCAAGGTGTTCTCAGAGTTCTCACGTCGTGTCTGTGTGATTTTGGAAGAGTGTTGAAGTGTACAGGGCATAACCCAGACTGCCGTCGGTTGCCATCCGCCAACGCCTTGAGGTAGCCTGTCCATTCCCAACCCGGCTGTTCCGAACAGTCGCATAACCCCCGGTCATCCGAAAAGCAGAGAACATCAAATAAAACCGTAAACGCCAAATGGACCAGCCCCCCATCATGAATCCCAGACGCCTCGCCCCACAAACGCCATCACCGTTCTCACCCTCATCATCAACGCTTCCCCTCTTCACCTCCCCTGCGTAATAACATACTCCCCCGCAACCCTCGCCCTCTCCATCTTCGCCACAGCAGCCGGCATCTCCCTCTTCAACTTCTCCAACCCCTCCACAAGCCCCTTCCAAACCTCCTCCACATCCCCCCCTTCCCCTCCTTTCGCCTTTACAGCGTTCTCAACATCCAAAACGCCCTTACCAGCCTCGCCAACACTCGTCCCCGCCTCGGAACAAACCTCCCGCGCCCGCTCCTCCAACGCAGCCTCGTCGGCGTTGAGGCCCCCGCGCAGCGTCTCGGAGTACGCGGCCGCCACGCGCCCGGGGATCTTTTGTTTGAGGGAGGCGATTTCGGCGAGGAGGTCTTCTTCTTCGCGAGCGAGGTCGAGCACGCGTTGGTGCATCTTATCGTTGAAGGGTTCGTAGACTACTGGCGGTGCGGTGGGGTTGGAGGGTTGGGAGGGGGAGAGGTAGGCTTGGGCGTCTACGGGGAGGCCGTTTATGGAGAGGTTCGGGGCGGCGAGGGTGAATGTTTTCGTTATGTACTGCGTATTGTCAGTTGGTTGTCCGAGGTTGGAAAGGCGGAAAATGGAGGTCCAAGAAGAATGGGAAGGAACGCACGTCGTTGACGAGTGCTTCTATTTGTAAACGCAGTTGGTCTTCCTCGCCGTCAGCTCTATTGACGGGGGGAAAGGCCTCGTCGATGCGTTCGCGGGCGGCGCGTCGGACGTTGGCGATGAGGAAGGAGAGGTCTTCGGGGTCTTGGAGCTCGATTTTTCGGTGGGCCGAGTCGTCCATGATTTGTGGCGGGCGTAGGTATATGAGGGCTAGTGTTCGAATTGGGGGGCTTTCGTCGGGGTATTTTCTTCTTATGTTGGGATGGGAGGGGTGTCTTTGCTGGTCTGTTTAAATCGTCTTGACCTTGAGAGGTCGCTGAATGCATGCTGATTTGTTTACTTGGGACGACCCATGCCGCTTTGGCGGGGTGGCTTATCGGGCTTATCACCACGTGTCTAACCGTGCTTGTTCCCGCATCAATTTCCTTCAAGTTCCTCCCACTTGAACAACAGCTGCCAAAGTCTGCCATCTCATGTCTTTCACTGCCAACCAGTCATGCGTCCCTTATTTCTCTCAATCCGCAATCGGATAAGCTAGGAGCGGGGACGACTTCAATGCTCGAACCTGATTCCTAATACCGCTGCATTCCGCGGCACCCTGCTCCTATGCCTCGAACAAAACTACTTGATACTCGCAATTGAGTATGCACTTAGGGTTTGTGTTGAGGTAATAATGTTAAGGGTCCTGTGATATTCAGTGTCGATCTAGACGGAACCTTGTTGGCTTGTGCTAGTACTTATGCGGTTGGGCGGAGAGCTAGCCAACCGTCGAAGACGACGACAATGCTTGAGCTAAGGATAATGCTCTGTTAATATCGCGTGAAGCATCTGATGTGAGATTAGAAGTATCCATCATTAGCTCTTACACTTTCGAAGTCCCTCGAGATGGGTGAATGAAACGAGGTTGGAGGTTAGGTCTGCCACAAGAAATGCCCATTAAGCCCGCACTCGAAGTACAATTGTACCTGCAATCTTCAAGTTGTGCCCGAGAACAATTCGATGCTGTATTGCTGTATTGCTGTATTGCTGTTTTGCTGTTCACAAATCAGGAATTTGAGTTATTAATAACAGTCAAAGTCATCAATTCGAGGGAGCTCAACTAGAACTGAGGTACACTTCATTCAGTGTACATCTTTGACTCTTCTTGTTCAGTCTTACCCCACCTTGAGACTTCGTAACAACCTCAATTGTACCTCTACGGTTTGCCCCTCCCCCGCCCCCGCCAGTCTTCGTCAACAAGTACTCCTCTATCAATCAAAGGGCGCGAGGTACTTCCCCGCCCCCACCAAACCAAAATTTGAAAGACACCAAAAATCGGATTGAGCAAGCGCATTGGTGAGGAAGGAAAAAGATTTCCCACCGCCCAGGTTCTGCTCTGCTTTTGCTTCTCCGAGTCAACACCATTGTAGAATTTTTTTTCCCTGTTACCTTACCTCTTAGACCTCCTAGCTCGGAGAGTAATTTTCTTTACTTTTTTTTTTCTTTCTTCTTCTCCTCATCCTTCCTGTCTCTTATTTATCGTCATCCTCCCCTCTCCTACCTCTCTTCCTCTCTTCCCATCTTCCCTTCTTTCCTTCGTCCCAATTCAGTCCAATTCCCCCTCCCACAAGCAAAATGTCTTCGGAAACTCACTACGCTCTCCCAGCATCTCACAAGGAGGTTCGTTTATCCCCCCTCCGGCGCTATCCACATCAACGCGGCTCCCATTCCTCACTCGTGTGACAGTTTTCTAACCTTCCGTCCAGATGCTGGAGAAGTCTCTCCTCGACTCCGACCCCGAGGTCGCCGAGATCATGAAGAATGAGGTCCAGCGTCAGCGCGAGTCCATCATCCTCATCGCCTCGGAGAACGTCACCTCCCGTGCCGTCTTCGACGCCCTCGGCTCCCCCATGTCCAACAAGTACTCCGAGGGCTACCCCGGCGCCCGTTACTACGGTGGTAACGAGCACATCGATGAGATCGAGCTCCTCTGCCAGAAGCGTGCTCTCGCCGCCTTCAACCTCGACCCCGAGAAGTGGGGCGTCAACGTCCAGTGCCTTAGCGGCAGCCCTGCCAACCTCCAGGTCTACCAGGCCATCATGCCTGTTCACGGTCGTCTGATGGGTCTTGATCTCCCCCACGGTGGCCATCTTAGCCACGGCTACCAGACCCCTGCCAGGAAGTGAGTCATCCCTGCATCCCCTCCCCTCATCCCCGCTCGCGGTGCAGCTGGGGAAAGCAAAGCAATGGGTTGGGAAAACCGCCCCCCAAAAATTGCTCTCTTGATTACTAACTAACCTACGATGTCCCTCTTTGCAGGATCTCTGCTGTCTCCACCTACTTCGAGACCATGCCCTACAGGGTCGACCTCGAGACCGGCATCATTGACTACGATACCCTCGCCAAGAACGCCATCCTCTTCCGCCCCAAGGTCCTCGTCGCCGGTACCTCCGCCTACTGCCGTCTCATCGACTATGCCCGCATGCGCCAGATCGCCGACTCGGTCGGCGCCTACCTCGTCGTCGACATGGCCCACATCTCCGGCCTCATCGCAGCCGGCGTCATCCCCTCTCCCTTCGAGTATGCCGACATCGTCACCACCACCACCCACAAGTCCCTCCGTGGCCCCCGCGGCGCCATGATCTTCTTCCGCAAGGGCGTGCGCTCCACCGACCCCAAGACCGGCAAGGAGATCCTCTACGACCTCGAGGGCCCCATCAACTTCTCCGTGTTTCCCGGCCACCAGGGCGGTCCCCACAACCACACCATCACGGCCCTCGCCGTCGCCCTCAAGCAGGCCGCTAGCCCCGAGTTCAAGGCCTACCAGCAGCAGGTCGTCGATAACGCCAAGGCCCTCGAGAACAAGTTCAAGGCCCTCGGCCACAAGCTCGTCTCCGACGGTACCGACAGTCACATGGTCCTCCTCGACCTCCGCCAGCACCACCTCGACGGCGCCCGCGTAGAGGCCGTCCTCGAGCGCATCAACATCGCTTGCAACAAGAACTCCATCCCCGGCGACAAGAGCGCCCTTACCCCCTGCGGTATCCGTATCGGTACCCCTGCCATGACCAGCCGTGGCTTCAACCAGGCTGACTTTGAGCGCGTCGCTGAGTACATTGACGAGACCGTCAAGCTGTGCAAGGAGATCCAGGCTGGTCTCCCCAAGGAGGCGAACAAGCTCAAGGACTTCAAGGCTAAGGTCGCTAGCGGTGACGTTGCCAGGATCAATGAGCTCAAGAAGGAGATTGCTGCTTGGAGCTCTTCCTTCCCTCTTCCCGTTGAGGGCTGGAGGCACGACGCTGGTATCTAAACCCCTTGGCTTAGGTAGTCCGTTTACTACGCTACTGCCAGGTGGTGATCCAGCGCTCTTCTCATAATCACACACTTTACTCTCCATTACTTCTTTTTCTACTCTACCCATCTCGAGCTACAATGGCTCTCATAACCTCTCTTCAACAGAGGTCTCATCATCATCCACCCACAAACGGAAAGGAGTTTCTTCTCTCTTTTTTTGTTCCTTTTTTTTAGTTTTTTTTTTTTTTTTTTTTTTTTTTTTTTTTTTTGCATAACCAATAAACTCAACAAATGCATGGTCCAACACGGGAGGCGGGCGGGTGGAAAAAACACAGGCGTTGGGTTTCTGACACAACACATTTCAAGAAAAAGAAAATGAACGGCCCCCCTTCAACAATCCTCCTTGTTATTTTTATACTTTTTTTTTTTCTTATGTTAAACATTTGGGCAACTGAAGGGGAAGGAAATTGGGAAGGGAAGGGATATTATTTTTGAGCCGTTCAACCTGCTGCTTTTGGGAGATATCTTAGTGTTATATGTTCGGTTTTGTTTTTCAGGCTCGAAACTTTTGAGTAGTAACCAATATCAAGATGTCGTTGTACACGACTGCTTTTTTTAAAATGCCCATTGCATCATACGTAATATTCGAAGAGACCTCATTGGAACTTGTGAATTTGAAGTGGTACATGTATTGGTCTAGCCGGGACTATCTATTGAAACTTCCCCTTCCAGGGAAGTGAGGTCGGAAAGTCGAGTCTCGGGGGTGGAGGGTACAAAGATGGGTCCGCAAGAAAAAAGCCCATCTGCGAAGCAAGAAGGGGGAGAAGAAGATGCAGTGAGAAAGATAGCGAGCTGAATATTGTTGCAAGATTGGTGATGTGAAAAGAAAGATTGGGGAAAAATAATCAAAATAGATACATCATTCATGAAGCAAAAACCCCATTTCCTGCGAACGCCAGGTCCAAACCTAGAAAAGATACCAAGGAGTAAGAGGCGAAAGGAAGGGGGGGGGGGGGGTTGTGAAGAGAGGGATATATGTTCAGGTAGCAACGGGGATGGGGAATTTGGGGAAGAAAAGAAATATGGTTTGTTTTGAAAATCCTCAAGAAACTCCAAGAAACGATTTACTCCTCCGCCTTGCGCAGCTCGTACGGCAAGAAAAGAAAGCCCTTGCACCAGGAATGGTGAGCTGCGGTGAGCTCACCGAGAGTGGATATGAACCATAACGCCCATGACGTCCTCGAGAGGCCAGAGTAGAAACACCAAAAAGGAACCCGGGGAAAAAAGTACCAAGGGGAAAAGGGAAAAACCAAGTGGTCGATCAAAACAAGCAATCGTCGAAAGGGGAAAAAGGCGAAAATCGAATCTCGTGAGAAAAGACCGTCTAAAAACGAAGCATAGCCATGTATATCGAGGTCGGAAGTGTGTGTGCACCAAGAAAAGTTTCGTTCAAATCGTATGTACCGTTTGCTGGAGGACGGACAAGAGGCACTTATTGCGGAAGCATCATCTGGGCCTCCTCGTCGGTGAGGTAAATTTCGTGGATGGGGTCTCGTCGGTTCTCGAGCGGGACGTAGTCGTAGTCGATGTAGGACGGAAGGAAGATTTCTGTGGGGTCGCCTCACGTTAGTTATTGTCACTGGCTCCAAGATCGAGTCATAGTCGGAGATGCGGGTGGGTCGGGGGGCAGGCTCGGGGGTTCGGACTACTCACCTGGGTTCCAAGCGAAGCCTTGGCCGGACGAGAGGTAGGAGATCTAGAGGTTCAATGTCTTAGTTATGTTCCCTAGGCAATGGCGGCCAGTCTTGATTTGGGGAAATTGAAGCTTACCAAACGGGGAGGACCCTCTGGATCGCCAATGTTGATTACGGTGCACTCTTGCTTGGAGATCGCAGGACCTGCGGAAATGGTCAGTTTAGTCACATGTCGCTCGGATCAGGGGCGAGGCTATGCGGAAGGTGCGTGCATACTCAGGAGGCTCGGTCGGCGGTTATGAGTGGCCTTCCGTCCCTGGGACTTGGACGCCGGCGAAGGAGTCTGGGGAGATCGATAGTAGGGCGACGAAGAGGAGCTCCCGGAGGGGGACTTCTCGTTGGAGCTGTACGGGGTACTCGGGTTGGAGAGACCCGAAGGGATCGTAATCGACTCGGACGACATCGTGGGTGGTAGGTGCGTAGATGAGGGGTTGCGGATTCGGAGGGAACGGTAGAGAGTAAAGGAGGCAAGTTTAATGGTAGTCAAGGACAGTAGAGGAGAGGAGGCACAATAAAACCAGGGAAGTTTAAAGTAGTTGAAATGTGGGCTGTATGGATCGCGGTACCAATCTTCAATTTGGCCAGGGTCCCAATCAAGCAGGAAAGCAATCTGGGTATTTGGAGGGGTTCGGTGGAGGGGTGGAAGCAAAGCAAGATGATAAGACAAATAATCAAGAGAGTCCGGAGATTAAGATGAAGCAGGTAAGGTCCAGATATCAATGATTAACCAGAACCAAGCTACCAGAAAGTAGACGAAAAAGAACTCAACTCCTTGTTGGAAAAGATGAAAGGAAGAGGACGACAAGATGACAAAAGTGGGAGACGAGAGATATATATGAAAGAAGGCAAAGAAGTCAGGCTCTAGGTTGTATGTAGTTAAGTAGGGTAGGAAGACTTGGGACGACAAAAGGATGGTTTGGGTATTTAAAAGTTCTAAGTTTGATTGAAGATGGCGTCTGCAGATCGACACAGGAGAGATTCAAGTCAAATGGAGGTGGTCACACGTTGGGGGCGAGTTGTAGGCAGATAGTTTTAAACTACTTCGTACTTGGGAACATTTGAAGAGAGAGAAGAGGGACTTTGGACAATTGGAGCATCTGCATTGGGAGATGTACGAAGTGAGATGTACAAAGTATGAGTATTGAATCGTTGACGGAAGAGGTATACAGAAGAGGTAACACCACGCAACAGTGCAGCAGTGCGGCACCAACAAAGGCGGGAATACCACGCTTGCACTTGCACTTGCAGGTCGCACTTACACTGTAGATGCAAGATGCATGGCTGGTTTTGGTCTGTCTGGGCTGGCCTCAAACTGGGTTGGCCTGGCATGCCCAAGTCACTCCATTGTCTCCCACTTGTCCAGCTGGCCGGCTATCCACATCTCAATTGTCCAGTCTGGGAGAGACATATAGCAAACTTGAGGAACCTGATACAGGCCCAGTACAGCCCAGCACAGTTGGCACAACTTGGTGGTCGGCCCAGGCACCTGCTCAAAGACTAAGGCAAGTATTGGAAGCCTGATGACTCCTTCCCGGCCGATGCGGTGATGGCGGGACTTTCATGCCTCGTACAATTGTACATGTCGTAATTGGACAGATCCAAGTTCGTCTCTTGTCCAGTGTACATGTCCAATGGCGGTCAGCTGCGTGGTCTGCAAGGTACTGATACGGAAAAGTGGGGTCCTCTGTTGGTCAAGTTTGGTGTGCTGTCATCGATATGGCAGCATTGATTTGAGGAAAGGACCCCCCACATCCACCCAACAGGATCGATGGGGCGCTTCCGGGCTACGGTGGATGAACCAAATCCGCCGACTACGAAGTACGGGGTAGAGCAGGCTTAAAGTCTTAAGGAAATGATGGTGTTGCCAAACACTGTCGCTACCTAACCTATTCAATATTCGGGCTCTTCAATTAGGGCATCGTCAAACTGGGCTGTAATTTAATTTTCACAAGTACTTCGTAAACAGAGAGGGACCCTTTTGCCTCACTCTTCAACTGTCCGAGACAGACCCAAGGTCCGAAGGGGAGCTCTGCTCATCATCAATCGTTGCAGACCTGCTCCAGCCTAGCGTATTGGGGATCCTGACGCACCTGGACCAATCGCCGTGCGCCCCATTTCGGCACCCTTGCCACCGCTGATCCAAGGCCATGACGAAATCGGCCAATCAAGCCTCCGATAATTTCCGCCCCACCTGTCGCCCTGCCTCTGCCTGGGGAGTTTCAATGTTCTAGCCTCACATATTTTTGGTTGAGGAGGTCTGATCGGTCTGGGCCGGCGTGAGTTGAGGTGGGGCTCTCCTTCACGTGATGGTCACCCTTGTTAGTGCTTCCCTCACCGACACTGTGCTGAGTTTCGATGACTCAGCGGGATAAACTTTATCCGGCCCAGATTTCAAAAGGTTACTTGTAAAGTGACAGCGGCCGTAACCACCTGCCAATACAAAGTAAAGCTGAGCTTTGAAGGTCGTCAAAGCTTATGTAATTAAAACCCGACCCAAAGCTTGCGTTTCCCATTGACGCCTACACATGAGCATTGTCCGACAGGAGCAAATCCTCAGCCTTCCAAAAAACAGCATCACTAAAAAACACGAACCCAACGTCTCCGATTCATCGCGAACTCTTCCCTCATCGTCAATCTACCGACTTCGTTTCGTGTGTCCCTCCCGGAATATCGATACAGCGCTCGTCCAAATCCCACTTTGCACGCCCTCCTCTACCTGTCAACACAGCCCAACACTCAACTTTCCGCCACCAGCAGCTTCCATCCATCACCATGGGCGACGTGCTCGTAGAAAGCGCTCCCAACCACGTTTCCATCCAGAAAAAGGCCATCGCCTCGACGATACCGAATGTCGAGAGCTTTGAGGGGTTACCGCTCGATGGCGGCGACGAGTACGCTAATCTCAAGAAGCTCCAAAGACAACTAGAGTGCGTGATCTGGTGCCATCAAAGCTTTCCAAGACTGAATTTCCCCCCCCCTGTTACTGTCCGTAGCTAACAAACTTCGCATCAGATACATCCAACTGCAGGAAGAATATATCAAAGATGAGCAGCGAAACCTGAAGCGCGAGCTCGTCCGGGCTCAGGAGGAGATTAAGCGGATTCAGAGTGTTCCCCTGGTCATCGGCCAGTTCATGGAAGCCATCGATCAAAAGTACGTTTCCCCCCTCTTTAGCCCCTTAGCTCTCCTCGGCCCTTTCTAACTTGTGCAGCACCGGAATCGTCCAATCGAGCACCGGCTCCAACTACGTCGTCCGCATACTCTCCACCCTCGACCGCGAACAACTCAAGCCCTCCTCCTCCGTCGCCCTCCACCGCCACTCCAACGCCCTCGTCGACATCCTCCCCCCCGAAGCCGACTCCTCCATCGCCATGCTCGGTGTCGACGAAAAGCCCGACGTGACCTACGCCGACGTCGGCGGCCTCGACATGCAGAAGCAGGAAATCCGCGAAGCCGTCGAGCTGCCCCTGACCCATTTCGACCTCTACAAGCAGATCGGCATCGACCCGCCCCGAGGCGTGCTCCTCTACGGACCCCCCGGCACGGGCAAGACCATGCTCGTCAAGGCCGTTGCCAACTCTACGACGGCCAACTTCATCCGCGTGGTGGGGTCTGAATTCGTGCAGAAGTACCTCGGCGAGGGACCCAGGATGGTCAGGGACGTGTTCCGCATGGCGCGCGAAAACGCCCCCGCCATCATCTTCATCGACGAGATCGACGCCATCGCCACCAAGCGCTTCGACGCGCAGACGGGCGCCGACCGCGAAGTCCAGCGCATCCTCCTCGAGCTCCTCAACCAGATGGACGGCTTCGACCAGACCAGCAACGTCAAGGTCATCATGGCCACCAACCGCGCCGACACCCTCGACCCCGCCCTCCTCCGCCCCGGCCGTCTCGATCGCAAGATCGAATTCCCTTCCCTGCGAGATCGCCGCGAGCGCCGACTCATCTTTACGACTATTGCTTCGAAGATGAGCCTTGCGCCCGAGGTGGATCTGGATAGTTTGATTGTGAGGAATGATCCGCTTTCGGGGGCCGTCATCGCCGCTATTATGCAGGAGGCCGGGTTGAGGGCTGTTAGGAAGAATCGGTATAATATTATCCAGACTGATTTGGAGGATGCGTACTCGAGTCAGGCTAAGGGGACTAGTGACGAGAACAAGTTTGATTTCTACAAATAAACGGGGGAGGAGAGAGATGGGAAGGAAGAGGGTTTCTTTTTTTTTTTTTCTACGCCAGTGGGCTACTGCTTGGCGCTTACTTCAAGATGGAAAGAAAGACACAATGGGAACGGGATGGGGGGCCATTATATGTATTTGGGTCTGAGGAAATAGATGATAGGCGGAGACTGAGAGTAAGTAAGAGCGGGAAAGAAAGAGGAAGGGTTTTCTTGTTTTTGCTCTTCCTCCTAGACGTGTACATTACACATTCACTTTGACTTGGGAACTCCTTTCTCGTCTGTTTCCTCTCTCTCTTGTTCTGTTGTGCGGTATTGTGTAATATAAGGAAAAGATCATCAAACTCGTTTTATGTGTCCTCGTCCGTGCAACATCTCAAGTCCTCGCGAATCACATCTCACGGGTGCGCAGATATACTAGGTTCAAAATTCCAAAAGTCTATTGAGTTAAAAGAAATTCCCAGGCCCCAAAGAGGCAAAATCCCATATCTATATCTTTCCATAACGCCTCCCACTCTATCTTTGCCCGAGAAAAAGGGAAAACAGAATCCATCATAATCATACAAGTCATTAACGATCCCACTCTTTCTATAACTTTGAATCCGTTGAGTCCCCTCTTGCGTGTATGGGAAGAAGGTTATTACGTCCGTCCCCCCCTTTCGTTTTCCGTAATGGGGTATATCCTCCACTGAATTGAAAAGAAGAAAAGAAGAAGAAGAAGAGAAAGGTGCGAGGAGAGTTCCCCAGGTTTCTGCGGCGAGTCGAGGAGTTGGGACACCCGCCACGATTTTTGTGTCCTGCTTGAGATCCTGGATCTCAAGAGGTGCTCCTCCTCATTATGAATCCCTCTCATAAGGGTCTCGCAACAACCCCGAGTTCGAAACAACGTGCAGTGGGTATATCCTCCTCTTCGCGAAGCTAAAAACAACAAAGGCTGAAAAAGAAAAAGAAAGATGTCTCGCTTCGAAACAAATCATGCATTCATCTTAACACCCAACTCCCTCAGAATCTGCACAAACCTCACATGAAGCTGCACAAAAAACTCCGGCATCCCCACCAACTCTGGCAAGCCCCTCGCCTTGAGCGCAATGCCGCCACCACCGCCGACGCCGCCGACTCCGCGCCTGCTTCGGAACGCGCTGCCACCGCCGGGGCGATCGAAGGCGCTACCGCCGTCCTGCATGGCGGGGTGCTGCGGCGCGGAAGAAGCCTGTAGCGAAGACGTGCCGGCGGCAATCTGTTGTTGCTGCTGCTGCTGCCCGGCGGTGTCGGATGACGTGCGTTCGGCTTCCGCCTCGGCTAGCTGCTGAATCCAGGCCGCCATTTCCCGGAAAGCAGCGGCGATGAAGCTAAAGGTTTTCATGGCCACGCGCTCCTTGTGGGTGCTCAGGGCCAGGAATGCGTAGATGCGCTTGTGACCACGCGCATGCACGTCGGGGATGCGGAAGATGTAGGCCGTGGTGTAGCCGGCCAGAGGGTCACCAAAGAAGATGGGGCCTCCACCGGATGCCGTGTTACCGCCACTGTGAGAGGTGGCGAATGTAGGCGGCGCTTGAGAGGACGAGGAGGCGGCGCTGGAGATCGAAGCAGAGGACTGTGTCCGAGGGAGGGTTTCGAAGGAGAGAGTGCGGAGGCAAGAGGCGCGGATAATGGAGAAGGAGGCGGGGAGGACTGGTTCCTTAGTGGAGATGTATTCGATGTAGTGGGTGTGGCTGCCCGGGGTGGTGGCGTTGGAGAAGACGCTGGATCGAGACGTCGTTGAGCTGGTGCCGGTTCGGCGAAGACGTTTGCGTCCCAGTTCATCGGGGGCGAATTCGCCGTCGTCTTCCTCGCCGTCCCCGTCGGTATCACTAGCTGATGAGGGCTGCGAGTTTGGCGGGGAATCCTGGCCGTTGGTGCCGCCAAAGACCCAAGCGTAGGGCGTCTTCGTACGCAGGGTAGGTCCTCGCGCGTCGTTTCGGAGCTTGGTATTCGCGTCGGTGTTGCTGCGGCCCCCTACTCCTGATCCTCCTCCTTGTGCATGTTGTTTGGGTAGAGTCATGGCGCAATTGTCGCATGGATTCGCGCGCTTAGTAACGTATTCATCGTACGTTTTTCGAAAGCTCGAATCGCGTCGCACATGAGCGGGGGGCAGTTTTCTCGATTCCGTCTGGCTGGGGCTGGCGGGGGGAGTCTCGATGGCCGAGCCCGACGAGAGAGCGGCCATTGCGGCGGCTGTAGCTGCGGATGTCGACGCTGCTGTGCGTAGTAATGACGCGCGGTGGGCTTGGGATTCCTCCTCGGAAGCGGGGACGGATGCGCTGCGGTGGGTGGGTGAGAAGTTTATGTTGCGTAGGGCATCGGTGATGGCGGCGACGGAGTGTGGACTCGCCTGTGTGATGACGGGTTGCGAGGCGGCGGAGCTAGGGCGGTCTTCGGGGAAGGGGGATTCTTGATCGAAGCATGTTGAGCAGGGCACGGGTAGGCCCTCAGTAACCATTAGAGGGGTGGGACCGTGGAGGTCGCAATAATGCGCGAGGCATAGCTGGTAGGCAGATGTCAGCATTGTTGGGCTCGAGGGGTTGAAGCCGGCGCTGCTTGGAAGCGACGTCATGGCTGGCTTGGAGTGGTGAGCCCTGTTTGGGCTTGCGACAGGGCCGATCGCTTCTTAAAGAGGAAGATGTGGGGAGTGAAGTGTGTGAAAAAGGAGTATCGGTGCTGGAGAGAGAAGGGTAAAAAGGACGAAAATGAGATGTGATTTGGGGGTTAAAAGGAACTGAACCGCCTGTGCTGTATTGGCGAGAATGCGGTGAAGGAAATAGCGCAGCCACCCAGGTCCAGGTCCAGTCCAGAAGGAGAGAGAACCAAGCAGGTTGCAAGTGGCAAGTTTCAGCAGGTTTGGGGATAGGAGCTTGCAGTTGGGAACGTTGGGGATTGGAAATGGTGATGGTGGCGGAAGTGGGTGGGCTGCTTTGCAGACGTGGAGCTGTGGTGGATGTGGGGGTTGAAAGGAAAAAAGGAAGCAAGAGGACAGAAAAGACAATTGGACTGCAGCAGTTGGGAAGATAAGGCAGAGGAAAGGATCAAATCAAATATCACAGCAGGAGGCAATGGATTGATTTGACGATTATTGGATAGGACAAGTTTAAGAAAAAGAAAGTAATAATGAAAAAGTGTCGGGGAGCACAAGAGCAGGAGAGATGATACAAGTAATCTAGATTGAATGGGCAGACGAGGACGTGGACATCAGGATCGGATCGGGCCCAAGTCGACGACTCAGTAGATTTGTCGACTAGACTTTCAGACTTGGCCCGATAAGCTCTGGCGCCGGTCGATGTTGCACGGTACCTGGCGAGTGGCAAAAAAATCGCCAAGGGAAAAAGGGAAAGGGACAATGAGAAGATGGGTGGGGAGGACTGGGGACGGGACGGAGGGATGGAAGAAGCGATGGAAGAATGGAAGGGTGCAAGAAAGGGCGCGAGAAGGGTTGGTGTGGAGAGATTCGGAGATCCCAGCTCGCTTTTCCCTTGCTTCCATCGCTCTTTCCTATTCCCTTTTCTCTCCCCTTTCCCCTGCTCTTTCCCTTTTCGTTACTCCTTCTTGCTTCACGCTGTCCCTTGCCTTCCGCATCGAGTACCGACGTACGAAGTACTTCGTAATGGTCCCCAAGCCAAGGCCAATGCGATACTCGGACTTGGAGCTGTCGAGGATAAAGTGGGATTTTGAATCAGACTCGGCATTACAATTGGGAGCAGCATTGAAGGTTTGAAGGTTCGCAACATGAACCGTGCGAAATGAGCACCAGGGGCACTGGAGACTCTCCAGTCCCTTTACTTTTTGCCTTAGTTATACTCCGGCGCTTCATATCGGATGTAATCAACGGGAGAAGACAATGGGACTTGGGGGCCCTTAGATCAGACTGGATCAGACGGGAATGGGCACACACGGGAGGATCGTGTGGTATGGAAGGGAGTGTGGGTGTGAGCTCGCGGGCGAGTGTGAGTGCAAACGAAGTCATGGAGGGGTGTGAGCACCACCACCATGACTGACCATCCACGTCCGTGCGGGACACGGAAGAGTGGAGGACTGGACACACACTCTGGCCTTGCATCTCGACATGACACTCCATCCATCCACCGGATTCTGTCCATGTCCCCCATCCCTATATGCCGGTCCGGCCCTATCCTACGGTTGAGTTGCCCTGTCCTCTGCGATCCTATGCTGTTTGTCCTGTTGGGGACCACGGCACCAGGACCCAAAACGGCTAAAGGAGAAACCCCAACACGATAGGGCCGTAGTTTCGTGTACGAAGTAGGCACTGGCCTCGTTCACTTCTGGTTCAATTTTTTGGTTGAACCGTGGTCGCGTTGATCGTGGAAGTGGCATGACTAGACTTGACTTTGACCGTTCAAATGTGCTGGTGATGGGATGTCGGGCGTCATCAGGTCCGAATGTCATTGTCCCTGCTCTCTCGTTTCGTGAGGCTGTCCATAAATCTCCCGAATACGAGGAGACAAAGGGAGAAAAAAAAAGTTAAGATAAAACAAAAATAAAAGGAACAAAAAAGAAATGAGACTGCAAAAATAGAGTGCAGCACGGAGATAAAAGACGCCCCGCGACAACATGTGCAGGCAACCAATTCCTCATTGGACAGACAGGGCCACGATGCTTCCCAGTACAGACCCCCATCCATCATCACCAACAGGCCCCGAAGGGTTGCATGGCGGTGGAAAGAAATGAGGCGGTGATGTGGATTGTTGGGGTTGAGGCAAGCAATCTCACACTTGGCCTTCGTCTCATCCGTCAACGAGCTAGATGAAAAGACGGATCGATGCAAAGACAAAGACCGCACACCGGGGATCGTCTAGCCTTTCTAGCTTGGGCGTCTTTTACGAGCTGGGGAAGGAGGCCCCGGTTCGCCTAAACTAGGCCCAGCCTTAGCACGGAGCTGCCTTAGCACGCATGGGCTAGGGCTAACGGAGCTGTCCGCCACAGGCCAGGCGGTGAAAAGCTGGCTAGCTCACG